CTTTTGTCAAGACCAGGGGGGGTATAGAAATAAATAGAATCTTCGAAGCCCCAATCAAATATTCCCAACCCTGAGTTTCTGGTATATTCACCTTGCTAAAATAACGTTTATTAACCCGGCGGAGGTGTACTGCTTGGATCTGGATCGTCAATTAGTGGGTACAGCATACGACAGGCGCGATATGTCCTACCCCAAGATGGTGACCACACCAATTATAGCAAAGGAAATTAGTATTTTGATTTGGTTTAGACGAGTAGCTGAGACAGCATTAGGTCAGACGCTAATCTCAAGTGTGCTGTGTCATGATTACTGAATCTCGGCTTGAGAACATCTTGATTGATGTAGCCGTTGATAATCCTCCTACTGACGAAATCGCTCCTGCTCGAAGTGCCCTTCTTCAACGCAAAATAGACCAGATTCCGGAGCTAAGTGTTACGTTTGACGGCTTGAGAATCTTTTACTAATCATTGTCATAGTCATCGCTTTGCCGGTAGCTCTTCTCTGACGCATTTATTGTAGAGAAGAAAGTCATTCTGACGCATCAATCACGAGAAAGGCAATTCGTTTGATGCTTTCGGTGCAAGAGATTTCTAGATAGCAACAGTTACATAAATAGCAAGACTTGTTCCTTATTGTCTATTCAATTGCAGCAGTGTATCACACAGCTGTGTCCCCGAATTTGTCTTCACCCTGCGGCAAACGTAGTATGCCCAAGTGCTCGCCTTGCGCAGGACCTTGCCGCTTGAATTCTCCGAGTCCGGGCTCCGCTCCGAGATCTTCGGGGACTGGGTTGCGGATCCGACGGCGGAAGCTAGCGCCGAGGCGGATTGTGATGGCTTGGCTGAGTCATGTAGGTAAGGTCCGCGGAGACTCCGCTCCCACCCTTTCCACCCTTCTCAAAGCCCTCCAATAAATGCACTATCTGAGAAGCAGCAATACCTGGACTCTCCTACAAATCCGAAGTAAAACGTCCATGGGGTCTCCACGGCTACCTTGCCTTGGATGTAGCATGCGATCTGACTATGAGTGCCGCATCCAATAAAAGTGGCCGAGCGCGCAAGAATGGCAGTCCCAGCACCAATATCGTTCCTACTACTGCAGAGAGAAGCAGTCCAACCGACAGTCGCCGAGACCGTGGTTCACGGCAGCAACCCCCGGTTTCATGCCATTTCTGCCGAGTGCGGAAATTGAGATGTAATAGAGGACAGCCGTGCTCTAATTGTGTCTCCCGAGGCATCTCTTGCCAGAGTGCAAATGCATCTTCAGGCCCACCACCAGAACCCGCGCCTGAAGGTAACACAGTTACCACAGATACATCTCCAGGCCCAACAGGTCTTAGACGCCAGATAGCATCTGATTTCAATGTTCTGCAGCGTCTAGAAAAACTCGAGAAGCTCCTAGCCATCCAGTCTGAACGATGGAGCCAGCTCATGACTAGCCATCCCGAATTATTCAAAACAGATGACTTAGCTGTTGAAGATAGCCATCTACCTATACGAACTCATGCGTACCCGACACCTAGCTCTTTAGCAAGTCTGCCTCCTCAAAGAGCGCATTCTTTAAACGAATTTAGTAATGATGTCGTCCGCCTAGAACAAATATCTGTAGGCACAAACTTTCCCGTATGTACACCCACTGCTATTTTAATGAATTGTCTAATTGCATACTCCTCAACTCGCACTAAATGACTCTATGCTGAATTCGCACTAAAGACTCCTTATTAACTTCATAGCTTAGGATGCAACATTTCCCGTGAAGTTCTTCTTCGAAATTGCTCCACTGCGTCAAGTTGTCAACAGTCCTCTGTATACTCAACACCCCAGCTTCATCCCCGGTAAAGGCAGTGCAAGCGCTCTCATTAACATTCGTCTTCCCTACTATCCAGAGGCAGAAATACTTCTGCAGAAGTTTATTACCGACATAAATTGCTTTCACCATGTGGTCCATGTTCCTTCTTTACGGGCTACAATGGAGAATCTCTATATACGCCTGAACAATCACGGCCAAGTGTCCCCCGGCCATGTCATATTGCTCTTGAGCATCATCGCAAGCTCTACATATTTCTGGACAGATAGTGACTGTGCCGGCGGTATATTGTGCACCACGGCGGAAGCTGACCGACAATCATCTTTATGGACAAAAGCAGCTCAAGATTTAGTGGATGCTTGCCACAGATCTATGTGCCTTTCTCTCGAAGCAGTTCAAGGGATTGTTGTGATATTGTTTGTGATAGGCAATATGGAGGGCTGTTCGTATAGGTATCGTTTCCTGGTAAACCTCGCCCTGATGATGTCTCGTGAATTGGGCCTTCATCGCATTGATCATCCAGACAACGCTGGCTCGTTTAACACGATCAAAGCTGAAGTGGGTCGTCGAATATGGTGGTATCTAGTATCTTCAGATTGGTGAGTGTAGTCCAATCATGATGGACTCCTCGCGGTAGGAGAAATTGGATAACTTGTTAACATACCCACACAGGTTGTTGGCTGCACGATACATGGGGATTACAGAGGGAATCTACCAAACTGACCCTCGCCGAATGGTGGTGAAGAAACCCTCTAATGTGGATGACGAGGACCTCCTAATAGATACGGAGATTGTCGCAAAACCTCTTGATCAAGCGACGGCAGTATCTTATCTCATTCAGAGAACGCATTTAGCCGAGGTCTCTCGTCAGCTTCTCGATCGCAACTCCCTCTTTACATCATCTGCCGGGGTTCTCGACTACAGCGCTGTGCTGGAAGCTGATAATGAGCTGGAGAGCCTCTTCAACGAAATTCCCCCTTTTTTCCACTTAAGCAACGACGATGAAAATCCGTATAGCGGCAATGCGGCTTCACCAAGTGTCGCGATTCAGAGATACTTTGTCAACTCTCTTTATCATAGTCAGCGATGCAGACTTCATCTTCCGTACCTAGCACGAGGTTCCATGGACCCGACGCAGGCCTACTCACGAATCATATGCCTCAAGTCTGCCAGTCTGATTATCCAGGCAGAGCTGAATCTTGAGAAAGAAAACGCTCACTTCGCACAGACAAGATTGAAGTTAACGGGTATTCTGTACAGTGTGTTCGTGGCTACTATTGCGCTGGTCATGGAAATGAATTTGAACGTCCGGGACACTGCCTCACAGCAGGAGACTCGACAAGGCGAATTCGCTCAAGCCATTCGGATGATGGAATCTGCAGCGCGGCAGTCGGCATCTGCCGCGTCTCTGCTCCAGTCTATGATGGGGATACTTCGGAAAACCAGTGTTCCATCATACCAGGCAGTGCAGCGAGGACTTGGGTATTCCATGATACATCATGCGGTGGACACAAGGCTACCCGTGGAAACTCCGTCTCAGCAGCTGCAGCCGATTGGTGAAGCTAGACTTGAGGTCATGTCGTTAGATGCGTCCAACTTTGGAGAAGGAGACCAGTCTTTTGACACGAGTATGTCAGATACAGCACCAGCTGGAGTAGATTTGGCGTCCTACTTTGACGAGTTGACTCAATCGTGGGATCCAAGGGTGGGCATTGACGACATGGCATGGAGCGCGATGTTTTCAGAGCTTGACGCTTCCTTCCTTTGATTGTATTATCACTATTAGCACGGGGTACAGGAAAAGTTGAATGGGGTTTATTCAGCGCATCATATTCTTCGCTCTTTTCACTAGCTGTTGGGACCTTACTGCATGAACTGAGAGATTGGACGCAAGGTTCGCCTCAAGAATGTCAAGATCGCGAACAACTCGCAATGTCAAGACTGTCTGTTCAACATTTTGAAGACTCAACTCTCTAGTAACTGAATAAACATTAGGCTTACAGCGAAGTCGATGTCTATGCAATCGGGATCCACCGAAACCCATCTGTCTAGCTCGGCCGAGTCAGAGAAACCCACCCGCATGGGTTTAGCCATGTGCTACTAATGAAGCTATAAACCAAAACGAGCCCCGAATTGACTAAATATTGGTGGACCCAAAGGAATTCATGGCCTGGTATTTTTAGACTAAAATAGCGGGAGTCGGAGGAGACCGTTAGGTGCAGTGATAAATAAGAGAGGCTGTTCAGTTTTTGTAGCTAAGCAACTAACCTCACTTCTCCACCACTCAAAAGAGATAGAAATCAACAAAAGAGAATCGTAGGCGTCGAAAGGCAGCAAGAACAAATTCCTGGGGCTACTATAACTACAGCTTTTCCTGCATAGCATGTGCAAATCGCCACTTCACCCGTTCTTGGCCGAGCTGCCCAAGTGCGAGCACCATATCCATCTGGAAGGATGTCTCACTCCAGAATTGGTGTTCAAGCTTGCCGCCAAGAACAAGATCGAATTACCTTCCCCGGAGCAGGATCCAGCCTACAAATCACCGGAGTCCCTGGCGAAGAGATACGAGCACTTCGATAACCTCGAGGATTTTCTGCAGTACCACTACCGAGCGATGCGGGTGCTCGTGACCAAAGAGGACTTCGAGATGCTCGGCTGGGAGTATTTCAAGAGCTCCCATGCAGACGGTGTTCAGCATGCGGAAGTCTTCTTTGATCCTCAAAGCCATACTACTCGCGGCATCTCATTTGACACCGTGGTCACCGGCTACAAAGCTGCCTGTAAACGTGCCGAAGAGGAGCTTGGCGTCACTAGCCTCCTGATCATGTGCTTCCTTCGACATCTTCCAGCACCTGCGGCGGCTGAGACGCTGCAACAGGCCATTGATGGCGGATACCTTGATGTGCAAGATGAGCCTAGTGCAGCTGATAATGGATCTCGTGTCATCGGCGCTCTCGGCCTGGACTCGTCTGAGATTGGTTTCCCGCCGGAGCTCTTCAAGGAGCAGTTTCTCGAGGCAGAGAAGCGAGGTATTCACAGGACAGCTCACGGAGGCGAGGAGGGCGATACGAGCTACATCAGCGGAGCCATGGATTCTCTTCATGTCGAGAGAATCGACCATGGAATTCGTCTCATCGAGGACCCTGCACTCATGCGCCGGGTCGCGGAGGAGGGCATTCTCCTGACAATGTGTCCGCTTAGTAACCGCTATTTGCAAGCTGTTGAGAAAATCAGTGACTTGCCCATCAAGACGTTCATGGAGACTGGCATCAAGTTCAGTATCAATAGCGACGATCCTGCATACTTTGGCGGCTATATACTCAACAATTTCTGTGCTATCCAGGAGGCCTTCAACCTCAGCGTCAAGGATTGGAAAATCATAACAGAAAACTCGATCCATTGTAGTTGGGTTGGTAAGAAGCGCAAGTCTGAGCTCATGTCGATGCTTGACGACTGTCTGCGGAAATACAGCTCGTTGAATTAGAGAAATAGACAAAATGTGTGAAGCAAGGGCTCTGGAGTTTGTCGAGTTGAAAATACAATGTACTGAGAAAATCTTTTAGCATGTCTACTGTATAAGCGTATCATATCAGTTTGGCATTAGAGTAGTTCACATACAATCTAGGACTAAGACCCTGAGTACTCTATTTTCTCGGACTAGATTACAGTTTTGGATTCTACCAGAGGTCTAGTGAGAAAGACAACGCGAGGATCCGGCCGGTTTCTCGGCTGCGAGTTGAGAACTAATTTGTAAACTCGAAACTACTGCAACTACTAAAGTGGAGAGATCTGACAATAGGATTCCATCAAGCTGCATCTGGGATTGGTGCGCTCGCTGTGGCCAACGGCAAAGCAAGTTGAGCTCTTTACATATAATACCATGGAAACCTCAATTACCTGGGAATCATGTTGCCAGACTGACTGAACTTTTAGTCTCTGCAATAAAAAAAATAAAAAAAATGGCACCTCAGAAACCTACAATCCTCCTCGTCCACGGAGGATGGCATCTACCGGTACACTATAGACCAGCGCTCGACGTCCTTGAGTTGGCTGGCTACCTCATCGAAGCACCTGCACTTCCATCTTGCGTAGACGGCAAGAGTACTCCCGAGGACGACGCGCAACTCATCGCAAGGCGTGCGTCAGAGCTCGTGGACGCCGGTAAGGAGGTCGTCGCAATCGCCCATTCCTACGGCGGCATGGTCGCCTCTGAGGCCCTAAGCGGGCTGGGAGTGCGAGAGCGGGAGGAGAAGGGCCTCGCGGGCGGCGTGAAACGGATCATCTATACGGCGGCGTTTGTGCCGTTGCCGGGCACGTCCATTGAGAAGACGTCTCCTACGGACTCGGTGGGGTGGCTGAAGTACGAGGTACGCGGTCGAGTTGTTTACCAGGACATGAGCTCTATATTATATATTTTTAGGTAGGCTGACTGTTCTGTACCAGGGCGACCAAAAAGCATTTAATTGGCACTGGGAAACAAGCATCGGCGATGTCTTTTATCCAGACCTGACGGGGGACGAGCAGGAGAAGTATCTCTCCCGTCTCGCCTTCCACCCGAAATCCTGCTCGCTGTGGGAGCCCACAGCGTTCGCGTATCGGGAAATCGATGTGACATACGTCTTCTGCGAAAAGGACGCCGCTGCGCCGTTGGTTGCACAGCAGTTCCTCGCTGGAGCCATCAAAGATGCAGGTGTGCAGATTGCGGAGGAGACTTTGCCCGCTGGCCACTTTCCGTTTCTGAGCATGCCCAACGAGTTTGCTGAGATTGTCATCAAGTATGCGTAGCCGGTGAGCCGGAGATCAATCACTGTTCGTATGTCATCTGCCAAAACAGCCACGGTTCATACCGCCTTGTTAGACAAAAGATCATCAGACTCGCTACCGAATGTCTTGTCGGCAATTGCAAAATAGACACCCGCTTTCATGTGTTTTGGTTCCACAATTGCACCAATACAACTCAAAAGTCTTGCACGAAGCCTCATGTATTACATTACTCTCCCCTAGTCTCAGCAGGAATGATCAAGCTGTCATTAAAACTACCTGTATTCAAATGTCGATGATGTTATGCCATCCATCCAGCCAAGCTATGCTGAAGCAGAAGAATTAGAAGACGAAAAAACAAAGCCCGTCCCCCCAAAATCTTAGGTGGGAAAGTAGAAGAAACGATGAGAGCAGGACAGAACGAGATGTGCATAAGGGAAGAAGAGTAAAAGGGAAGAGAGGTCATGCAGTGGTCATTTCTTTCGTGCCGTTTTTGTTCCTCCGCTTAAGAGATCATCCCGTGTTTCCTAATCCGTCTTCTTCTTCTTCTTCTTCATTCGTCACTAATACAAACATGAAAAAAAAAGTGCTTGGAAAATTCGCCGTGGTGGGAGATGCTGGTCATTAAAGGCGAGTCTTGTCTTGTCATACAATATCCTATCCAAACCCAAACAGCCATCGGCGCATCGCCTACAACCGCAGCTCGCGGAGGATCTGGTCGGCCATGCTCTTGAACTGCCAAGTGTTGCCAGTCATGCGCTTGAACTGAATGCCGTGCAAGGAAATGACTGGGACCTTGACAATGAAGATCTCAAACTCCAAGACCATGCTGCCGCCCAAGTCGCTTTGAACATGCGTTCGAGTCTCTCCAGGGACCTGTGAGGATTGCGCTCCGTTTTCGCGCGGACCGCTGTCGTCATCTGACAAGTCTGAGTTGCTGTAGCTCCTGTCGTCTCTTTGCTTTCCAGGAGTCCGTGGGGTTGTCGGGTTCCTCTCGAAGTCACGAATATCATCCCTGTCGCGCTCTTGCCTGATGCCAAAGCTGAAGCGACGCCTGTGGCCTGGTGTCTGCATAGGGCTGGTAGGAGGATCCTGGACCTTCTTCAGGTCAATACTTGGGGCATGGCGACAGTTGAAGCCACCTCGAATCTCCGTATAGTCGACGCCTAGTTGCTTCAACACTCGCTTGATGTCCGTGCGAATTTCGGGAACAGGCTTTGTAGATGTTGTAGAAACGCTGAAAAGTCCTTTCAGGAAGACTGGCTTCGCCAGGTCAGCGTCATCAAGACGTTCATTGGACAATCCGCTCTGCTCTCCTACTTCCTGATCTGTCTCCTCGGGCACATCGGCTTCTCGCTGTTCCTCCCTCCTTAGCCTCCTAGCTTGGATGCTCTCGCGCCTGGCGTGACCTAATGACTTGGCCCTCATGGAAGCGGAACGTGAGCTGGCCGCTCCCTTCTGCTCAGGGGCTGCCAATTTCTCCGCAGTGGACCTGTCTGAGCCGCTGGTCGGCGGAGGTTCATCTGTAACACCCGAACCTGAACCCATTGCCTTTCGGCGCCGGAACTCAGCAGAGTTTACACTGGTGGACCTGCCCAAACCCTTCTTGTAGCCGTGCGCATTGGCCCCAGCGGACAACGGAGGGCTCAGGAGGTCGCTATGTTGTGGCTGACTGCTGCCTGAGCGCAATCGTGGCGCTGAGTTGTCATCGCGGTCGCGCCTGCTGCGTCTAATGCTAAACGACTTGCGAGGCGGGATAGGGGACTCTGCAGGAGATTGCACATGTACCGAGGGTGGGTGAGACCGATCCTTTTCCAACCGCTCTGGCTCTTTCCTCCTCCTAGTGCTGAGGCGCCGTAGAATACCAGCGGCAGTGCTCTCTTTCTTTGCGGGCTGGTCAGAATGGTAGCTATCGGGTAGTACAGGTGATGGCTGCGGAGGCTTGAGGTGGTCTGGAGCCTCGTCTTCTCCATGAGTACGAGCTCTCGGCCTAGATCGGCCGCCGGTCGCCTTCTCTCCTGGCATCTCGTAGGCGGAAGCGTTGGTGTGTGCCTCCTGTGGCGGTGCAATCTCGGGCAGAGGATCCTTCTCCTTCGGCGTGGCCGCCATGGTAGGGACGATGTCGACCTTATCCCGCTGCTGCTTCTCATGAACAAGGTAATAGATTGACATCAGAGGACTGAAGGCGTTCAACGGGTCGCTACCCAAAGCTAGACCTTCCGAACTGGGATTGGTCAATGTATCCCGACTGTTCATCGAATTCCGCCGCTTGTAAAAGTCAAATACACCCCTTCGCTGCTCGGAAGCCTTGGGCGGCTGTGGCAGCTCTTTCTCCCGCTGAAGTGCACGAATACCCCGCTGGTATTCCTCCGACTCGATTGTCCGTGTGAGTTGCGCCCTGATTACTTCGGGTGGGCCGAAGTTGAAGCCAGTCATCGCATTGATGACTTCGGTGTCGAGAGGGAGTGCGAGAGGCTCGCGGGGAGGAACATGGTTCTCGGGGGGTCCATTGTAGCCTTTGATCATCCAGGGGTGATTCATGACCTCGGCCATCGTCGCTCTCGATTTAGGATCGGTTACAAGCATGCGAGAAAGGAGGTTCTTACACTCTGTTGCGAGTCAGTCAAGGGCCCTGTGTCGCGGAACGGTGGACAGGTTACATACCGCTTGATAGCCAGTTAGGGTAGTCAACAAGACCCTTCTTGATCTTGGCATGCAATGCTGGCATACTTTGATCGTCGAAAGGAACCTTACCGCAGACCAAGACGTAAAGGACGATTCCAAAGCTCCACACATCGACCTCGGGCCCGGTATAGGCGCGTGCCTGCAGCAGCTCCGGGGCAGCGAAGTAGAGACTTCCGCAAAAAGTCTTGAGGTGACCACGGGGGGCGAAGAGGTTGCTCAATCCGAAATCAATGATCTTGATATCCCCAGTCTTACTGATCAGGATGTTCTCAATCTTGAGGTCCCGGTGCACAATACTGTTTCGGTGGCAGTAGTCGAGGGCGCTGGCAATCTGGCGGCTGAACTTCCTGGCCTGCTTCTCCTTCAGCTTGCCATGGGAGATGATGTAATCAAGCATCTGTCCTCCATTAACATATTCGAATAGCATATACCAGTGATAATTCGTGCGGACAACATCGCGCAGACCGCAGATATTGGGGTGGTCGAGGAGTGTGACGATGGCAGCTTCGCGGGCAGTGCGAATCTCCTTAGACTGATCGGCCCTCTCCTTATCTGCTCGACTGTGATGGCCATCATCTACCGAGCCTCTGGGAATGATTTTACAAGCGACCTGTAGTGACCGATCATTAGCATTGAGACTCCCCGTGTCACCGGTGACGGTAATTGCAGGATGGCAGGTTTTCTTACCTGCTCGTTGCTATCCTCCTTCCTCGCGAGCTTGACCTTGCCCATGCTTCCCGCTCCGATTGTCTTGCCCAGAATCCACTTGCCCGACTGAGTGGGGATTGTGGTGCGCGTCCTGCTCTGCTTTGCCCGGGCATCAGCAGCACTCGGAACGACGGGCGCCCCTGGAGCCCCGTTGTTGACGGCGGTGGGAGGCATGTCTGCAGTCGGGGTTGTTGGCGGGTGGCCACTCGATCGTTGGCTGCTGCGGCGATGGGGTCGAGAGGAGGACTCGCCGCCCCTGGAGGACGGGGGAGGGCGGTCTTTGCTGGAGCTTCGCTTCTGGTACTGGGCTACGTTGCTCGTTTCATAATCGTGCTGTGGATGGGGGAGGACGTCCTGGACGGGACGGGAGGATTGACGGCTGGCAGTGCTGCTCGAATGGTGATGTGAGGTGGAAGCGGCACGGTGTGGAGGCGGGCCGCCAGAGGAGGAGGTGGCAGGCTGTCGGGTTCGGGTTGATTGGGATCTGGTCGGGAGCGTCGAAGTGTAGCCTTGGCCTCTTGGGGGAGAAGTCGGAGCCTCAGCGCCGGGCGAAAGTGCTGTTGTCATTTGGCCACGATGGTGTGCGAAGATCGAAGGTCGATGCAGATAGCTAGATGGGTTTTGGAAGGCCGGGAGCGGGAGGGAGGACACCAAGAAGATGATGGGGGGACCAAGATGAGGATGGAGGATGATGCAGAGCCAGAGCCAGAAGCAGAAGGCCAAAGCCCCGAGCGAGCGCTGTTCCCGCTACTGTGTGTCTGTGTCTGTGTCTGCCAGTGTCTGCGTCTGTCTCTGTTTGTCTGTAGCTGTGGGGGAGTGACAATCAGACAGAATGGGCGCCCTTGTTTCTCGGTTGGGTTCAGGTTGGAAGGCGGGACGGGACAGCCCACGACAGCACAGGAGCAAACAGTTATGTGAGTAAGGTAACGTTATGGGATGGGATGGGATGGTAATGATGGAAAAGCGGATGAGCCTGCGGTGGTGGTAATTAGTGGTCCAAGCTAGTCTAGTCCGCCTAGACCAGCAAGTGGAGGGAAAGTGACGACTGCTGCTAGGTAGTAGGTAGGTAAAAGCAGCCAGAAGGTGGGTGGTCGGGGGCAGCCTTGCTTGCTCGCTCAGGCTAACGTTAACTGCCTTGGTAGCAGGCGGGCGAAATAGGTAATAAGGAGACACAACAGCAATTCTCCGTATTGATGGGTGATGTCAAGTGTGCATAGCCATGTCGGGTGTCTCTATACCCAAAGCAGCTTGTGATCTTCGGAGCACTGCACCTCAGGAAGATAGCTGCAATTGTTAGCTACTTTCTGGAGATGCTGATAGTACCTAGGACCTAGGTAGGTAGGTATTGTCTTGATGTGGGAGTAAAGTGAATCAAATGCGTGTGGCTGGTGTGGTGACAGGAAACAAACACCCTGGCTCCCTGGGCGGAGGTGGATTGCCCCTCTAATGTTTTAGTTTTAGGGCGTGTCTTCCTCGGTACGGTACCTTGGGAGCTTTGGCTGCGCTGGATGCTGGACGGGCAATTCGAAATACGGGTTCGGCGTCCTTAACTCTATCTGGGTGCCCTCACTACTCAGTCTTGCGCAATACGAGATACCTAGAGTCAGGGCAACCCGTGAGCTGAGAAGCAGAACTAATGAGGGTTTATCTTTGATAATGATGGATCAAGATTCTCAGTGCAACGACTGACTTGTGCTTTGTGATAGGCATTCCACCGCCAGCAAACGAAGAGAGTTGTCTGGCTGGGATTGCTTTTGGTGCTGCTGCCCGGCCGCCCACCAAGGACCAAGGTATAGATAGGTAGGGAGGTAGGGTACATAATTATCTGGACGAACACGTAAATCCGCCCTGGTCCTGGTCGAGCTGTAGGGCCAGGGGTTTCAAAGGGTTGTCTGCACTCTGCACTTCCCGTCACCAATAGATCACCAGAGAGGCCAGATGCGCAATCTTGGTTTAATTCAACGGCTGCATGACAAGAGAAGACTTTTCCTCTCCTCAGACACCTACTCTTCTCCCCCTTTTTGCTCCCACCGTGGACCGGAGCTTACTTAACCAAGAGACCACTTAGGACTACAAAGGATGCATTGCTGTGTCGCTTGTGGATCGTCGTCAGGCTCCATGGCAAGTTGAATCGACTGACGGTGCCTGACCTGAGCGAGGAAGTGCCCGAAAGTTAACCAGTGGAAAGCTTACCGTTAGCAGCCGCAACTATCGGTCTTCAAATGCCGCCTCGTTGGTTCTGGACCCGTCCTACCAGCAAACACCCACCAGCACACAAGCGAGACAAGGCATGCATGATGATCTCAAGTGAGACATCGGCGTGGTCCTCGTCGTGCTTCGCTGGGTCCTATCAGAAAGCGCTGCTCCAGGCGTTCAGTGACACACCCAGACACCCTCCCGCTCTCTCAAGGCAGAGCTGACTGCATGCTAAAAGACCAGCGATGCAGGTGCACTCTGCCCGTTTGCGCTCCTCAGGAGATCGGCCACGATGCTATGCTAGTAGATCGATGTCCACCGCTTTCCTTGGCCATCGAACTCCTGAGGCTACCTAAAATAGGCTTCTCATGTTGCTGGGCAAGGCATGACATGGTTCCTTGCACTGTAGTTTCAATACCTCACCGTTCAATTCAGTGACTGAATCGCTGGGAATGACCATCAAATTCTCTGTCAATGAAACGCGGCAGTACACAGAAATCTATGCATTTTCAAAACTCCGAGGAACAGAGCTTGTAACGTCTAGCACCATTTAGCAGGCCAGCTCGGCCAGCTAAGCGTTGAAGCTATCGCTGCTCGAGCGCTGGTAGGATTGTGGTGGCTTCTCATGTGGGGTATGAATCTCCAACTCTTCCAGAGCTCTCGAAATGATATCATCGGGCGCAAAGTCTCACATGCCCCCAACAGCCAAAGACACTCGTTCAAACAGTCAAACTTAGATCTACAATGCCCTAGAGACCTTTTAAGGGTATAGTATTAAAGAAATGTTAGTTGATGAGATGTATCTTTTGGATCAGAAAAAGAATCCTTTGCTAGAACCTCAATCAAGATGTGCAGTCTTACCTAGGTATAGGTGGCTGCGGTCGCTGGAGTGAGCACGACGCACAGGCATTTCCCGATAAGCTGACCCAGTCCGATAAGGCTGGGACAGTCGGGACATTATTGGCTTTAAAGCCCCACCTTCCTTGTCCACAGCATCTAAATTTAGTGGATCCGGCACTCTAAACAACAGCTATCTCAGCATCAGATCGTCAAATTGGCATCTTGTTTCTCCCACGACATGCCAACGCCGGCCCGCGATGGTGCTCGAACGCCATGTCCTACAAGCGGTCCCGTGCAGCTTACGAAGCTGACCTCCAGCAGCAGCAGTCCCCCTTTGTCCTGTTCGGCACACCCCTGCCGCCCCTGGACCCCGAGGTCAGGGATGACGGCTCCTACGTTCCGGTGTGGAAGCAGGAGGTGAGAGACGAGAGGGGCAGGAAGCGCCTACACGGAGCCTTCACCGGCGGCTGGAGCGCAGGATACTTCAACACCGTCGGGTCCAAGGAAGGATGGGCGCCCTCGACCTTCGTGTCGTCGCGGGCGAACCGCCGCAAGGACGGCAAGGACGCCGGCCAGCAGCAGCGGCCCGAGGATTTCATGGACGAAGAAGACCTCGCCGATGCGGAGGAGGCGAGAAAAATTCAAACATCCCAGGCTTTTGCCGGTCTGGGCGCAACTGAACATGACGCGGTACGGGCTAGTGGCCTGGCTGGCCTCTTCCGCGTGGAAGGCGAGACGATGGGCACAAAACTTCTAAAGAAGATGGGCTGGAGGGAAGGGCAGGGGATTGGACCCAAGGTGCGCCGGAAGGCTCGACTAGATGTGGCAAACAAGCCTGTCACTGCAGACAAACCCGAAACATTTCTCTTCGCCCCGGAGAATGTGCCCATGATAGGATTTACAAGAAAGATGGATCGGAAAGGGCTGGGGTACGAGGGAGCGGCAAGACTGACGCCCCTCGACTCGACTTCTAAGCTTGGGCGTCTAGATCAATCAGATGACGAAGACGAGGTTGAGGATGGCCCGCTGAGGCGTGCCCGAGCATCAATTCCTCTCATGCAGAAGAAAGCTTCCTCCAAGAGTTCTGGAGGTATCGGAATTGGGGTCTTAAATGACACTGGCTCCGACGATGAAGACCCTTATGAGATGGGGCCAAGGATATCTTATAATCGTGTCATCGGTGGCGACAAGAAGAAGAAAAAGAAGGACCTGGCCTCAGCGACCCCTGTCAATCCGACCCTCAGATCTAAACCTGTCTTTGTGTCGAAGAAGGCAGCTCTGGCTAGAGTGGCGTTGGGGGTGCGCAAATGCCACGATGGCCGGCTACCGTTAGATGGGTTTGTCTTCGCCCAAGAGCCTGATCCGCTAATCTCCATGATAAACGCAGAGGGCAAGTATCCGCCTCCAACGATTCCCCCTGACTGGAAGTCCAACAAGCAAGCCAAAGATCGCCAATCATCATCGGCATACTTATCCACTGCTGATGCTGCGAAGGCCTCCAAACTTGATCCCAAATCACGGGCTGCCTTGCTCGGAGAGCAGCAATTGCCAGGAAAGTCAGTATTCGATTTCATGTCTGCTTCTGCAAGGGACAAGCTAGCTGCCGTTACCGGAAAATCAAATCTGCCTCAAGCGAAGGGCGAAATACCAGAAGGGTATGCTCTCTCGGCGGATGAGAAGTTACGACAGCTGATGGACCAAGTCCCATCAGTGGACAAGGAGACAGCTGTGGCTGCCATTACAAGAGGTGCTGCTGGCGGTGGTCCATATGGGGATGACGAGGCGAAGCGTTCGAGATACCGAGCGTACCTTGAGTATCAAGCGGGATATGAAAGTTCTCTGCCGAGCAAACCACCCAAGATGAATAATGATGACTGGCTACGGGAGTTTCAAGAATTCTATAATGTAGCCAGAATATTCAAGCCCATGACTGGACTGATGGCCTCGAGGTTCACAACATCCTCGTCCACGTCAAAACTTGCAACAGGCTCTGACGGAAAGGCCGAAGATAAGGATCTGATAAGCCGTCCTCCTGCGAAGCCATCAGACCCGGCAGAGGAGGCTGCCAAGATGGGCATGTACGGGGAGATGACGAGGTCGGTGAAGGACTTTTATCCTACGCGACTTCTTTGTAAGAGATTCAACGTTAAGCCACCTGCTCACGTTCAGCCGGACCAGAGCGCGGATGTCAACAGCATGGGCAAAAACAAATCAAGTGCTGAAGTCTATGGAGACTTCAGTACCATGGCTCAAGGGCCCGGGAATCAGCATATGATCATGCCTAACATGGCCATAGAACCCCACGATGGTAGACAACAAAATCCTATCGACTTAGAGCCAGGGGCATTATCTGCGAGTAAAGTCCCCACGACAGAGCCAGATATTGTCATCGATGCTACGAGGAATGAGGCTTTAGAGGGTCAGCGGGCAGGCGAGGAAGTGTTCAAGGCAATTTTTGGGGATAGCAGTGACGATGAGGACTGATGTCCAGAAAGAAAGCAAAAAGAAAACACACCAATCATCCTTACTGATATCACCGTTTCTTTCCTACCTGGATTTCAATGCCGTCGACAATTAACTCGCATGTGTGATTCGTGAAGGTCTCAGCATCGAATACAAGCGACGATGGGGTTGATTGGCTAGGCGACGGCGGCTACACACGCCGCTAGTGAGCTTATGGTAGCTCGGCGGGAGCGCACGGTTATCCCAGCGTCCCCGGCCAAAGGAAACAAGTACCCTCACCGCTAATGACCAGGCAATTTCAGCGTGCTGGTACAAGGCCGGTTCAGGGGAGCCGCCCATGAGCAGGTAGGTAGGCAATAGAACCGCACGCCCCATCCATCCATCCATCCATCTGGATTGGCCTCTCCCCGACGATTGCAACTGCAACAACCTTACCACAATACTCTTTCAAAGCCAACACATTCAATTCCTTCCATCACCAGCTTCGTTTTGTCGCCGTCTCTGTTCGGACTAGTTCGGTTTCTTGTGCTTGCCGCTCTGCGCTTCACTTTTCCCGCATGCATTGATTGACTCGAAATTGGCATCGCATCATATCTGCCAGCTTTAGCGATCATTTGATTGAGCATCGACCTCCTTCCCTCCGTCCACCCTCCCAGAACCGTCCCTTATGCGAGCAATCAATCGTTAATCCATCTCCCACACCCCATCCGCCGTTTATTGCATGCGACCTGCTGTCCACCCTTAGGGAGATTAGCAGTCCTAGCATCAGCTCCCGCCTACAACGCAGCCGAATCCAAGCAAGATAAGACGGACGGAACACCAGTGCCGTCACGCACCATAGCCACGTTGTCAGAACCCCGGGAGGCCAGTAACGGACAGTCCGCGTCTGTCGGGCACAGCAGCCGACGAAGAGTTGTCGACGAGGCCTTCGCGGAGGACCAGTTCAAGGGTCAGGCTCTAGTCCGCTTCACCAACGAAGTCGACGAGATCAGCCGCGTCGCCGACGAGGATCGCCCGCAATCTCCGCCGCCTCAGTACCCTGCATCCGAAGCATCAGGCTCTACATCCGCGTCACTTGCCTTTCGGACCGCTCCGCCACCGTTTTCATCGCTCTTCGCTCCCCCTTCGTCCTCCTTCCAACCGGACCCCGACACCGTTTTCGAGCCCGACAAGCTCGGTCTTTCATCGACATCCTCCACTCCGCTCGAGAAGGCATCTGCACCGGCGTATGCGCCGCTAGATTCTGGGCCTTCTGAAGCCTCCAGTGCCTATCAGGACACCGTCGCCGAGACCAAGCGTGCTCTCCCGCGAGATACCAAGGCCGAGGGCTCATCACAGAGCAAGGAAGACGAAGCAGAGCCACCGCCAGCGTATTCGGAGGGATCCAGTCCTCTCCAAACTTTCACATATCTCATGGCTGCCGCAGGAGGAGCCTCGAGTATTATTACTCAGGTACAACAAGGCGGACCGCCTATCAACGCAATCGGAGGTAAGGGAGGATGACCGCACGTGGACCTGAGACAGCGTTCCTGACTTACACATGATAGATGTTGGCGCAGATGAGACCATTACGATGGACCTGCGGTATGTTTACATCATGTTCTCAATACTGGTTGTTCTGTAGGTTTCTAACTTTACACAGGGGCACCCGCTTTGTCCTCTCAAGAGACGAGCTGCTGACGCTCCCCGAATTTGTCCTCCTATCACTTTTCCCCAATGGCCTCTTCCCTGAGGGTCATATGGGCGGATTCGCAGATGGAGACGCTGTTCAAGTTGACGTGAGTAGACCAGGAGCTGTATATATGAGCTATTTGAAGATACGGATCTCTAATCCTTCACTAGTATGACCCAGCCTCGTTGCAATACATGCTCGAGTTCTTCCGGAATGTTGCCCAGTCTATTCCCACAGACACCTCAGCCAGCGCATCACAGGATGGTGATGCCATGCCGATCGAGCCTTTGGGAGGCTCACGAGACGATTCATCCAAGAGAGCTGGTATCATCGTGCTCCGTGAGGACCTAGACTTCTATGTCATTCCTCCAAAGGCAGACATCAACCAACCTGAGATGGTTGAGGTCAAAAGAGCGGCCGCAAGAGCTTTGCTGAGACAAGACGGAATCTTCTCGGGACTGAAGAGAAGTGACGAGCCTGGAACTACTGAGGCACATCTTATTGAGATGCTTACGGCAGGGTACGTCCACATCTACTGCTTACCTTGAGATATGCTATGTGCTGACTCCTTACAGTGGCTTTAATCACGATGATCAGTGGGGACACAGAGCTGGCGAGCCCAACAAAGCTGTCATCTGCAGCCTGGCTCTCGCGAGGCTGCGAAGCGATATCCGCGGCAACGAGATGGGCAACAACGCAGTGGGCATGGCGCAGAAGCTCCTGCTCTTCTGGAGGAAACCGGCGAGAAGGTGTTGGTGGGAGGGAGTTGACCTGAATGATGTCGAAGGAGTTGAAGGCACGCTCAAAGTCTGGATCAGGAGGGTGTGGACTTTGGAGATGAGCGTGATCGGTCTCAGATAAAAGAGAGACTGGACGACTGATGGAAGCATGAGATTGATGTGTTGAAGCAATCATATCCGCAAGTGTGGAGTTTTTGAGAGCAAGCTCTGCTGTTACTATATTTCTCCTGAAAGAGGTCCATTTGGCCTGGAGAGACATCTTTCTTTTGCTGGCGACTTTGAGGGAAACAGCCTGTTAATAATCCCTCCGGATTGGAGACGCTTTTGGGATTCCCGTTTCCTTTGTCAAAGTTTTGTTACGGATAGTCGGATACAACAGCATCGTTGAACAAGGGAAGTCATAACCAACCGAGAGACTTTGACATATCGAGGCTCCGAGTTGATACTTTGAGAATATACATACTCCGTTATCAGTCTGCAACTACGGATTCAAGTTGAAGGCACGCGCTATTCTGCCCGCTTAAAACGTGTGATTGAGACTCTTGGCTGAATGACCCTATTGTGTGCATGGCATCATGCTATCCTCCCAGAAATTGCACGGCGATAAACTCCCTATTCTCTCCCGGCTAGTATTATCCAAAGGAGATATGGACTTAAGCTCTCGTCACTGCTTTTTTCCAGATGCATTGCCAAGCAATTCTGGTCGTGGTGCATTCTATTAGATACGGCATTGGCCGAAAACCCCACGCATTACGCATTGAAGACATGACATCACGTAGAGCCCGTATCAGTCAACCCCTCCTCGGCGATCCCCCAGGGCACACTGGCATCGACACTTACACGGCGGGCTGCCAATTGCAGTGTACACAGCGAGCTGTTGATTGTGGAGATCTGAGGGGACCGCTCCTTGGCATACACCTCAAGGCACTCTGATGCTGTGTTGCTGTACCGATAGAACCGAGTTGCTGTTTCAGATCCCTCTTTGCCCAGTGCAGTGTTGCGTACGTCCAAGCTCGGCTCGAAACAGCAGGTGAGAAGAGCTCCTGTCATTGATCCGTGAGGAATTGTATGATAGATGCATGGATGTCACTCATAAAACTTCTCCCAGTACCACAATAGACACGCAGCACCTAGACTTATAGCACCTTCCTTCATAACCATTTCGTCATCCTGTGCCTAACCGTCACGAACGACAGCAGGGCCGAATCATCTGCAAGGCTCACACCTGTCCCAAGCTCTCTGAACGACAACATTTCCCTTCATTCACTCAATCGCAGTGACTTCACATTGCATTGGATGCGCCCACCTCATATAAGGTGGAGCTTACCCCAGATCATCGTCAAGCTACCGGCCGCTGCCTATGTACTGGAGCCAGTTTAATCTAATCAGATCAATCAATCAATCATCGTTGACAAGCTCTATCTAAGACACCATGGGCCGTCTCGGGGCTCGAGCAACTGGCGCAGCATTGTTGCTTCTTGCCGCCAACTCCAATGCGCAGACCACCACAGCCACCAGCAGCTCACCATCCGCCTGCCCAACAGTCCTCACGCCAGACTATCAAGCACCTGTAGTCGGCGGTGGATGGACCGCACAACTTGCTGTCACTGGGCTGAAGAGACCCCGCAGCATCATATTCGACGAGAACGGCGCCTTGTTGATCGTGCAAGGCGGCACGGGCATCCAGCATGTCACCTTCAACGACCAAGGTGGCACTTGCCTGTTTGTAAAGGAGACCAAGAACCTCATTGAGAATTCGGATGTAAGTAGTCGGTGCCACAGAGGGACAAACAGACCAAATTAATAATTACTGAATAGCTCAACCACGCGATCGAGCTGTCTGCTGATGGCAAGACGCTCTACGCTTCAACCTCAGAGGCCGTTTATTCCTGGCCCTATGACGCTGCGGCTGGAACAGTCGATCTAGACAACAACGTAACTCTGATCAGCAACATGAGCAACTCGGACCACGTCTCTCGCACCCTGCTTCTATCTCGCAAGGTCAATGGAACCCTCCTCGTCTCACGCGGGAGCGGCGAGAACATGGATTTCAGTGCTCAGGAGGTCAGCTCCGGTATCTCGCAGATCAAGGCTTTCGACATCAACAACCTGCCGGACGGGCACCCTTATGACTACGCTTCCGAGGGGACGCTCATTGGCTGGGGCTTGAGAAACTCCGTTGGCGTGGCCGAGCATCCCGTCACCGGCGGCATCTACAGCGTTGAGAACTCGGCCGACCAGATCAAGAGAAGCGGGACTGATATCCACCAGGATGATCCCGGTGAGGAGATGAACTACCACGGGTTTCTCAACAGAACCGACGAACTACATGGCAAGAACTATGGGTATCCCGACTGCTTTGCACTCTGGGGCACGGATATCCCAGACAAGGGAAAGTTGACAGTTGGCGACCAATTTACACTTGACCCGAATAGCGATCTAAACGACACCACCTGCGCGGATGAATATGTCTCGCCGAGGCTGACTTTCCAGGCTCACACCGCACCGCTGGACATGTTGTTTACCCCTGACGGCGCTGAGGCTTATATCACGTTCCACGGCAGCTGTAAGTCCTCCTTCGAGCAATGTAGACACCTTTCATATGCTAACTCTATTCCCAGGGAACCGGGACGAGCCCGTCGGCTACAAGCTCTCGCTCGTCAAGTTCTCCAACGGCGAGCCCGTCGAGCCCTCAGACAGCACCACCTCGACCGAGGACATCCTCAGCAACGCCGACCTGAGCGACTGTCCCGGCAGCTGCTTCCGGCCGGTCGGCGTCGCGCTGGACAGCCAGGGCCGGCTGTGGATGAGCTCGGACTCGACCGGCGAGATCTACGTGCTGCAGAAGGCCGAGATGACGGCGCTGGGTCCTAGCGGGACGAGCACTGCGTCCGGCAGTGGCACGCTCGTCACCTCGACCTCGACCTCGGCTACATCTCCCAACATTGCGCCGCGGTCTGCTAGGAATCAGCCTGGCCAGGAGGCTCTGTGGTTGACTTTCCTTGCTATCTCGCTGTCGTTTGTTGGCGGTGCGTTCTTTGCGATGGCTTAATACTCTTGGAAGCACTCAGGGGTCTGATGTGGCCTATGTTGTGAGCTGCGTAAAGACGGTGAAAAATGTGTGTGCTGGGCAAATTCGAGGCAGTCATTAGGACTCAAAGTGTATGTTATGAGGAGATGAAAGAGGTGCTGTATGTATGGTTAAGCGAGCGTATCTGTTATATGTGCTCCAGGGACGCCTTCCTTTTATTGGGCATTTACTTAGGCGGCGTATCAAGGGCGTTGTTTGACAGCTCATGACTTTAATGAGAAGCAATGGCTTGACTGCTCTCGATTAATGCTGTTAATGGTTCTCTATATGTGTTACTAAAGCCTCACGTTGATTCATTAGTTGTTGGCATTTCAGGATACGCCGCAAGTCAGCTTGGACTTCAACGAAGAGTGGCCAAGAAGAGGTAGGTTCATCGTTGCTTTTACTCGTATTACCAGCCTGTACCCTAACGCCGTGCAGTGGAACAAAATTCTACTCTACTCCTCCATCGTCTTGACGCACTCCCACTCGCCGCGGAGGTTCTCCTTCCACAGCGTGACCTTGTTGTCGCCGCCGCTCACCGCCAGCACGTTCCCGCTCAACGACCAGCTCACCCGCCACACCTCCTTCTCGAAGTTGAGCACCTTGGTGTGCCACTGGCCGGGGCTGGCCGGGTCCGAGGTCCAGATCCGCACCGTCTTGTCCTGCGACGCAGACGCAATGTAGCTCTTCTGCAGCACCGTCGGGCTCCACGCTACGTCACGCACCCAGTCCGTGTGGCCCGCCAGCGGCTCGCGCTCGGGCTTGTAGCTGTTCGTCGTGGGGTCGAAAACCCACAGCTTCAGGAGGTTGTCGCAGCCGCCCGTGACGAAGCGCCGGTTGCCCGTCGCGCCAGGGCCGGGGTTGCTGGAGACGATGCTGCCGGGCGTTGTGGCGGGGGCCCACGACACCGAGTTGACGCCGAGCCCGTGGGCGGGGAAGATGCTGTGCTCGTAGCTGTTGTCCTTGAACTCGAGGACGGAGACGTTGCCGTCGGACGAGGCGCACGCGAGCAGGCAGCCCGACTCGTGCGGCGACCAGGCGATGGTGTTCACCGAGGCCTTGTGCAGCGCAAAGTCGAACAGCTTTTGCCACGAGCCCTGCTGCTCGCGCCAGATCAGAACCTTGCCGTCGTAGCCCGCCGATGCCAGGATGTTGCCGTATTTCGGGTGCGCCCAGGATACACTCCATACTGCCCCCTCGTGACTATCACCCCTCGTGATTAGCTTTCAGCTGCCTCTTGGTGCTTGCGCAGTCGGTCTTACCCTTTCAGAGTTTCTGCTAGTCGCTGTGTCTCGCCTTCAATCTCGAAGATCTTGATCGTTCTGTCCGAAGAGCATGTTGCAAGCCGCCTGCCGTAGTAATCGAGAACTGCATCGTGCTGCGCGAGCTCAGTTAGCTGACTTGTCTAAGTAGTACTGGGCAAAGGCTCTCGTCAAATGCACTCGACTCGTGCGCATCGAGGGCTCGTGAGGTAAAACACACAATCATCTCATCGTGGCCAGTATTGGATATGACCTGTGTAGCCTGTGTTGGTCTCCAGGTTAGCGATTGAAGCCCAGAAACTCGAGTGACGGGTTGCCTATTAAATTGAGGTCTACCTACCATCTTCGCGGAATTTTGTGAGGGCGATCAAAGAAGTAGAAAGGAATGCAGACAAGACCGTAGGAAGGGAAAAGGGTATCTCAATTGACTAAAAGGAGGTTGAGAAAGCCAGATATCTAATGTTTATGAGATGACGAAGGCCACACTACGCTGGAGGCTCCTTCCAGGTACAGCTTGAGCTGTCCTGGAAATTTGGAAATTCCGCGCGCCGAAGACACCCACATGCCCCCCACCTGCCACAAGCGATCAGGGCGACTGGGGCCACAAGACTTATATAAGTCGCTTCAGCAGCCTCCCTTCCCTCCTCGATATGGACTGAGACCTTGACAACGAACGACACAATGCCGAGCAAAGAAGCAAAAAGGATTGGGGCTCACCCGGGGATCGAACCCGGGACCTCTCGCAAATTTTGCTAAGGGTTGTTATCCCTAAGCGAGAATCATACCACTAGACCAGCGAGCCTCTTCTGGATCCGATTCGGCTAAGAATTGAATCTTGTGGGTGTCTCTCGTGGGCTCGGTGACTCCAACGGTGAAGCCCGACGTATTAGCGGTCTGCCCCACGAGCCCAGGGACGGGCCATCCTGGTCCACCCACCAAACTTCTCGCGACGAAAGGTTGTCCTAGACACAGCTGTGGTGACTAAATTGGCACGAGTCTGGCAGGACCGCTAATGATTGCTAAAGAAGGGCTAGAAAAGAGCCGAGACTGATTCTCTTCAAATGAGTCGACTGGAGTTTGCTTAAGACGGTTGGTTAATGAGGCTTTCTGCATAGGTTAGGAGGTCCAAACGAGACAGGTAACTAGCAGGTTGTTTGACGATTTCTAAGACATCTCTGTTCCCGCCCGAAACATGTAAGTTTCGTAACACAAACATGGCTCTTCCAGAGCAGAAAAAATACGAGCCATTACAGAACGGTGAAGAAACACCACACATAGCATCAGCATGATCAGGTCCGATATTGCGAGTGTCTTGCTTCACTCTTTCAGCTTAGACAGGTCCAGACCCGATAGGCTGCTGCTCAGTATCCAACAGGGATGCCAAACGGCGAGGTGCGCTATCAAAGTCCACTCTTCCCAACACTTGCAGCATGTTGCAGGACGCCAAAAACCCCGCGCGGTCGCCGAGAGCCCCCCTCCTCCCACTTCGCTCACGAACTGGCTGAAATGGTTGGACCGCGGGTCCAGATGTGGCGGCGGCGCCGTCACGTCAGTCGTACGTTCAATGTGAGAAATGATGGCTTTGGACCCTGTTTGCCCTGCATGAGCTTGACAGTTCACTGCAGCTTCTCACTTTTACTTCCTTCGCCTCGCACTCTCTGCGTAGGAGTGAGGGTCTGGAGTTGGGGCGTGAGGTGCCACAGGATTCTGTGATAGACCAAGATGCTTAAACTGGGTCACACGCTGGGGCTAGACTTGCCTTATATTATTGTCTTCCAGCCTTCCTAGTCCTCTTTTACCTTCTTCTATCTTTCCTATTCTCTACCCACTTCTAGGTGGATGATATCACTCCTAATTCCCCGCGACACATGACTAGAAGAGCAGTTGTCGTCGTGAACGCTTCCTGTTATTAGACAGCCGTTCATCGAGTAGTTCTCTTCATCGCTACATACCAACCGAAACATATTGATCGGATGAGGCGGATCCCACAGACGTTGAAAGCATCTTTCGAGAAACATCATTATCTTGCTTATACTCTTCTCATATTCTCTTGTGCCTTCTATATATAAGAGGCGATAAACGATATTGGCGAGGATAGTTGCCACTGTCGTTACCGACAATCACTTTTCACAAATGCCTCTGCCATATGCCTGAACATCAAAACAGATCTAGACAACAGCGTGTCTTCTAGGATACCTCCTGTCCGGATATGTGTACACAATTCAACTTCCTTTTCAAGTGCGGCCATCGAGGCTTCGACAAATTTGAGAACTGTGCCAATTTTGGTCGATCCTGCTATGGTGCTGGAGGCAAGCACAAGGAAAAGATCGTGCCAGATATTTGCAACGATTGCAAGGCCAGGGCACGTCTAGACCAAGGCGGTGGTGATATGGAGAAGCCGAAAGACCCATGGTGGGACGATGATCCGTGGAGGAAGAGGAGGAAAGGGTGATGATTAATGTGCGAACGAGTAATGAATTGATGAAGGAGTATGCTTGATGAGCATACAATGTGTTCATAATTTGCTAAGTCTTTGACTACTGTTAGTCGTTATGAAGTGTGTGAGTCTTCAAAAGCAGTGCTGAGTGAGGTTAGAGCTGTCTGCCAAACCAGCGATTCTGATCATCTCTTGTGAGGATTGAACTTAGGACTAATGAGTTTGCAAAACAATATGTGGGATCTCGGCATGTGCTCTCTTTCATTTTGAGTTGAGATTCCAAGTTTTGTACACTTTTAACAGTTCACAGCATCTGATGTGTGTTGAAATGGAAATCAATTGTCCTAGTATGTCAAATGACTATGCCGTACCTGAACTCCAATGTGATGCTTTCTATGCCTGAAGTGACTTATACCCGCCTTCGCTAACAGCCTTGAAACCGCCATCTAGATTGACAACGTCAAACCCATTCTGCACCAACACTCTATAAGCCAAATACCCGCGATATCCTACATAGCAGTAAGTCAATATCTTCTTGTCTTGGCTCAATTCTGCCATCCGTTCCCTCAATCCCCCGATCGGGATGTTAACTGCCCCCTTAACATGCCCTCTTGCGAATTCTTCGGGGGACCGAACGTCAACGACCTGATAATCCTTCAGGTTCAGGCTACCGTCTGCGAATTCTGCTGCATGAACAATCTTCACATCACCACGCAGGACATTTCCGCCAACAAAGCCAACCATGTTGATTGCGTCCTTGGCTGCTCCATATGGGGGTGCGTATCCGAGCTCCAGATGCTCAAGGTCTTCAATCGTCAGACCACCGCGCATGGCCGTCGCCAAGACGTCGATTCTCTTGTCTACACCTTCGCCTCCAACGATCTGAGCACCAAGAATCTTCCCGCTGGACACTTCGAAGGCGACCTTCATCGTCATCGGTGTGCCTCCGGGGTACCAGCTCGCATGCTGCGGTGGGTGAACTGTGACGTATTCATGCTCGATGCCCGCGCGTTTCAGGTTGTCTGTCGAGAGTCCTACCAGGCCAACGGTTTGATCGAATACTTGACAGACAGCTGTGCCGACATTACCACGGTATTGGACAGCACGTCCGGCAATATGATCTGCTGCAAGCCGGCCCTGACGATTTGCCGGACCAGCGAGAGCCGTTTGCACGGCTGTGCCAGTGACGAGGTGTTGAGTCTCAACCATGTCTCCAACGGCGTAGATGTCAGGATCAGAAGTCTGCATTGACTCGTTGACAGTGACTCCCTTCTGACCCACCGCGAGTCCAGCTTCTTTGGCAATGGCACTCCTGGCGCGAATGCCCACAGCCACAATAACCAAGTCAACAGGTGTTGGATCGCGACCTTCTGCAACGATGCTCGAATCGGTGATTTCTAGGACGCGAGCGTTGAGAGCTAGGTCAATTCCGTTTCGTACCAGCCCGGTATCGAGCCTCTCCGCGATATCGCCGTCGACAAGCGGGAAGACGTGAGGGCCGTATTCGAAGAGGGATACTTCCAGGCCGCGCTTTCGCAGATTCTCGGCCGCTTCGAGGCCAATGAAGCCGCCTCCTAAGACAGCAGCACGACGGACGTTATTGGATACAATAAAAGCTTCGATTTGCTGTAGATCGGGAATTGTCTGCAAGTGGAAGACGTGTTTCGAGTGGACTCCCTTTATCGGAGGCACGAATGCTTCGGCACCCATAGCTAGGATTAGCTTGTCGTATGGTAATGTGGACTCGATTCCAGTCTTATTGTCGCGAACTGTTGCAGTGTTGTTTCCACGGTCAATGCGAAGGAGTTCCGTGTTAACATGGACATCGACATTGAACCAAGCCTTTATCTTGGGCACAGTCTGGAGATGCAGGGCGGACTCTTTCTCGATCACGCCGCCCAGGTTATAAGGGATGCCACAGTTGGCGTAGCTGATGTACGGCCCCTTTTCGAGTACTGTTATCTTCGCAGTTTCGTCAAGGCGTCGCAAACGAGTGGCCGCAGACATTCCACCTGCAACGCCGCCGACAATGAGAACGTTCTTGGCTTGTGCCATTGTAGAGAGTGGCAAAGAAGGTACAAGTAATTTCAGTCTATTTGTTGCTTTCAACATTAGATGGATGTTTGATCATGTCCTTTTGTGAAGGGCCTTGTCAAGTGGACCTCCAAACATGCTTTATATAATGATATACCGACTGATGGGTGTTAATCTTGAAAGACACATTATTAATAAATCATGAACAGTAAAAGATGAAGCCTTGATATTGGAATTCCCCAGTACATAATCAGGATCATTCACTAATAGACACCGAGGAAGGAAAGGGCCACAGTCGCCGACCAGATGGTATAGTGTTTGGCTAATGGGCACCATCACACTAGGCGCAAGTTGCTTCTCGATCAACGCCCCCATCTTCTGCTCCATGATATTAGTAAGTCCCAAAAGACTATAAAAAAACGAAATCATCCAATTGATCTAATCATAAAGAGAATACTGCTTTGATTTGCTTATCAGTCATTTCAATGCACAGTTGTGATCAAAGTGACCAAAGGTTGTGAGATTAGTGAACATTCGATCAGACTTATCAGGAGACCAAAGAGCAAGCCCAGCGGGGAGCATGGGGACGGAGGTGCCCTGTGGTGGAGAGTTTTCGGGGAGTTTATCACCAGACCCGGCAAACGGGAACAGTCAGCATTCGGCGACCATTTCAGGGGACAGCCCGGGGCACTTAAAGGCTTACGAGAGTCATGTGATTTCGTGGATTAGCGTGATTTAGCCTCGCCTTGCAACAAGCTGTATCATCCACCTTGATGCGACAGCTTGACAACAATTATGACAAAGTCCATCATAGCGTTGGCTGACATGTAGAAGCTTCCCATAACGGGCTGCGTCATGTCCCATAGACCGTGCTTCAATTTCATTTCTTGTTCTACCTCCTTGCGCCTTTACTCCACGCCCTGCACGGGATCATGGTAGGCGGACGTCGCAATGCGACAAGGCGCGGGGTGTCTGACTCCTCGAATGCTGCGCGCTCATCACCGCGGACGACCCGTGCTGCCGCAAGCCGCGATGGCATCCCGAACGTCTATCAAGAGATGCTCGCTGAGGCTGGCGCTGGCCCTTCACGGAGACGAGTGACGCCAGAAACACCCGAGCGACCTTTGAAGAGACGACGAGCTGGGCCTATGACCCCGTCGAAGCCCACTGCACCAGTGCAAAGAGAAGCGGGGTCTCCACCTCCTTTTTCAAGGAGACCTGAAGAAGGAGAAGACGAGGAAGATGACATCCACTTTGAAGATGTCGAACTACCCGAGCCCACAGTCCAGACGACTTACAGGGACTCAGATGACGAAGATGATGAAGACGAGGAAGGCCAGTTCGAGGATATTGACTTCGGCACGCTGGCTCTCGCCCAAGGGGCTGAGAGCGATGCTAACAGGGATATCGAACTGAATCTCACTGCTCATCAGGAGGCCATGACTCCTAAGCGCAACACTGAGCGAAGAAAACCTATCAGCAAGGCTGAGAAGGAACGTCGTGTTGAGATACATAAGATGCATTTGCTTTGCTTGCTGTCACATCTAAGCAAAAGAAATCACTGGTGCAACGATCCAGTCGTACAAGAGAGTTTGCGACCGTTGTTGACACCTAAGATTGTAACTTATCTAAATCCTGGCCGCAATTTGTCGCAGTTTGGCCAGACAGAGTCTTTGAAGAATGGCCTGAAGCAAGCAGCAGAAATCTTCAAGTCCAGGTTTTCCATAACTGAAAGGGGCATCCGGAGGGCACTCTGGGCGGAAGACGAGACTCAACTACAAGATGTACATTTCCCTTGGTAACTTCATCGGTCTGACAGTTGCTGATGTCCTCACAGTATCAACTTCCTGACGATGTGGAGACATGTCTAGAAAAGGCAGACTTCAGAAAATCAGCAAAGACGTTGCGGGGATCCCGCGATGTAGGAGCACAGCTATTTTGCGCTTTACTTAGAGCGGCAGGCGTGGAAACTCGCCTTGTATGCTCTTTGCAACCCCTGTCTTTTGTGCCAGGTGGCCCAACAATTCCGAAGCAAAAATCAAATAAAATGTCATCGAAGGCCGCGAAAGCTGAAGCTATACGCGCTGCGATGTCTAGGTACGGATATCAAGAGCCAGATACGTCATCGTCGTCTTCACCGAGGAGGAGACTAGGTCATCCCAATGCAGGGGCATATCATATTCCGGATATTTCTGTTCCAACAAGCTCGACTCCACGTCCTCCAGCCACGCCAAAGCGCATCCGTGGTGAATCATCGTTTCCAGTCTACTGGGTTGAAGTGCTTGATGTAGCTCACCAGAAATGGGCGCCCGTCGACCCCCTCGTAACAGAGTCGCAATGGAAGCCACAGAAGTTTGAGCCGCCCGCCTCAGACCGGGACAATGCAATGACGTATGTCATTGCCTTTGAGGCCGACGGAAGTGCACGGGATGTCACAAGACGGTATGCCAAAGCGTATAACTCAAAGACAAAAAGAATGAGGATTGATGGCGCGCCTCTGTCGGGCGAAGAACCTGCTGCATCAGGCCAGCTTACCGGTGAGAAATGGTGGCGGCGGACCATGCGCCGATATGCAAAGAGCCATCGTACAGATCTCGATCAGATTGAGGACAACGAGCTTGCAGCCGCTGAGGCTCGTGAGCCAATGCCCCGAAACGTACAAGACTTCAAAAATCATCCCGTATATGCACTTGAGAGGCATCTCCGACGGCACGAGGTGCTTGTGCCAGGGGCACAAATGGCTGGCACTGTTGGCGCTGGGAGCAAAGGTCCATTAGAGCGCATCTATCGACGCCGAGACGTGCGTATCGCCCGATCAGCCGAGACATGGTATCGTATGGGTCGTGAGGTCAAGCCAGGTGAAGAACCTGTAAAAATTCTGCCGAAGAAGGTTAGGAGATCCAGGATTTCTCTCGGCGATGAGGACGACGAAGAAGAGGAGGAGGATCCTGTGTTGGGGATCGTACCATTATCTGCGGGCACGCCTATATATATGCCTGAACAAACCGAGCTTTACCGTGCTCCTCCCGTTATCAATGGTCGTGTGCCAAAGAACAAATTTGGCAATCTAGATGTCTACGTGCCCAGCATGGTTCCGGAAGGGGGTGTACACATTATCGACGAGCATGCTGCACACGCCGCTTTCGTTCTTGGAGTGGACTATGCACCAGCCTTGACCGGGTTCCAGTTTAAAGGGCGGAAAGGAACAGCGGTGCTTCTTGGTGCTATTGTCCCTCAGGAGAGTGAAGAGGCCGTTCGCGCTGTAATTGAAGGCTTTGGGGATCTGGAAGCCCAGATGGAAGAGGATCGTCGCGCTACGAAGGCGTTGAGAATGTGGAGCAGGTTCTTAAAAGCCCTGCGTATTCGGCAACGGATCTGGGCGAATGTAGACCCTGACGCGGAAGAGGAGCTGGAACCAGGCGGTTTCGAGCCCGAAAAGGGGAAAGAAGTTGCGGACGAGGATATGGACCTGGATGATGCGCCGAGTGATGTCACAGAGGAGTATTTCATGGAAGAAGATGACGAGGGAGGCGGCGGGTTCTTGATCGAATAAGAAATGATATCATGTTTTACGATTACTTCAGATAGAACGAGCTCTATGAAGCTCTATCACGAATAACAAAAATGATACCAATTATCAATGAGATACACCACGAAGACTTCATTATGTCACGTATGACTCTCAGGTGATCATGGATATGCTGTTCAGGAGATGATCCCTGTATTCCATACATCAAAATGTACACGCTCCATATATACAGTTGTTGTACAGTAGTGCGCCAAAACGCTTCTCTCGCCTCATTCCAGCATTGGAGGCAGACTGAGCGTCAATATGCTGACCGATGCCTCGGGAGGCAACAAAACTACGCCTTCTCTGAAGTCATTTTCTTGACCACAAGTTCAGGAGTTCCATCCCTTAGTCCAGACCGTTCTCCTCTTTCCATCTTTGTAGATAAAGCTCGGGACTCCTCGGCCCTTTAGGATCAACGTACTGGCCGAACCCCCACGTCCTCTTCATGTTGTTCGTCACAAACGGGGTAAGCTGCGCATATGTATCAGCATCCGTTGTCTCCTCATACTTCGCGTTGCCAATGTAGCTTAGAAAGCAACCTACCTTGAATGTACTCAATCCCGCAGGCACAACATATGTCCGCACCTTCGGCCACTCAATCACGTAGCCACCGTACTTCGTGTGTCGTCCCATGCTGCCTGTTCCTGTTCCCTTGTAGTATCCCTTGTTGACATTCTTCGTCGTGAGCCTAAGCTTGCGCCATCTCCGGCCGAAAAGAACTTCTGTAGCTCTCATGATGGAGGCGTTCGCGCAAGACAAGCTGCGCCCTTATGGTATTGGGCCACACAATCGGTGGACGAGTTGGCTGGAGGAAACACAATTGCAGATGATGAGCTTCCGCCTCGGAGTTTGGTGTGGGAGTGGCGTTGTGATGCGATTGTCGAACAGCTCGATGAACAACACCATAGAAAGAGAATCACGTCTACCTCGAGGCTTGGCGGTTCTTTTGGACAGGCGGTGTCTTACGGCAGAATGTCAACCCTCCCCTAGCGCCTTAGCCACTCGGCCATTTGGTACTTCTGGGTACTCACTGCACGGCAGGGATTCCAAAGTAAACGCCGACCGACCCACTAACACACACCGCCATCCCACTGAGAGCGGCAGAAAAAAAGTTTCGGAGAGCTGATTTCAGTGCTTCTGAGGTACGATATTCCTGGCGCCGTTCATTGTAAGTCTGGCAGCGGTCAGGTCGATGCTTCAGACCAACACCACCACGCCGCCACGCCCTCAATGCCAGGACGACAGGCCCACGGCCGGCCCCTGCTGGCCCAGCCGACCAAGAAACGCGCCGGTCCAAAATCAAAGGCCAAATCACGAGGCCACGCCCTTGACGCCTTCGCCATCGCTTCGAAGCAGGTCGAGCCGGAGCGCATAACCCGCCGGGGACGAGACCTTGACCTGGAGCCGGAAAAGGAGCACAAGAAGCACCGCAGAGACGAGGATGACGATGAGGACGAGGATGAGGACGGTGGGGCTGATGAGGACGAGGGCCCGCGCAAGAAGCGAGCTCGTAGGTCGGCATTCAACGAGGAGGATGGAGAGAACTCTGAGGACGATGAGCGTGGGAGCGACAGCGAGGGCCACGAATGGCATGTGGGAGTCGACGGCGAGGACGAGGACTCTGAGATAGACAGCGATGAGGCCTTTGGCGAGAGTGACGACGACCGCTTCGACGGGTACAAGTTTGGCGGAAGCCGGGCTAAGGAGGATGAAGACGACTCTGATGCAGAAGATGACGATTCGCTGGGCGAAGATGCGATCGACCTTGCACAGGCCTTGGATCAAGTGTCTGACGAGGACGACGAAGGGTCTGCCGGTGACACAGAATCTGGTTCGGAGGATGGCGAGGAGTCCGAATCCGAGTCATCTGTTAGTGAGGACGAAGATGAGGATGAGGACGACCCATCGAAAATGGATGCTCTTCAGAGCCTCATCAAAGGCTTTGCGGATGACGAAGGAGATCATGCCGAGGCTGACGGCTCCTCAAACTCCAAGCAGAAGATAAGCCTGAAGGACTTGGGACTCTTCGGCGTCAAGGATCCGGACATGAAAAAGTCCCTCAAGCTCATGAAGAAGGAAGAGCATGAAGGAAAAGCAAGCTCTTCCAAGAAGCTCGATGTGCCTCTTGCCAAACGTCAGCAAGATCGTCTCGATCGTGCTGCAGCGTATGACAAGACCAACCAGACACTCAACAAATGGACCGAGACCGTCAAGCACAACAGGCGGGCGGATCATCTTGTCTTCCCGTTAGCGAACACATTGCCCAATGCTGGGCTGGACAATGGCGAGCTGCTGCCTCTGACGAAGAAGACTGCTGGCACGGAGCTCGAGCAGACTATCATGTCAATCATGGAGGAGAGCGGTCTTGGGCCTAGCGCAAAGCAGAAGGACGAACAAAAGCAATTAGCAGACGGAGAGCCAGCAGAGACGATTTCGCGGGCTGATCTGCAGGAGATCTGGGCGCAGCGCAGGCGAGACAGAGAGCTTCAGTCCCGCGAGCAGGCCAAGGCAAAGAGGATAAAGAAGATCAAGAGCAAAGCCTACCGCCGGGTCCATCGGAAAGAGAACCTACGGAATGAAGAGGCGACGTACGATGCCATGAAGGCCGCAGGCGAGATCGACTCGGAAGAGGAGCGAGAGACTCAGCACCGCAGGCGAGCGATGGAAAGAATGGGCTCGCGGCACAAGGAGAGCAAGTGGGCCAAGATGGCATCGAAGACGGGCCGCGCTGCGTGGGACGACGATTTCCGCTCTGGGCTTACGGATATGGCTCGGAGAGACGAGGAGCTACGTCGACGTGTTGAAGGGAGGACAGGCACCGCAGACGATGGAGACGATTCTGACGCCACGAGCTCTTCTGGCGACGACGATGGAAATAGCCGTCTCCTTCAACAACTCAATCGACTCGAAGATGATGCAGACGAGGCTCCACAATCAAATCTTATGAAGATGGCCTTCATGCAGAAGGCGGAAGCTGCAAGAAAGAGAGCAAATGACGAGCTCATCGCCCAGATCCGTCGAGATCTGGACTCGGAAAATGAAAGCGACGTGGCGGAGGGCGATGTTGGTCGTCGAACATACGGCGCACCCAAGACCATTTCCAGTCGATCTGAGGAGCCTGCGGAAGAAGTCAATGAAACAACAGGCAGCACTGCCCAGAGTCGATCAGCCAAAGCAAAGACCGGTCTATCTGCTGCTATCCCAACAGTTCCTGAGCCCCAGACATCGACCCCTGGCGGCGCTGGCGCCTGGTCAAGAGGCGGCAAGCCGAGCAGCAAGAAAGACAAGAAGCTGAGCAGCGCCCAGGTCGCCGAGCTCGACCTAAGCAGCAACATCCTGATCGCAAGCAAGCCCGCCTCCAAAGCCAAGCCAAAGACCACACAGAACGGCACACCCAGCGCCGACGATTCGCCATCCGACTCGGACGACGAAGGCGCGATGCACCTGCCCCTGGCGGTCCGCAACCAGGAGTTGGTGGCGCGCGCCTTCGCAGGCGACGACGTGGTGGGCGAGTTTGAGCGCGAGAAGGAGGCGGCCGTCGAGGCGGACGACGACAAGGTCGTCGACAACACGCTGCCGGGCTGGGGCAGCTGGGTGGGCGAGGGCGTGAGCAACCGCGAGAGGCGGCGGCACCAGGGGCGCTTCGTGACGACGGTGGCCGGCGTCAAGAGGAAGGACCGCAAGGACGCCAGGCTGGAGCGCGTCATTGTCAATGAGAAGCGCGTGCACAAGGTGAGTTTGATGCCGCATATCTGGTGCTGGGACGACAATAGAATGCTAACTCGAGTGCAGAACGACAAGTATCTTGCCTCTCAGCTGCCACATCCGTTCGAGTCGCGGAACCAGTACGAGCGGTCGCTCCGTCTGCCAATGGGCCCGGAATGGATGACGAAGGAGTCGTTCCAGGCCGTCACGAAGCCGAGGGTCATTGTCAAACAGGGTATCATTGCCCCGATGTCCAAACCAGTTCTTTAAGAACGTCATGGCTGTTAAACCTGGTCGAGTGATCATAAACCTTAAGAAGTGAACTTTTTCACGTCACATATAGCCACGTATTCGTGCGTGCTTCAATAGATTCTACCGGCAATCTTACAAGGACCACCTATCTTCTCATATGTGATGATTGTGACGAATAACTACTCGATACCTTTGCACCGTTATATCGCCCTAATAATACAACTGATCCCCTATTTTGGAACAAATCACGCCTCTCCTGAGATCCATCCCTCCTAAACCGGCCAGTCAACCTGACCATTCCGAGCCCTCGAGTATTCCAGTCTTCTCTCGGGGACGCCTATGATGAAATGTACATAAGGGAAAAAAACACTAGCAGAACCCGTTGGTGATTGTTACGGTGTTGTATACACAGAAAGGCTCCCTGGGTATTGTTTCCCCGGGAAAACGTATCGTGTTGAATGTGAGATTATCTACCCAGTCGTTTAATTCGAGCGGCCCACGAAGACTAGGACCTTGTCGAGGGCTTCACTGGGACTGGCGTAGAAGGCCAGCGCGATGATGACGTAGAGGCCCATCAACATAGCGCCCTCAAGATAGTTGGATTTGCCGTCTTGCACAGTGTAGGTGACAACCACCACAGAGATGAAGAAGGCAACTGTCTCGACTGTACGAGAAAGGGGTATTGTTAGTAGAGCTCTGGCTTGGCGCATTGGGGGCTGACAAGCATCAGCGCTTTTGGGCACTCACAAGTCTCGAATTGAAGGGTCATCGGTACTCCCATGATCCAGCCAAGAATGACGAGGAAAGGGGTTACGAGCAGCGCAATCTGGATACTGGATCCAACAGCAACACCCATAGCCTACAATTGTATTTTGTTAGCATATTTTCATCCCATTGCGTACGCCCGTCAGCGAAAAAGGGGCACAGCTCTGGAGCGACGTACCAGATCCATCTTATTCCGCACAGCCACCAACACAGCCGTCACATGCTCGGCCGCGTTGCCTACGATGGGGATCAGAATCAGACCGATAAAATTCTTGCTGATCTTTCCGGTCGCGACGATGGCGTCGATGCTGTCCACGAGGTAGTCTGCGCACACAGCGATGACGACGGTCACAGCAACAAGCACGGCGGCTGCGGACCAGGCGCTCATGTGCACCTCTTCTTCCTCCTCGGTATCGTCCTGAGGAGCCAAAGTTTCTGGGTCCGGGTTGAAGAGGTTCTTGTGGGTCCGCAGCTGGAAGTACAGGTAGAGGACGTACAGCAGCAGAAGGATGATGGAGGTGCCGCGCGATAGCAGGAGGATGCTGGCTTCCTTGTCGTGTTCATCGGCATGGTCGAGCATACTGTAGAGCTGCCTGTATGTCAGCTGGACCGTTTTCAACAATTAGTCAAAGGAGGCTCACCGCAGCAGGAATAATCATAGAAGCGGACGAGACAGCCATGAGGGAGCAGGTAGTTTGCGCCGTGCCACTCGCAAAGCTTTGCTCTGAGCCCACATCACCGCGCATGTTGTTCCAGAGACCGCCTAGGAAGAAGCACATGCCCATGACCAGCAACAGATTTGACAAGATTGACCCAAGCATGGATGACTGCACGACTTGAATCTGGCCATCTCGAAGCGCCACAATACTGACCTATTTCAGGCGTTAGCATGTGATATCGTTCCAGCATTGTCATTGCCTTGGCGAGACGTACAATCAGCTCGACAGCATTGCCAAAGGTAGCATTCAGCAGACCACCTAGAGTCTCGCCGAGCTTCGACGAGATCTCCTCTGTGGCAAATGACAGAATTGCTGCGAGGGGGATGATGGCAAAAAAGTTTAGGGTGAAGACAGCTGTGGCGCTCCACTCCTTGACGCCAGCAATGATACCCAGGGGCACAAAAACGAGCAAGATATTTACGGGGCCTGTAATCCGTATGTTAGCAGAACAACATTGTGACGGGGGACGTTGGTTTCCCTTGTCCGTTGGCCGGGTGTGACATACTACTCAGCAGCGTGGCCTTGGTGACGTTGAACACATGGGCCGAATAGCGCACGGCGTGATTCGAGCTGTCGGTGCCGGGGGTGTGCCTCGGGTCGAGGAGCACCTGGCGCCAGAATCCCGGGTCGTCACCGTTGCCGTCAGAGCCGGAGTGGCCGTTGATCAAGGGGGTGTTCTCGTCTGGTCCGGCGAGGGTGCTACCGCCCCCAATCCCAATGCCGGAATTGGTGCGGTCGGCGCTGCCGTTTGCGCCGCCGCCACCTCCTAACTTCACGGCGCTTCCCATCCTTCTGAACTGTTCACGCCAGGTGACTGAGGGTACTGTATTGCCGTTCACCGCCGTGGGCTCATGGTCAGCCTACAACGAACGCTATGATAATGGAGTTGGAGCTGTGTCATGCTCTGGCCGGGAGATCGGCGAGGGAGAGGGGGAGAGGCAGTCAGGTGTAGTAAGAGGAGCGTAGGTAGCTAGAAGAAGAAAAGAGATACCCGAGATTTGAAGAACTATAATTCACACGGAAAAAAAGGTGGTCGGAGGGAGGGAGGTACGTAGGTAACAAGAAAATAGATAGATACGATAGGATGGGATAGGATAGGATGGAGGCGGGCTTCTACTCACACACCATGACTGTTGTGAAACAGAGCTACCTGGTAGGGGTTCGGGAAAGAGCCCAAGACAGCCAAGTAGATAGAATGGAAATTTCAATAAGAAAAGACGGCGATCAACCGCGATTATACAGAAGACGAGAAATTCGGAAGATCGCAGTCAATGAGGCAAATAGTGGGGGGGACCTAGTGATGTGTGAGCATATGGGGTACGGTTTCCGCGTCTCAGAGCGAGAAAAGGCACGAATCCAGTAATCAACCACTGAAAGAGAGCGAGTGCGAGTCGAGCGCCCACGAAGCTCCTGGGGGCTTAGGGGACAATGTGACGATGATGGGGGGGGAATGGTGCGCGTGGCTTCCGGGCGGGCGAGGAGGATGGCTGGACTTGGCGGGATGGACGGAGCGAGTCAGCACAGACGACGAGGGTCGAATCCGACACAATTCGCCCAAACAAACAGCGCAAGATGCACGCACGCAGCACCCGGATGAGGACTGACGGACTACTGTGCTATAGGGATAGGCGATCGGTAAGGTAGATTGTGCAGGTGCAAGTGCAGGATGATGGGCGCCAAGGCCAAGGCCAGGCGTCAGGCGTCAATGATATTTGGTGCAGTTTGTCGTCTCGTCGTGGTCATGGACTCTCCAAAGTCTTGGCCCGACGGGGTCGAGATGTAAGTCGGCTGCTTGGCAGAGCGTATACCGGTAGTGCCAGCAGTAATGTAAATTGAAATGAAATGGAGAGTGTTGTTGTTAATAGCGAGGACTAATAACAAAGAAAGAGGAAAACGAATGGTGAAGAGCTAATGAGGTACAGAATGTGAAACCTTGGCTGTATTCTCTTCGGGGTTTTTTTGCTTGCGTAGCTTGACTTCACTTCACCTTACTTCAGCTCAGCTCAGTTTATCTGATCCAGAAGGAACTCGAATGCGGAGAAACTTGGTTTGAGAAACCGTTCGATGCCCTTGGTAGGTACCGGTAGCTGATTGACCAACAATCGACGTCACAGCAGGAGAGCTGTCTGCAATATCTTGATGGAGCTTGGATGGAGCTCCCCCTGCACACCGTTGTTGTTGGAGGAGGGACTATGCAGTATGTACTGTACCGCTAAGGGTGGCTGTGCAGCATCTACACGTGTACCAGCTGTCTGGCACTGGCAGTGGTTTTCAAGGTTTTTGCTTGCTGTTGCCCTTCCGCTGCTTGGCATGGGCTGCCTCAATTCTGGTATCCACCCTCCACCCTCCACTGGCTTCCTCCATCGCGGCTTCCCCAAACGAGCTGCCATGCCCCTCTATTATTATCATTGGCTGGCTCCGTTGGCAGTTGCTCCAGAGCAACGTCAAGCTTTTTTCCTCTCACTCACCTTCAAACTGCACTAGGGGCAGGCACGCCGACACTTCACTAAAATTCGAAGCTCTGAGCTCGGTCCATGTGTGCGAAGGAGCTATCTAGTCTAGTAAAAGAGATCAAGAACCAATTCGAGATTCAATGTGTGTGAATATTCTGCAGATCAACCTCAAATACGCCTGCGTAACATCGGGCAGCAGGTTTCACGACCCGGCACTTCGAATTGCTTATCGATAAAAGCTTCCCTTGATGAGGGGGGGAGCTCTGTCCTGCAGCGCCAAGAGCACTGCCCCTAATACCTAAGTACGTACAGTACCACCCTCCAAAACTCCGAGCTAACAACCAAGCTCGAAGCTTGATAATTGGAGCTCTTCACACATCATCACCACTTCACATTTTCTCATAGGGCACATCCGATGCGATGCGATCAACGGATTACCGGTATCAGTAACATTTGTGATTCAATTGAGGAAAAGGGACAAGGAAGTCGATACTACAGTATTATTCTAGGGTCGCGCCGTATAAAAGGTCTATCCGATATTTGTCGTCTAAAAGCCAAGGTTTGTCGTACCGTTTCGTGCCGTTCCGTTTCGCCGGTTAGTTGCTTGTCGTATGTTGAGGGAATCTCGAATTAAGCAGTGCAGTCTATGAGGAGCTCGTCGTCGTTCCGTTTTCCATTATCCCGTATTCCCGCCTCTTTTCTAATCCGTGTATCCCTTGTCGTTCCTTGTTGTTCCCCCCCAGTGTACCGCCTTCCTTGCGTCGGAGAAGGCCCGCTTCATTATATCCATCGTCGCACAATCTTATTTGTCAAGGTGAAAAAGGAGAAACGAGGGGAGAGAATTTGGAGAAAAAAAATTTAGAAGAGCAAAAGCAACAGTCTTGGCAGCTCTCAACCCTTAGTCATTGCTAGAACGCCTCCAAGTCAGCCTCGTCGAGATTATGGGTCCATATAGAGGAGAAGGGAGACCTCACCTGCTGCGTACGCCAGATACCACGTCTGGCTGGCTCCGCCGTCGAGCCAAGACGCCGAGAAGCTCGACGAGGCGAAAAAGTTATAAGCCGCCTTGGGCTGCACCGTGGCATAGTTGCCGTAGAGGATTCCCCTCCAGCCGCCCGCCACGGAGTCTGCGCGTCCGGAGCTGAAGTACGTCGCCCATTCCTGGTTGACGAGATTATCTGTACGGATGTACCTGGTAGAGGGCAACAACGGGAGCACTGAGACGCTATTATTAGCTGCAAGGCTCAATTTGTATCGTGTTCATCATGGTACTTACTGTGAATGCCCTGGATGTATTCGGTGTTGGTTCCAAAGTACGTCGTGTGGTCAATCTTGTTCTCAAACAGGATGCCCGCCACCTTGTTCGCGATGAAGTTGGACGGCTCGACCGTGTTGTCGCTGGTGTAAAGGTAGTACTTTTGCAAGGACCGTGCCAGAACAGAAAGCATGAGGTTACCCCTATTCCAGCCAGTTAGTTCGGTTTCCTCTTTGATGGGAACTTCACAACTTACCTCGCGGCCATGTTCGCATCGCCGCTAACCATTCCCCACATCTTGATGGCATAGGCAGCCATTGTGTCCTCAGAGCTCGACTCTTGGTCCTTGCCATCGTACGTCTCAAACAGGCCGTGAGCCCAGGAGTGGCCATGGTACCAATCAAAGCTCCGAGACACAGGGAAGTACTTGTCTTGGGCGCTGGGGTTGGCATAATCGCGGACCAGCGTGTTAACGTAGGCCTTGTTCGCGGAGAGCCAGGACGGATCCAAGTGACCAATGACAGCTGCGGTTAGAACAAAGTAGCCATAGTGAAAATGGTGATCGTTGTAATACGCGTTGCCGAAGTCCTGGCCAGAATCCCCAGTCGTGTAGGTTGCACTTGATACAACGCCTCCCCAAGCAGCTATTTCGTGTTAGGCGGATTCTTGAGACTTGTTGGAAAATGAGCACGACTTACACTCATACACAAGCGGATATATCTGCGTGTTGCTGCTGAATCGAGCGAAGGCCTTCTTAAGTTGGATCAAGCCTGCAGTGGCCAGCGCCTTCTCTCCGAGCATGCCGTAGACAACCTCCAAGATCATAGCAAACTTGGCGAGAGCCTTGCCGCTGTAATACATGGAGTTCAGATTAGACTGAGCGGACATGTCCTGAGAAATCTCGGACTTAGCGATAGCCAGGACCTTTGCTCTCATGTCGCTCGGGATGGTGACGAGACTGCCCTTGTTCGGTGACCAGGGATAGAAGGACATGCTTATCGGCAGTCTAGGCTCGACCATGGTCCAGGAATCCGCAAGCACACCGGTTGCAATTCCCTTGGTAGTGGTTTGCATCTTGACGACAGTGACTGCAGCCTTGGTTGTGGTATCAAAGGACTCAACATGGTGCGGCAGCGCATATATGAAGAGGGGTGCGCCCGAAAGACCTGCCTTCGAATACTTAAACGTGTAGGTGCCACGAGCACCCAAAGCCGTTCCAGTAAGCGTCACATCGGTGGGATAAGCACCGCAGGTCTTGTCAAAGGTCGCTTCACCGTTGCCCGGGTCCTTGGTAACCTGGATGATTCCATAGAAGGCCGCAGTCGCCTTAGCTAATCCGTTGTTGATGACCTGAAGGTTGAGAGCGGTGCCACTGGTAGCATACGCATACAGATACCACGTATGTCCATCTTCCAGCAAGAACTTGTACTTCGTAACACCAGTTCGCGGCTGTGCAGTGATCTTCGTGACCGTTCGGAAGAAGACTCCAGTCTCAAACCTAGGAGTTGCTCCTTTATAGATGGCTGTTACAAACCCCATCCCCTGAACGAGAGGAAACTGCACTGCCGGCGTACTGGACGAGGTTGCTCGCAGACTGATCATGGCCGAGAATTGACTCATTGAATCGGTAGTCAGGGTTGTTGAAGAGCCTAACTCAACCGCAGAGATACAGAACGACTGAATGTTGATAGGATTCAGATAGTATGCCACGGCTCCGTTCGATCCAACGCTGCCGTATGCTCTCTGACTTGCCTCAACATGAGATATGGCCATGCCCCAGCTGGCGGCAACCCCTGTGCCTTTGGGCCAGTTGAGAGCGAAGGGATGGACATATGTCGGAGCTGTCTGCGTACCCAGGAAAAAGTTGGCGTAGAACTTGTTGGTCTCAAGAGGGGCCGTAGCCTTGATGCCAAGCCGAGCAACAGGATGATCGCTCCGCTGCTTGATTACAGATGGCGGCGCTCCATCTGAGATGGGGCTTCCGAATATGTTTGCAGAAGGCGTGTTTGCCGCATTCATCTTTGGTCTGGGGACTGAAGGGATGGCAGAAGTCGTGGGTTGGAGAGTAGTGGTCGGTGACGTGAAGTTTCCAGTCAACACAGGGGCTGAAGTCGGATGGCCTTCGGTTTCCAGACTAGTCAGGTAGACTCCAGAGGTATCCGGTGTCTTATCAGTCAAACTCGGCAGGATCTGTGCTGTACCAGAAGGGACCACACTTGTGATAACCTGAACGGTAGCGGTTAGAGGGGCCTGGGTTGCATAACCTGTACCATAACCTGTTCCAGTCGGTTGGCTCTGTTTCAAAGGTAAGCTTAATGAACGAGCAGGTGGCTATGAGTACTTACCGTAGCAGTTTGGGACACGCCTGTAACGACACCACGGAAGCTGTTGACCAGAATACGCCCTTTCAGATCACTTGATTCTGAGGCAGCACGGGGAACCTGGCGATGATCGTGCCTATGCTGTGGATAGCCTTGACAAGTCGTGACCTGCAGAGCAGTCAGTAATAAGTACCACACCGTCATTGTGAGGGAGGTTAAGGGGGTGAAGTTTGGCATCATTTTGAGCATCATAGTAGAGCCAGAGGATCGCAGTTCAGCAGTCCAGGAAGGCTCATAATTCCAGAAAACAGTTCCCGCGAGACGGACGGTCTCTCAGCCATATAAACCCTCCTCCATGAAGTCTGGAGGGGTCCGAAGCAACGGTGAGACAGGCACCAAGGCGCCGTTGGAATGGTTGATCGGTAACTAGGCGACCGCCACGCAGATTTCTGGGAACTCCCGATGGCCAGAAGGCCGACGGTGACGTTCTCTTTGTCTAAAATGGCCATGTCTCCGTGCAACGTGCTGGGGTGGAATGGTGATGTCTCAGAAGGAATGCATTGTTCTACCTTTGGACAGAATTGCTGGAATGCAGACTTTGGCCAGGAGGCGAATGAGCTAGGCGCCGAGAAACGGCTTGAATGGCAATATGAGCCGATAAACAGGAGATTCGATAATGATGTTGGAAACTGCTGTTGCAGAGAGCAAAGAGAACGTTTATGCGTTGCAAGTCGAGGCGTGAAGACACTTGAGGTAATTGAGGAGGGTTGCAGAAACCTGGAAGCAAGCAACTAGCTCACGACGGCGAACAAGGTGCCGAACTTCCAAGATCGGGCCAGCTGCAAAACCCCATAGTATCCTAAGGAAGTCACGTCCGTCTTGCCAAGCTTCAGTCACGGCCATCTACTTACCTTGCAATGGAGCATGTTAATTCTAGGTAGGTGGGTGCGAAGTGCGATACGGCTTCATGAGAGCGGAAGTTACGCCATTGCAACAGACTGGCTTCAGAACCTGGTTCGAGATACCCCATCAGAGATCCTAAAAGCACATTCAGAAACCTACAGATGAAAGGAATGGAATGGCGTTTTGGTCGACAAGAGACAAATAATGAGATACGGTTAGACCCCGGCAGGGAGAGCCTCAATTTCTCCAGCTAGGCGATTGCGCATTGAAAGATCCACCGTGTAAGATGGACTTCGCCCATTATTTGGGGCCACTACCATTGAGAGGGCAAATAATGCTGAAGAGGCTCCATTATTAGCACCCTTGAGCCCTCTAGGATATGTTGACGAGCGGGACGATCGAGACCATGAACTTTGATATTTTAACGTTTCTGCCTACCAGCGGGACCAGACTCGCTTCCTTCCATCGCCAGAGTAAGCATTGAAAATTCAATATTCAATCACACTGTAATTTTTGAGATGTAAAAGGATAGGTATTTGCCTCTATTCATGTCTCAGCGCCTCCAGCGACGCGTGTACTAGGGGCCGAAAGGGATGCGGGCCGTCTGGCTCTTCAACGCCAAAGACCAAGACCAACACTAGGACCTAGAACAAGGACTTTAAATACCAAGGGCATCATATTTGCCCTTGAGGCCCGATGGAATCTTTGCTGGCTTCGCCCTTTTCTCGACTCCCGAAGGTCTGCTAGAAGTCGCTCTTGGCTTCTCCTGTCTCTCCCTTGAAATCCTCGAGTCACGCGCGGCGAGTCTTCTGTTCTGTGCTCTCCTCTCTCTAGACTCATCTAAGCCTTCCGCCTCCTTGCGACATTTGCGGATCTCCTTTCTCTCGAGAGACCATGGACGACTGAGCACATCCACTCGGAACTGCCTCACTTTGTTCCAAAATGCGACCTCTTGCTCCGTGGTGTGTAGTAGCGTAATCTTCTCCACTTTGATCTGTTTCTGCGCACGAAAGATCTTCAAGCAGCCTTTGATGTCGACAACGCTTCCTACATCAAGCCCATCGGGAACGGGTGCCTTCAGGGAGACCGGCACGGATACTTGATTTCCAGCTGATGCAGCTGTCTTCCCCTCTTTCTGATCGGTCTCTTGATTCTGGGGTAGTTGAGGTACTGGAGTGACGGCGACGACACATTCTATGCAGATGCCGCTGCTATCATCCACCGTGTAGACGCGCCGCTGAGCATACTCGTCGACGGCCACAACGACGCCAGCAATTCGGACCCATTTGATCGGATGGTTGGTATGGAAGAATAAATCCTGCCCTTCAATCATCTAACGTTAGCTGTGAGGATCTGGCGAGACTGCAAGATGATGCGCATACCTTCGAAGCCCGGATGAGTCGTCAAGGTGTCGATATCGGCTGCCTTGAGGGGACACCACTTGTTGATCGTCGGGGAGAGGTGGAAACAGTATTGTGGATAGATTGGAGCATCTTCTGCTCCGCTCATGGCATCAAGCCGGTATTAAATGGGCGCAAGTGGTCTGTGAGCTGGCGCATTTATTCATAATGCACCCGATTAATGTAAGGCTTGTCATTGAAAGTTGGAACAGCTGACGACGCGACACGCTGATTGTCGACGTGCTGCTAGGTAAAGTGCCCCGCCATCCCCTGTCTTGGCACGGGTTGCCTGGGTGACTCCAGCCAGTCTCTAAGTAAGCCACGTTCTAAAGCGCAATGAAACATCCCCAAACCCACTGAACAATAAGACTTGCAGGCCTCAGCATTCTTCCTAAGAACTCAAAATCAAGGAAACCAACGATCGTCATTGTTGATGAAATTGCTATGTAAAGAACCTATTCCACGTGCTTTTGTCTCCCAAATGAAACCCGCATGCCCTCATACGCCGATCACAACCCAATGCCGCTCGGAATATTCAACGTCTAGCCTTCTTTGTGCCGGATTTGGACGAAGCAGGCTCCGATGATTTCTTCTTGTTCAAGCGGGCCGCAGCAGCTTGGAATGCCTCCTCATCTGGCTCTTCGTCCTCCACAGCCCGCTTCTTGCCCTTCTTGCCCTTCGGAGTGGCTCCGTACTTCTCTGCTAGAGCATCCAAGAAGCTGCTTCCACGGTCTTCCTGTCTCTTTCGAATCAGAGCAGCAAGGCCATCCTCGGCTGACTTTCCCTTGCCTTTGCTCTTCTTCTCGCCGAATAGTTTATCATGAACACCGAGCTCCTTCGCATACTCCTCCGCTTCGCCAGCTTCTGCTTGGGCGGCTTTGATCCTCGCTTGCCTGGACTTCTTGGACTCCTTGGTGTATTTTGTGAAAGCCGGCACGTCACCGCTTTCAATAGCATCGTCAATGATAGCCCTAAATCGCTCGTCGTCCTCGAGAACATTACTGAGCATGACGCTTTCGTAGATCGCGTCCATGTCGCCCTCGGACTGCTCGTAGGCAACCAGGATGTCATCCTTCTCCTCATCCGACTTCTTGTACTTCTTGGCGAATTTCTTGATTGCATCGGCTGAAATCGAGTCGCGGTACTGTTCGCGGTAGAAGTCGCTCCAATTGAAGCCGTCAGAGTCGACGATGGACTCGGACGTAGAGCCGGTTGTATCGTATTTCTTGCGCCGCGCGGGATCGGACAGAACGGCGTATGCGAAGGCAATGGACTGGAATGTCTCATGCGCCTGCGCCTTCTGGTCCTCGGGGACCTTGTCTGTCACTGGTTAGAAAAGCCTATGCGGTAGCTGAAGGAAGGCGTTGCACATACCAGGGTGGTTCTGCAACGCAGCTTTCCGGTATGCAGACTTGACCTCGTCTGCGGTGGCAGTGCGCTCAATGCCCAGGACCTCATAAGGGTCAATAACTGGCGGCTCGCCATCGACAAGATCCTCGTGGTCGGACATGTCGACTCAAATGGTTGGTAATTTGCCGTTTCTACGGGATAGTGTTCGATGTCAACGGATGAGAGTAGGTAGCTTGCAAACGCGACCTATACGCGTTAAGTGGTTTGTGTTTTTGGGTGCAACGTCAGTGAACTAGCTTCTATCGATAAGCGGCGAACCCTCCAGTTAGCACCGCAGGTGGGTCCCTGTCTGCCGGCTATACTATGCAGTAACCCCACGGAGGTCTTTCAAGATGCTAAATGTCTTGGCCCTCAATCTCTGGAGAGCTTTCTTATCTGAGCTTGAATCCTGTTCAATCTTTCCGTCTCGTAGAAATACACCTTGTAGGTCCGCGTCAAAATGATGGAAATCAGTCCCGGGGACCATGGGGCGTACATGAAGTACGCTCTCAGCTTGGCAAAGCAGTCTCCCCCTAAGCCAACAAATTACTGCGTTGGGGCTGTCCTGGTTGATGTTCCGTCCAACACGATACTCGCCACTGGTTACACCCTGGAGCTGCCTGGTAACACGCACGCGGAGCAATGTTGTTTTATGAAGTTGGCGGCGCAGCACCAGGTTTCGGAGGACAGCCTAAAGGATGTCCTGCCGCGAGATATGGCGCTCTACACCACGATGGAACCGTGCTCCAAGCGACTGAGCGGAAACCTACCTTGCGCGGAGCGTGTTCTACAGCTAGCTGGCTCTATCAAGACTGTCTACGTGGGCGTCATGGAGCCAGAGAAGTTTGTCGCGGAAAACACTGGTCGCAAAGCACTAGAGAATGCGGGCATCGCATTCAAGAAGGTTGACGGCCTGGAGGACGAGATACTGGCAGTGGCGAGGGCCGGCCATGTTGTCAAGGATTGAGTTCCGAAGTCTCCGATAGAGTCTCTGCTAGTACAACATCTTGTCTCTCCGTTTATTGATGACACAGAGACAAATGATAAGGTTGCGCGGAAGGCTCTTCCCGAATGAGAGACATGCCCTGGACGGCGGGTAATGACGGAGGGTCAATTTATCCTGTGAGCGGACGATAAATATTGGTCGAACGGCCATGCCCTCAGGTCAAAGCATGATCTGGTCACTAGAAAGATTTGGAACTCCAATAATCGTTTTCTCAGCACTGAATGGTAGATGTCTATTATGGGGACCAAATCTCTTCTCATCAATCTACCCTTGCTCTTTGCCGCCGTTGGGATCGCTATTCGTGGAGACGGAGATCACAGGAACCGGTTTACATCCGATTTTGAGACGACCAAGATCACCACTCAATATGGGCTGTTTCTGGTGCCTTCTAAGAATGAAGACAATGGAATGAAGTCGTTTACCATGATAAACGCAACGAAGCCGTGTGATGAGTGTATTCTGATGTCTATGCGAGCAAGTCTCTTATATCCAGATGGCACTGTAGCCAATGCGAACAATGGCATGTGGCTACATCATGCCCTTATGATGAATACAGGCCGTCAAGATACATCGTGCCCACAACTATATGAGCGCTTTTTCGCGTCCGGAAACGAGAGAACGACTATTGACATTTCAAATGGAGGGTGAGGTAGCGCACATTTGTTCACGTGGGTATTTCTACTAACTTTCTCATAGGGTAAGCAAAGTCGGATACCTTGTTGAGTCTGAAGACACATTCTGGCTCATTGTCGAGCTTATGAATGATATGGAGAAACCCAACGAGGCAGTACTCACCATTGATTGGGTCTATACCACTATCATGTCTTCTGATTTCGATCTCGTAACCCCTATCTGGCTGGACATCACTGGTGTATGCGGCGCAAATGGATCCGAAGTTTCTGTTCCGAAGGGCACTACGTTCGCTTTTAACATGGAGCCATCTTGGAATGCAACTGTCTCGGGGGATCTTGTCCTAGTCGGCAATCATCTTCATGACGGGGGCGTCGATCTTGACGTCAAGAAGAATAATGAAACAATATGCAGTGGCATAGCCAACTATGGCGAGAGTCCCGGCTATTTGGAGCCTATGAACATGGATCAGTCTCATCACCACAATGATATTGATGAAATGGTGATGGAACATATATCCTCCATAACAAAATGCTTGGATATTGGGACAGTCAAACTGGGTGATACGTGGTCTATTACTGCCCAATACAATCTCACGGCCCATCCCACGATGATGGAACAAGATGGGAAGCTTGCCCCGGTCATGGGTATAACTTTGCTTTATATTGCAGACCGTAAGGCGGGTTAGCCGTTACCCTTGAATTACATTCAAATTTGACATCGGATTTACTAGAATCTCAGACCAATCTCAGCACGAGATCAAGTACAGACGCGGGTTTGTGTTTATGATATTTTGATTCCACTATGGGACAGTATTATTGTACAGGTTACCCTGCGGACCGGCGAGTTCCCCAACCGGAACCCCATAATCCAACAAATATGTATACAAGGTCATTTCACCTTGAGGGATGACCAACTTACTGCTATTTTGCAGAAGTGGAAATACACGATGCCATCGTTTCCGTGCGGACCGATCAACTGGTCGGACCCCCAATACCTGCAAAGCTATCGCTCAAGTAGCAGGAACTGCCACTTTACTAGCGAGAAGGGTAGCTCAGATATGAACTACGCGGGATGCCATCGTTTCCCCGTAGAAAAGCAAGCGTGACATCTTGCTAAACTCCTTTTCGTGCCCCCACATATCTGGGGAGCTCTCTAGATCTTCTCTCCCTCGAGGATAGGCTTCGCCTCCTCGCTCTGCCACCAGCTTACACCAGGCTGACCGGGGAAGGTGAACTGGTCCATGCTGTCAGGCTTCATCTCCACACTGTAGCCTGCCTCGGTCGGTGTCTGGTAGTAGCCATCCTTGATGACGGATGGGTGCAGGAAGTGCTCGTGCAAGTGGTCGACATACTCGAGGACGGACAGCTTGCCACTGACGACAACGTAGTCGATGGTGCTCAGGTGCTGCGTATATTCGGGAAGACCGACACCCCCCGAGTGCGGCACAATTGGGATGTTGTACTTCTTGGCCATCAGGAGAACGGCCAAAACCTCGTTTACACCACCCATACGGCAGGCATCGATCTGGCATACATCAATGGCACCCGCCATGAGGAGCTGCTTGAAGATGACTCGGTTCTGGCACATCTCGCCGGTGGCAACACCAATACCGTATGGCTTCAGGGCGTCGCGGACAGCCTTGTGGCCAAGAATGTCATCTGGCGAGGTAGGCTCCTCAATGAACCACGGCTTGAACTCCTTGAGCTGGGTCATGTACTCGATAGCCTCCGGCACCGACCACACCTGGTTGGCATCGACCATGAGCACATTCCCCTTGTCATAGCCAATGACATCTCGGGCAATGGTCAACCGCCTGCGGTCCTGTTCCACATTGCTGCCCACCTTGAGCTTGAAGTGGCGATACCCCTTGCTCAGCGTCTCCTGCAGCAGACCCTTCATCTTATCCTCGCCATAGCCCAGCCATCCAGCGCTCGTCGTGTACGCCGGCACCGCACGGCTGTTCTCTGCGTCTTTGATGCGCTGCGCCTTGCCGCCCTCAGACTCCTTGAGCATGGCGATGGCCTCCTCAGGTGTGATGGCGTCGGTGATGTAGCGGAAGTCAATGCAGCGCACGAACTCCTCGGGGCTCATCTCGGCGACGATGCGCCACACAGGTTTGCCCAGCACCTTGGCCCACAGGTCCCAGATGGCGTTGACGACGGAACCCAGGGCCAGGTGGATGACGCCCTTCTCAGGGCCGATCCAGCGCAGCTGGCTGTCGGCCACCAGGTATCGCCAGGTCTTGCCCCAGTCGGCTACGAGGTCTGACAGCTTCTTGCCCTTGATGCGGTCCGCAACATTGTCAATCGCCTTGCACACGATGTCGTTGCCGCGGCCGATGGTGAAGGTCATGCCGTGACCGTTGTAGGACGAATCTGTCTGCAGGATGCAGTACGCTGCCGAGTAGTCGCCGGCGGCGTTCATCGCATCTGAACCCGTTTTGTCTAGGGACGTCGGGAAACGGACGTCCCGAGTCGTCCAGCCAGTGATAGTGATGTCAGTCATAGTGTCTCTGGGTTTACGGCAGCAAGATGTATGAGACGGAAGAAAGCACGCAAGCTAAGAACGAGGATCACAGGGACAATGCAATAGACAAAAGGGAACAACGAGCTCAAAAGCCGCTGTGTCAATTCCAGGGCGAACTTGATTCTATATAAACATTAAGGCCAGACTACAAGCTTCCATCGGAGTGCCCGCAGTCTCGACCACCCCGCACCCCTCAATGGAAAAAGTTGTCGCGCCTCGCGTGAAGCATCACCATAGAGGGGCAATTACTGAGGGGCAGTGGAGAAACTGATGATGCCGTCGTCTGATTGATGGAGAATTTCCCCGATGGTGCCGTTCTCGGCTTCACCCACAGGCCACTGGCGTCGTTTTGGCGACGGGAAGTTGGGGGTCATCATTCAGGTCCTTTCGAACTCTCCACCATTAGTCTCGCAGCGACCAAAAATATCCCGTCGGTAAAAGTCCGGACTTTAATTCTCGTCGAAGTTCTCACCAGTCATTGTCTCGACAATGAGAATATTCCACCTCATCTACCGGGGCTTACGCCGGTAGACTGATAAAGAGCATGCAATGAAGGTTGCCAAGCCCTTCGCTTCCCAATGCCGTGTTCCTGGGACCGTAGCATATTTCATGTCAAAAGTATCAAGAGAACATCCCGACGCAATAGAGCCGAAGGATTTGAAAGACAAGTCTCACGACAGAATTTCACCAAGGTTTAGTCTTCTCTTCACCCGCTTCACTTATCCGAAGGGAAGACTTGTATTAGTATTCTATCTCTTGATCTGGTCTTGCCACTTGAACCTTGGCTCGAAGTTCAGCTCCCGTTTTGCTTTATCGATGCTCAACAGTGTGTCGTTATCTCCCGCTGTTGGTGTGTACCGGATACCAGGAAAGCACTTCTTTACCAGCTCTTCATTCTTCATTCGCATGCAAGTGTCCTCTGCCGCAATTAAATATTGGTGATGGCCGGTCCGCTTCAACCTTAAACTCTGTGCAATTGCCTGTCCGCCGTCTCGGGCATCAATATATCCCCACGCATTCCAAGACCTCTTGGCCGGGTCATCTTGCCACGATTCGAAGTTATCGTAGTCAGCCGGCGTCATGATATTGCTGAATCGCAGCGAGACAATCTTCGCTTCGGGGTCCCATCGTGTATACTGTTCCGCTATGACCTCGCCAACCAGTTTGGAAAGACTATAGGCCGACTCGGGCTTGCGCTCGTGCTCCTCCGTGATTGGGAGCGACGCCGGCTCGTGAACGCCGTCCGTAGCGAGCGGGATGCCGATCAATGTCTCGGACGAGGCCAGAACAATGTTCTTAATCGCCAACTTCCGGCATGCCTCAAGCACATTATATGTACTCATGGTATTTGTTCTGAACTGTCGCGAGCTGTTGGTCTGTCCAGGTGAAGGCAGAGCAGCAAGGTGGACAACAGCGTCGACGCCACCATAGGCCATGTCGGTAGAGATGAGCGTCTCTAACACGGCGCCCATGTCTTCAAGATCAATTTCCACCAGCTTGTATGCTCCGCCTAGTCCGGATTTCCCATCTTCGCTGATACCCGGCGGTCGCCGCAGATCTACTGAGATGACTTCCCAGCCTTCATTAGCCAGGTAATCTACTGTAGCTCGCCCAAGTTTGCCAGAGCCGCCCGTGACAACGACACGCGGCTTGCGCTCACGATCTAGTTCACCGAGCGACCGGTCGGCTGTGAAGCCAGGTTTCTTAGACGACATTTCAGCTAAATAGACTGCTACTGAATGTAATCGAGCAATTCTAGTCGATGATTGTGCGTAGATTAGAAGAATTCGAGTTGTCGGAAGATATGATACTAATAGTGCACTTATAAGCAAAAGCTTTGGGTGTTCTTCACAAGGAAGCTGGGTTTCCCCGCATCCAACGTCAGAGTTTTGTTGGTTGTGATATCTCCGATACCATACCACGGCGGTAAGCTGTGCGTCGCACATTCATAGGTGCGGGAATGGGCTCAAACATGATGAGTCTTCAATGACCTCAGCCGTCGCCGGAGCTGAGGGGCACGCGGTAGTCATCCCCGGGCTCTGCCCGAAATGTGTCTCTAGTGATGACGGTGATGATTCGGCAGTTTAGCGACTGTAAGGGCCTATGCCACACACTTGACTTATAAACAGCTGGGTTGGTATAACTTTGTAGTGGAAAGTTGAGGATGACTAGTACAATAGAATTTAAACTTTGTTGTTGCAATACATTCATATCTCCATTATCGTACCGCAGCATGGCGAAGCCTTGGTTCAGATGGCCACCAGAGACTGCGAAGCGGCTGCCAAAAAGCATACCCAGCCTGGGAGGTCGACAAACAAAGACCTAATCGCATGAACATTCAACCACTTTCGCTGCTGATCCCAATTTTGATCCGTATCCTTTCCCTCTGACATTGCCTGGATTTTCGGCGCCACGAAAGGTACAAAAAGGAAGTGTGCCGCTGAGAAGGCTGCCCCTACGGCATAGAGTCTAGACGGACTGGCGCCCTTGTAAAGATTCGCGATTCCGAAGCCGATCGAAAGGCCGTAGAGGCCAAAGATGGATGTGAGGCCCTTCGAGAGAAAATGTTTCCAGTAGAGCGGCAGGATCTGATTTCCCTTCTCGCGGACTGGAGGGGTGATGAAGTTCTTGAAGAAAGTGTACTGGTCGACGCAAAACCACAGTGACATGGAGGTTGACACAACTGGTGCGACTCTCAGCAGAGTCAAGGGATCGAAGAACTGTTTAGAGGCCATTGTAGGGGTATAAAACTTCGACGCCGATATCAGAAGTTCAAATGCTGGTGTAATTGAATAACAGGCGATGTACGCAGCGAAGGTGCGGTCGTGATTTTGAAAGAACTCTGCTTCTGCATTGCGAACTCTGTTCTAATTGAAGCCCGGCTTGGCCGGTTTGCCGCTGGCCTGATTCTGAATCATAGAATGAATCCTACGGCGCCGAGCCGGGTTCAACGGGGCTTGACCTGCCTCCGTTGGAGCCACCTTCATATCCGGTCACACCTAAGTACACGACCACAAGTCGACAGTGGTCATGACTTTGGTAACAGATGTGATCATCTTTCTATACGCGGGGCCACATGAAATGAAATACCGGTAGCTGCTCCAGCCCTATTGTCTTGCCTGAGACTACCAGCTTCCATCGCCAGCACTGGAATGGCGGTTCAAAGGCACGTGGAGGGCACGGTCACCCAGATTTGCTTCCCATCTCGGGCGCACTCAAGTCGGCTTTTCTGCACTTGTCAAACACGAGCACCTGGTCAAGGAGATGTCTCTCTGCAACTACTCGCACAGCATACGCCCGATAAGCATGATTTTCCGCATGCTTGCGGAAACATCAACTCCCGACTCCTCGACAATAGGCCTCTACGACTAGCCGTTGATCAGGGCACGGGGCACTCGCCCAACTCGGGATACTGCAGCTTCCTTCTCGATCCCTCGATCCGTCTTTATTGAAGACACTATTCAGACCTTGTGGATGCTGAAACACGGTCGACATACGGAGTGCTTTAGCTTACCAGAGCCGCCGTCGCATTTCCCCGCATGGTGCTCAGCACAAAGCATTGATCGCGGCCGGTAGAAGCATCAACACATGATGCCGGCCAATGGCCTCGCTAAGTGGCCCTCCCTCCGATCTGCTTTGAGTCGCCCAGATATCCGGACGGGTGCCCTGGCAGGGCCCTTCCCCACAGCCAGATTGTGGGCTATTCTGGATACAAGAGGGCTGGTCGGGGTCTTAATGCCCAGACAGGCAATTCTGTTAAGATTTATCAGCTGCTTGCAGTCGAGTGGCTGCGGTGCTACGGATGCAGTCTACTCGCAACAAAGCCCACGGAGCCTCTCGCCCGCCTTCGCCGTCGCCCCAAAAGCCTTGCGATTGTCGACTGATGGCCGGCAAGTCGCACACCTCATGCGCGCTCTCCACGATCTAGGCTTCCCGAGACCAGGTAGAGCTGCCTCCCAAAGACAGGCTCGATTGCTCCCCCGCCTGCAGAAGGCTGGAAAGAGGCTAGCTATCGTTATGCGATCCAGAATGGGCCCCGCCATTGAACCGTCTTGTTGTCTTGAGCTTTGACCTCCAAAAGCATCTTTTCATGCTCTTCCGTTTGCTTTTTTTTCTCTCTCTCAATACGAGTATCTAGACATCGCTTCCAGCTGGACCACTGCAACTAAGGTAAGATGGGCTAGCGAGTTGATATGGTGCGTTGCCCTCGGTCAGTGGCCCAACCACCATGGGGCTTACAGGGCAGTGTCTATGCAGCCCGATGAGCCAACCAGTCGGTTGTCTCCAAATCCTGTTTTCCACTGGGGCCCTGCAGGCCATCCCACCACCACTGGCCACATGGATCATGGATACGGGAGGAAGCCCTGCCCCCATTGTCTCGATCTTCAAACGTCATATTTCTCAAACCATGCCATTTTGGAGCCTATAAGCATATATGAGCTTTGGCTTCACCCAACTTGCTCGCTTCTCTCACACCTCCGCCCCCATATTGTTTAATTCTAGTCTATCGCCCTCAAAGCCTCCTATTGCCTAAATTGATCTCGCACAAGATACAGCATGGATCGATCCAGGGGACCGGCATTGGTGTTGCCTCTGCCACAAGCGAAAGCCGATCCTCCCAAGTTGAGGAGGAAGCTTCAAAAGAATGTAGGAAAGTACAAAAGTCAACAGGCCAAGAGGCCAGGATCCGGCGCGTCAAACGAGATACCCGCCGAGACCAAATGCGAACCTATTGTCGTAAACAGATTGATTCCCCAGGCACAGCCGTCTCTGCCGCTTCCGCCCGACCTGAGCGACTCAAAGTGGCTCGAGTACATCCGGAAGAGCGGGTTCATCTGCTCTCTCGACTCGTCAGCACAATCTAACGAGTCCCTTAATATTCCCGTCAGCATCATCCCAGAATTCTCGCATCTCGCTGTCAGCGATGCAGAACCACGAGGCTCTTTCGACTCGCTCAAGCCGCCGCCTGACTCTCCCGCCTCTTCAACTTCAACAATGATGAGACGGCGGGCAAAGACACCAGTTCTCCGCATCGGCCAACTAGAGGGCGTCGCTCCTGGGCAGACCCCAAGCATACCAGCAAACAAATCTGAGGTGGAGTTGATTGCCGAGCAATACAGAGCACTTCTGAGGAGCCGGAACTCAATGTTCTTCGACTCGCACTCAGAACCTCCGCCTTCAAGGCAAGAGGAGCGCAACGAACCCGAAAACAGAGCCAATAGCTCCGAAGAGTTGCGGACGACACATCACCTGGAGGTGCCGGTGCCAGATCTACCAAACGGGTCGCCAACATCGGACGATGGCACTCTAGTGGCTTTTGAAGAAGAGACCGTCTATTTCAAACCCGTGTCCTTCTCACCTGAACCACTTTCGCCAGTCCAGATACCTGAGCACCCGGTACTGAGTCCGCCACCCGCATCGGATAACCTCAGTCTGCAAATCTGCCTCGACCTGCTCTCCCGAGAACTGAGTTCGGCCATCTGCGATCGGCCGTTCAGGAGTCCTTCAGACGTGCCGGCTTTACAGATATGGGTCATGATTGAAGCATACGAACGCTTGCGGGGTCAAGTGACAAATATGAGACTACGACCTGATGAGCTACAACCCCTGGAGGCCATGTTTGACATGTGGCTAAGAGCACTGTACAACGTCCACGATCGGTTGACCGAGGGACGCAGGAGTAGTGACAGTGACTATGATGCGCTGGATAGCGAGGATCTGGATTAGATGCTTTTCTTCATTGATACCTTGTCTCCTCTTTTAAACTATTAACTTATTTTGGGAAGGTCATGGCGGGTGCATTTGGTGTACAGCGGAATAGGTGCTTTTGGATTTGTCTGGGAACATGGCGGCATGCCACTGTTGTAGGAGCAGATTCACCTGGATAGCTGGGTAGCTAGGTAGCTGAATCTACACAACATTCATCTCGATACAATATTTACCCCTTTCCATAGTGGGAGATCGTCCAAGCTCCGCGATCCCTAGGAAGCTGCCCTGACGATCAGACGATCCGCCACCGCGTCACTGCAGGACCTTGAAGTGTGATCCCACCTCGGTCTTCGCTAACTGCCCCGCCATGTTGATGAGCTGCGGAACTATGACCACACAGTATTAATGATTGTTACTTCAGGTCTGGTCTTCATGAGCAGTTAATGCAACCGGATTGACTGTTTTGGAGCCCCTTGAATCAATCGATATTTGTCTCGTCTTCGTCATCTTGTCTGCCCAGGTACAGCTAGCTGCCACGCTTTGTTGGTGATTTGGCGGGGATGCGATGACGGATGCCATGTGGTGAGTATGGTCTGTGCGCCCTACGTCACTTCTTTGCAGGGGTCGTTAGTTAACGCGTGCCACAACGCCATTCCACTTACCTACCTGCGCAAGGCACGCATCGAGAATCCTGCTTTTTGCACGCTTCCCCGGTCCAGCGACACCAACCACCCCACGTCTCGCCAGGAGACACACCGACTGGTGCGTAACGGGCCTGGTCCGCCGCCATGGATGACGACTTCGGAGCCGATGCCGACTTTATCGCGGCCCTTGCGGCCTCCGAGGCCAGCCCGGCGTCTGGTGGGCAGGCACCACCGCGACGCCCGCCCCAGCAGCCCACCCCTCAAAGAATCCAGAGAGTCCAGCAGCCAACTCCGCAAAGGCTAGATAGAGCGCCGCCGAGTAACGGCTCAAGCTCCGGGTCGAAGATCGTGCAGCCCACGCCGCAGGCATTACCGCAGCGTTCTGCTGGCTCGTCGATTCTCGTCTCGCCCCGGCAGAAGGGGAACCCTGTCATCGCATGCTTGAAGTCCCTGCCGTGGGAGTACAGCGACATCCCTGCCGACTACGGCCTGGGCCTGACCACTTGCGCGCTCTTCCTGAGGTTCGTTCACCTCACCTCCTTTACCTATAGCAAACTTGCAAGAGCTGACATCTTATTTCCTGCCTTAGTCTCAAGTACCACCGCCTCCACCCAGAGTACATCTACACGCGCATCCGCAATCTGCAGGGGAAGTACAATCTGCGCATCCTGCTGACGATGGTCGACATCCCGAACCACGAGGACTCGCTACGCGAGCTCTCCAAGACGTCGCTGGTCAACAACGTGACGATCGTGCTGTGCTGGTCGGCCGCCGAGGCCGCGCGCTACCTGGAGCTGTACAAGTCGTACGAGCACGCGAGCTTCGCGGCCATCCGCGGCCAGCAGGCGACAAGCTACGCCGAGAAGCTGGTCGAGTTCGTCACGGTGCCGCGCAGCATCAACAAGGCGGACGCGGTGGCGCTCGTGAGCAACTTTGGCAGCCTGCGGGCCGCCGTCAACGCCGATCCGGAGCAGGTCGCTGTCATCAGCGGGTGGGGCGAGAGGAAGGTCAAGGCGTGGTGTAAGGCGGTCGAGGAGCCGTTCCGCGTGAAGAAGGCGGCGAAGCGGGGGCTCACCGCGGAGCCGAGCGAGGATGGGCGGAGGGCCAGGCTAGACGAGGCCGTCCCGCTGCACGCAGCACCGCCCCTGAGAGAGATGGTGGGACGGAGTACGTCTGGGAGTGTTCCTGAAGGCGAACAGTCACAGTCCACATCACAGCAGCAAAGCAGACCTCGTCAATACCAAATATACGACCCGGATATCGACGACGAGGACGAGGATGCCATGGTAGCCGCTGCTATTGAGGAGTCTCGACAGATGGCCGAGAGCCAGCAGAAATCATCTGCGTTGAGGAAAGACGACGATTTAGCAGATGGCGTCGCTGCTGCTTTAGCGAAACTTCGCGAGAAAGGATGAAGCTAGTACTGACCTCAATTGAAATGCATCCAGAATCCTGCCAGCCCCAAAATTCGATACTTTTTTGCGCTTCACATTACATGGAAGCTATAACCGCTGTGATCTAACCATTTGATACGATCCACTGCTGGCCGGGTTAGACCTCGAATCTTTAGCGGCTTCGGTAGTTGACCGGCAAGCGGCAGGCCTGAAGGCTTGTAATTCCCCGCGTAGCTAGTGGCCACTAGTTGTGTGTCCGTGCTTGGCAAAAGGCAAAGTGGCGTCGGTGGGGTATGGCAACTATTCAAACCCGTTTCTTGTCATTTTCCCCTGACATTTCAGCCGCCCAGGATGTCCATAAGTGCTCCTCAGACATGAATTATGGACTCTCTGCTCGTGCGTTAAAGTCAGGTGTCATGAAGAATGTCGACTACTCCTATTCCATTACAAGGTACCTCGTGATGGTGGAAGGATAAGGTATTTGGGCGCATCAATATGCATTATCAGTGGAGTCTCTGCTCCGGAAGCCAACTGCCCAGGTGCTGTCCTAGCCGGTTCAGCTAAGCTTACTTATCTTAATTAACGTTTCTTAACTTTACCTCGATCAAGGTACCTAGGTAGCTTGGGGACGTGGTGGCTGGGAAACAGGATTTCTCACAATATCGCCGAGATCTGCAGTCCTCATCTGGACCCCACAACCCGCATGTTCCTGAAAACGCGCCGCGATTTGTAGGCAGCTTGTTTGGCTTCATTTTATTTCTGTTTTCTTTCATTATGGTATCTAGCAAATCGTTGTCACATAACCCCTTGGGTTTCCCATTACCGCAACGTTGCGTGGAGGAAGAAGGCTCATTTCACATGCATACAAACATAACGACTAGCTATGTCATAGCTGGTTTCTTTCCATGGTCATGAGGAAACGGCCCGAAGCTGGGCAGTGAGACAGATGGGGACAGACACACAGAACAACGTCTCATTTCTCCGCACTCCATCGGTTTGCATTCTCCAGAACCCTCAGATGCCATGCCATTACTAGTGTATTGTCGTTGCTTACATGACCTGCCCCCTTTGGGAGACACGACAGTTCGTACATTAGCTCCTCGCGCGTTGGGGGTGTTCATCAAGGTCATTAGACGGGGTGATCACCGTGGTCAAGTGCCAAGTGGTCACGGCCTACCTCGACCCCTCTACCCCTTGCCAGCATCCACTGCACCGCGAGGGCACAACGCAAACCGTGCAGCAAAATCTTGGAGTCGTCTGGTCGTATTGCTGCTGGATCAGGCAGGTCGCGCAGCATTCGCCCAATGGGACCGCCAGGCGTGAGCCGCCCCAGATGCCTGTCCGGTACGTCTTGCAGGATGCACGGCCGCGGCAGGTTGACGATCGGCATTTTCCAATGCATCCCTTCCTTCGCTCGCGCACACCTGCCAGGCTACCAGGCTATACTACATACACGTACCATAGCATTGAGTGACCACCCTTGCCCTGTCCTCATGTTCGCGTTGCAATCATCAGTCACTTGAGGAATGACATATTGCAGATTGCATCTCCACGTGCTGCTCAATATGCCCTTCCCAGGATTTCGGGTGAGCCTGATGGCGGGTAGCTAATATATTGACTTCTTACCCGACCCGGCTTCCGAATATAATACTTCTTCTTTCCTTCCTTGGGTCTTCTCTCGGTCAATTCCTCTCGCTATCCGCCAGTGACAATCTTTCTTTAGACCGCCCCAATTGCTGTACATCATGCGGTCCCTAACCTGCTGGTCCAGCCTTTCTCTTCTGGCCTCCCAAGTTGTAGCAGTCCCGGCAGCATCTTGGGCCCGGGATGACACCAATTACAATCCCACATACGTCTATAACAAGACACGCGCCGATGCTGTGAAAGAGGCCTTTCAGCGCGGTTGGGACGGGTACTACAAGTATGCATTCCCGCATGACTCTCTGCTGCCAGTGTCCAATGGCTACGAGGACGATCGGTAGGTATTCAATTGAGAAATCCCAATTCCAGCACACAATTGCTGATTGTCGCCAGTAATGGATGGGGTGCCAGCGCTGTAGATGCATTCAGCACGGCATTGGTAATGGGCAATCAAGAGGTTATTGACGAGCTCTTGGACTTTGTGCCTACGATTAATTTTGACAACACCACAACCGAGGTTTCGCTGTTCGAGACAACCATCCGCTATCTTGGCGGGCTTCTCTCAGGTATGCAACTGCCGAAAGTCGATTAGACTCTTAGTGTCGAGACTGACGTGCTCATACAGCATACGATCTGCTTTCCGGGCCGCTATCGGATTATGCCAGTGACCCTGAAAAGGTTGAGGCAATCCTTGAGCAAGCGAAGCGGCTGGCAGACAATCTGAAAGTTGCTTTCGACACTCCAAGCGGAGTTCCGGACAACAGCTTGTTTTTCGACCCCCCGCGCAAGGGGGGATCTGATACCAACGGAATTGCTACCATCGGCACCCTGGTCATGGAATGGACTCGTCTTAGTGACCTGACTGGTGACTCTGAGTACGCCGAACTTGCGCAGAAGGGCGAGAGCTACCTGCTTGATCCGCATCCTAAATTGGGAGAGCCATTCCCCGGACTCATTGGGACGAATGTGAACATCACGGACGGCTTGTTTCTCGACGGCTCTGGAGGCTGGACTGGCGGAACTGACAGCTTCTACGAGTACCTCATAAAGATGTACTTGTACGATCCAGACCGCTTCTCCTTTTACAAGGATCGCTGGATCCTGGCTGTCGAAAGCTCGATCACGTACCTGGCGTCACATCCCACGACCCGTCCAGATTTGACTTTCCTCGCGTATTACAATAATGCGACCAGCCTGCGTTATGTCTCCCAGCATTGTGAGTTACACAATCCCTTCCCGTGTCTTGTGAGGCCAAGGCACAACCTTAAGCCACCCGCCTATTCTAGACCGCTTCACAAGGCCCTTTTCATGACTATGTGAGATTGATAATACTGACTAACACGTGCGCCCCGCGCAGTGGCATGTTTTGACGGCGGCAACTTCATCCTAGGCGGCCTGACGCTCAACGAGCAGCGTTATATTGACTTCGGTCTTACGCTCGTGGACGGGTGCCGCGACACATACGAGCAGACGGCGACGGGCATCGGACCCGAGGTGTTCAACTGGCAGGACAACAAGCCGTATCACAACAACACGACCAACAACGCGGGGCCGCCCGCCGACCAGGAGGCCTTCTACGAGCGCGCCGGCTTCTGGATCACCGGCAGCAGCTACGTGCTGCGGCCCGAGGTCATCGAGAGCTACTACTACGCCTACCGCGCCACCGGCGACCCCATCTACCAGGAGTGGGCGTGGGAGGCCTTCCTCGCCATCAACAAGACGTGCAGCGTCGGCAGCGGCTTCTCGAGCATCAACGACGTGAACGTCGCCGACGGCGGGGGCTATTCGGACTTCCAGGAGAGCTTCTGGTTTGCGGAGGTGCTGAAGTACAGCTACTTGATTCATGCCGAGGTGAGTTGCTCTTGCTGTCGTTCTCCTGCATTGTGCGCTCTGCTGTGTCGCCGATGTATGCATGGTTTCTGTGTGACTGGCACACGACTGACACGAGGCTTTTTACTCTATTAGGATGCCCCTTTCCAGGTCAAGGCGGACCACTCGAACACATTTGTGTTCAACACGGAGGCACATCCCGTGAAGATGGCTGGAGGGCCGCTATGATAATCGAGCATAATGAGGGAAATCGCATGAGTGCATATATGAGCGTCACAAACAGACTAGATGGCGGCGCATACTCAATCAAATTACTTGAAGACAAATCAGTAGTAGAGTGCATGCAATGATCAACAGTAATCTGATGCTGGTAGACAAGGATGAGTAGTTCTTTTGATGACTGATTTGCTACTAATTGAGAGTCTTTACGCACTTGTTAGCCACAAACTCATAATGTAAATTAACTTGAGGATTCAGCAGTATCTTGCGGACTGATTAACTTGTAGGACCAATTCGAAAACAGGCTAGTTTTGTTCATGAGGTGAGGTGTGTTATCAATTGTTGATAGAATACATTCTCGTTCGGGCTTTCATACAAGAAATGACAAGTCAACATCGACTTTATGCCCCGCCCTCTCTCTTCGCATATTCCTCTTCCATTCGTTCCTCGTAAATTCGGTCAGCTTCAAGTTCCTCTTCTGTCTTCGGCCTGGTAATTCCCGCTCCGGTATTGACGCCTGCACCAGTAGGCTGCTGCGCACTCTCAGTTGCGGGCTCGGCAACTTCAGTGGGTTTGGCGTGAAAGTTGGGAATAGGCATCGTCTTCAATGTGGAAGGGAGAATGAACGCGGCCGTGGATTCAGGTGTTAAGATTGGTAGAAAGACAATGTTGTAAGGAGAACTTCGGAAAGAGTTAAAATCATTGGCGGTTGTTGAATATATAGTCGTAGTAGTGTTAGTTTGTGGCAACAAGTGGCAAGGTTGAGCGACGTAACTCATCCAGCCAAGGTCAGTGGCGAACTTTAGCTCTAGCCTGGCGGCATCCACAAGTGTAAGTCTTAGTTTCCCCAAACAACAGGCATCCGTTCAAACGAGTCTATGATATCCAAATATATCAATGCAATCCAGAGAGTTAATCCCTTCTCGAATAAACTAGATTCAAATAACGCATCTTGCTTTTGTTTTTGCGCTGTGTAGCATCTTGAATCTGATGCTTCTGGATTCCAATTGTAGCCTCGGTGCAGTTATAACAACTAGGTCATCTTGACACTCTAGAAATTCGCAAGCTGAAATTTTCCATGCAATGTGATTGTGTAGTATATGCAACCTTGTACTCGTATCCTCAAAATATATGCAGACCAAGCATTATAATTATCTCTTGTCCTTTATTTCATGAAGTAGTATAACAACCCAATATAAAAGACAAATCTGGTCATGGAGGCTTTCCTTCTTCGTGAGTGGGCCGGTGCTGCTGCGGTTCTAACGGCCTCCGTAGTGTGCGGTGGGTGTGTAGTGAGTGCGCAGTGGGGGTGCTTGGTGTGTTGACTATGGGGCTGTTTTCTGCTACCCTGGTTCAAGTTGCTGCAATGCCAAAAATGGAACCAAGTTTGGTTTCCAGACACCCTACCACATTTGGTGATTACTTCCTTCCCCTAAAATCCTCTCCTACTTGAAAGTCTTTACTCCTATCTCTAATGGTTTGACTATTGTTTTATTAAAGGATCTAATGGTATTATTCTTTACTAATAGAGAAGATAACCTATAAGATATTTAATATAGAAGTGAGGTTTGTTAAGTAAGTATATAATTTGGTAGTATTACTTTGCTAGAGCTTGATACTTTTCTAAGATGACAGACCTAGTTATCCCCACTAAGTTACCTCCTTGCCAACGCTTTTATACCCCTGCGAGCTGTAACTCGCCAGTAGATCCCTGGTAAGTGGGTGTCTTTCAAAGACCAATTTGCAGCTTATACTCTTTGACATTGCCCAGCCGACGCCATGCGGCTCTTTGATGGTCTCGCCGAACATGCCCATGCTATTTTTCTTTTCTTTTTTTCGCCCCAGTCTATTTCACTGTTTTGAACCATAGTACTTCCACTGTTCTGTTCCTCGTTTCTATTACGGATTACTCTTTCTCAGAGCAAGTTTTGGAACTTACCCTGTCGTCTATCCTGCTGCATCCGCCAGAGACGAGACACACCGCCATTCGCACTCGTAATGCAACCAGAACCAAAGCAAAGAATGAAGCAAACATGTTTGTGCGAGTATTTGGGGACCACTTGCAACCACCCGGATACCTTCCTTCGCCTGCCCTTTCTAATCCGGCGGCGGATCTACTTGTACGCTGGGCTGGTCACCGGCATTTATATGGCGTATCCCGACATCTCTCAGGATGAACAAGACGACCACAAGATACCGCACCAGAACTTCGTCACCACCCGCAATCTTGCCGACGTTTGCCAGCAAGTGAGGAGTGAAGTTGAAGCTATCTTGCTCAATGAAAACACCTGTGTTTATCGTCGTGACACCATCGACAGAAGCCTTGACTATCTTAGCCGCTTATCTCCTTTCGCATGTTCTATGTTGAGGGATGTATATGTTCATTTATGCACTCAACAACATTACTACTGGGAACAGGAGAAGCCGTTGACCTGGGAGCGGATTGCGATGTGGCACCTGGCTGTTAAGAACATCCTCACTCACGCGAGCCCCCAGCGCCTAAGACTCCATTTGATTTGCGAGACTGCATACAGCGACAAAACGCTCGCAGTTCTTTGGCCACTACACTCCTTTCCCGGCTTGCTTCTCCAACTTGATCTCCGCCTCGCTGAGCTCCGACAGTGCAAGGACAACAGATTGTGGGATCTGGCCCGCGAAACGGCACTCAAAGTCCAAGCCCCTGACCCCAATCCCCGAGGCACTTTCCGATTTTTAGACCTCCCAGCGGAGATCCGGCAACATATATTCTCATACACGGACCTCGTTAGCCCTGACCGCACGGTCTATTGGGACCCCGAGCGTGGGTTCACTGCCCATCGGCTCTTATACAGGTGTGGTGCCTCATCAACAGCTGGAGATTTCTGTATGTCTGACTATGCATCATACTCCTCCCGCTGCAACTGCCACAAAATTGACCCCTTATCTCTGCTCCTGGTTAGCCGGGCAATGCACGCCGAGGCGCTTGACTTTTTTTACGCGAACAATCGAGTTGTTGTCTCAGTAGATGCATTCCACATTCAAAGCATCATGTTTGCTGCGGCAAACCAAATCACGGCAGATGAGACCTCCAATGACAACCACCCCGATGATATGGATGTCTGTAGCCCGTCAGAGAGAACTAACATAGTCGTGCATCACGAAAATGGGTACACGTGGACTAAGTACATGGTTCATGATTCAGCGAGGCTCTTCCTCGATAAAATTGGGCCTGTGGGAGCAAGACTGCTCCGAAACCTGGAAATCGTCTTTCCCAGGATCGGTCCCGAGTCCAGCCTCTTAACCACCGATTCGGCCTATAGTCAGTGGTGCAGTGCTGTTAAATATCTAGCTTCTCTACGCTCAAAAGGAGATGCTCCAAGTTTGACGCTTGTCTTGCACATCTGGTCAACGAAGTCCGACCCTGATGGGCGGATCGGGGAGCCGGATGATGTGCCGTATGAGCTGACGGCCGACTGGTCGCCGCGAGAGATAATGGAACTCAGATCCAGCAAAACAGCACACATTCTCGACGAGCAAACACCCTGGCTTCTGGAGCCGCTGCGTGCCATACCGCAAGTGGATCGTCTGTTCGTCCATTTGGAATGGCCGCTGCATTGGTCACCCCAGATGCCCGAACACGATATAACTACCTATCATAAATTCTCACTCAGAAGCCTTGCCGCCAAGGAGGCCGAGTTGGAGAAATTGATCATGGGTGCTGGATACGACAGTTTCTCCGTGGGAAAAGGGGAGGAGTTACCAAGCCGATGGCTTCAACGACTATGGAATCAGGGGCTGTGAAGCTTTTCACAATCGGTGTTTAGATATCTATTCCATCTACTGTAATGTTCATCCGAGCAATGATTTTATTCATCTTCTATTTTACCTTCTTCCCCCTTTATTTTAATAATGAGACCAGGATTTTAGATAGACTCGCTAAATTAGCTCTCTCAGCAACTGGTCAGCCTAATCACTAAGTTGGTGATGGTGTTTGAGCACTATGAAGGTGGAGTGTGAGGTGATTGTGTGGAAAAAGAGGTGTAGTTGGATTGGGGTTATATGTTGTTGGGTTTAGACTACTATCTTCCATACAGAACAGGATAAGATTATACCCATCATGGAATCAGTTTTCTCGCCACCATCTCACATAATAATATGCATTATATTCCTTTTTCTTTTTTAAATAAAAAATTTCTTTGGGGAATTTTTAAACTCTTATCCATGGGCTTGCACCGTGCCCTTTTGGCTGTCCAATTCTTAGCGGACACACCGAGTGCGAAGTGGCAAGCTGGTCGTTTGCTACGCCAATACGCATCAGTAAGTACAACTTCAACTATACCCCTAATCACGGCATAATCCCAAATGCGAGCCACACACTACGTCGGAGAGCTTATTTTGCTTCAGGAAGCTAGAGACGATATGTACTCTACCTACTACTATGTACTTAGAAGCTGATCCAGTTCTAACGCCTAGGATCTTTGGGCCGATTTGTAAAGCTTTGTCTATATCCGTAGTGTATTTTTTATTTCGATATTAGCCAGAAGTCTTCACGTACCTGAACATGGAGTTGATAGCCTCTTGAAGTTCGGCGCTGCTGGTCTTGTTGATGCAGCACGGATCTATCCATACAAATTGCAAGCCATTGCGCTTTGCTCGCTTGCAGCAGTTCACGATCTTGGCCCAGCCAGCTCCGTCCTTCTTGTAGGTCTTCTGTTGGGATGCTTGGAAGGTATGAAGAAATTTCGTCCTCTAAAAATTCCTCCAATTTGATTGTCGATGTGCTAACAAAGCGCATTTTGAGTCCAACTTCCACTGGCCGTCGCGTGGAAACAGCCTAGTGAATCGTAGCGACGTTAAGGACACCATCCGATGCCGGGAATGACTTGCCAGGCCAGACAACTGCCAGTGTATGCGACATGAAGAGTCAGTAAATGGCTATGTCGCTGTCGGTAAGAAATAGTCACGAAATACAGCTGTGGTGATAGTTGTTTCCAATGTAATCGCTTGGGCTTGTTCATCACGAGCGGAGCCCTCAAGATCCTCCACACTTCCGTTGATGTGGATAATGAGATGACGGATCTGAAGTCACGCTCCTCGGCAAGCAGGTTGCAGCGACGCATAATCGTTGGCCAATCAAACCAGAAACGTCATGTGAGGCTTTGCTTTTAACAATAAGCAGTTTCGATAGCATGGAGTTTACGCAGCGAATGGTACAGTGGGCTAAAACTTACTCTGTAGTTGCTCCGTTAGGTAACGCGGCTGGTTGCTGATTAGAGTTTAGCGCCACATGAGTGCTGGCGCTCTTGTTCAGGGTATATATATTTACTTTCGACCAAAATTTTTTGCCTTCGGGCATTTGGTCAATTTGAAACGATACAGTAAGTTCACACCAAGCTCTAGTGTTCAAGCCCTATATTAACCAATTCCACAGGAGAAGATTAGCATGGCCCCTGCACTAAGGATGACACGCTCAATCAAAGAGACGCTTCAAATTTTTTTGCCTTTTTTTCTTTCGATTTTTTTCTACTCTGTGATTTTGGAAATGTAGAGTATTACGGTATGAAAAAAAAGCTCTTTAGTCGAGTAACACGTCGCCATCGTCCAATTGACGACGCGAATGATACAGGGTGTAATAAACAGCACCGACAAGGCTTCTAATAACGGGGACTAAATTCAGATCAACAAAATCACAGTCGACTTGTCGAACCGGGTGAACCACTTGGCTCATGGTCTTGCCAAACATGTGAGCGAATTTTCGCAAGCTCTAGCGAAAAGAAGATCTCAGGCTCCGATGAATCCTATTGATCCAGAGCCGAACCGCGAAAGGAGCACAAGGCATGGGTTGTTTGCAGGACAGGCTGATGTCTCAGGCAACCCGGCTTGTGCTGCATCTCGTCTTCCGGGGGCTACCTTTGTAGGATGGATGAAGTAGTCAAGATGCAAATCGTCTAGCCACTGCTAAGTTGTGATAATGGACATGAGTTGGTGTTTGGCAAGCAATAGCGGCGATTGCATGGATCTTCCGAGTGCTGATTGGTCTTGGCGTAAGCTCCGTGGGATTCAAGCACTGCTTACCCTGATCCACTACTACGGCGTAGCAACATTGAAGAGCCTCAAAAGACTTCACCTCATATAATGTAGTAATCAGATTGGAGGAATTAACAATGTTGACGTCAAATGGTGATAATTTAGAGTGTAGTCTCGACTACAGTCATCTTTGAGTAAACCAATCCTCTAGATTTCCCAACCGATCAAACGCCGCCTGACAAGACCCCGTCCAGTACTGACAAGGAATTAAGGGGAAAGGATGGGGTGAAATCAGCACCTGAACGCCTCGCCGGTGCCACCTTAAGAACACCATTCGCAGCTGCAACAAGCCGCTTGTAAAGAATGGCCAGATCAGAAATGTCTCGACGCGCCAATATCACACACATCGAACACGCCCTCCTCAGCAACACCCTTCCGCCTGAGCGCATCCCGCAACTTGGCCGGCGGCTCAAGCACCGGCTCCGTCGTCAGAGTCCACGTGCCCCAGTGGATGCCCAAGGCTTGTTTGCACCGCGTGTCAGCGAACATCTCGACGGCGTCAAACGGGTTGGCATGCATGCGCGAGAAGGCCCAGCGCGGGGCGTATGCGCCGATGGGGATTAGGCCCAGGTCGAAGGGCCCGCGCAGCTCGCCGATCTGCTTGAACTGCGGGTTGCGCGGCAGGTGCGCCCACCTGTCCGAGTAGTCGTCCTCGTCGTCGGGCATCTCGGGCACGGAGCGGTAGCCCGTGTCGCCGCCGAACCAGACGGAGCGCTCGTCTGCGGGCCCGCTGCCGGACTTGATGGCCCACGACGCCCAGAGCGTCTTGCAGAAGTCCCAGCCCGTCCGGCTAGATAGGTGCTGCGCAGGTAGGCAGGTGATCTTGGCGGTGATGCTGTCGATTGCCTTGGTGTCTGTGTCGAGCCCCGAGTCTCTCTTGCCGCCGGAGGCGTCGGCGATGTTCACCGTCAGCTCAGCGTCTTCCCACCAGTCGAGCTCGGTGACATTCTGGATACCACAGGAGTTGAACCACTTCTTGACGCCCATCGGGACAAAGAAGTGGGCGTTGGGGAACCGCCTGTGGATCTCGAGCACGGTCGGGTGCGAGAGATGGTCATAATGATTGTGGCTAATGATGACTGCGTCGAGGAATGGCAGGTCTGCAATCGCGCAGGGTTGTTTTGTGAACCGCTTCGGCCCCATGAAGGAGAAGGGTGAGCACCGCTCTTCAAGGACTGGATCAAGGAGCACGCGGAGGCCGGAAGGATACTCGATGTAGTGGCTTGCGTGACCGAGCCACGTTGTTCGCAGCTCCTCTGACGCAAACCTGTCTGGCAGAAAAGTCGGGGGAAGGACATCCACCGTGGGCGGCGTAACATCAGGGTATCTGATCTTTCCTGATATTTGGCCCCTTTCGGGCAATGTCAGAATACAAACTCCTTTCAAGGAGACAGATAATGGTGGCTTGCTCACCAAAAGATCTTTAAGCCGACTTTGGGCATGGACAAATTGTGGGCATCGCCGAATGATGCGTGGATGTTCTGAAACCTCACAAACTTCCCACTCTTGGTCTTCTCATGATGCGGCTTGGTCTTCGCATCGTCCGGGACGGGCCCGAAGGCACCGAGAGGGAGTTTGGCTACAGTAATGGGAGTTGGCATGATGGGCGAGGGTCGTGATGGCGAGACTGATATCTTGGGTACAGGGAGCCTCCTCGGTAGGGGCAACCGCAAGGAGGACATGAGGTCTTAAAGGAGACGGAATGGCAAGCGAATGCAGCCATCTTGGGCGAAGCGAGGCCCCTTTCAAAGTATAAATGGCAAAGGCACATTACTACGCGTGTCATGCACTCATGACGCCCAGCCGGCGTTCGATGGGCTGGACCGCCGCCATCAGTGTCAGTCTCAATAGTGCCAACCATACCAGTCGGGGCCAGCTTCGTCCGCGAGGCCGACCGCCACTATTCAGGAGTCGGGTCAATCCAGACGCCAAGCAGTAAAGAAAGTACAATACCCTGACAGGTAGCTCGTTTCCGCCGTCACCACGGATGTTGCCGTCGGGCTTTGGTGCTGGGAAGAGGCTGCGTGTGGAGAGGTTCAGGGCCCGTTAACTCCGTGCGTTGCCGCAACAGTGTGCATCATAGAGTCCATATTGTATTCTAGAAAGGGAACACGCACCTACTAGGCCAGTTAGTCGAGCGTGGCAGTGGCCGCAGGTGGTGCCAGTTGCTTCGATCGTCTCCTGTAACCCATTGCTACCACCATCTTGTTCAATCGGGTGCGATCAGATGCGAAGTCCGCTCTTTTACTAGTGATCATCGACCAAACTCCGCGGGTCCGCTAACACGAATATCGACCGTAATTGTTTTGGTCTCCTGCAAGCAGCTCGACCGCAAGAGTCTCAAGCTAAACAGCGGATTAGGACACCGAAATCCGACTGCAGAATGCCCTTCGTTCAGCTTCTTGAGCTTCTGCACAGTCAAGACTGAATTGCGATGCCGGCGCAGGCGATGTCAGATCAAACTCTGCACCCAAGCTCTGTCTCTTCATGATCCTCCAAGGATACACTCGTCATACGAATCAGGTGCACAGAAGACCTCTTTCAAAATGGCAGTGTCATTGGCTGCTTGACTATGAATGGCGTGCTGTTGGCTGAATTGAGCAGGCTTCGGCGGCGCCGGCGATATGCGAGTGTTCCGCCTCGGCAATGTTATTGCTCCTACGTCCTTCCTGCGGCGAGACGCAGCAAACCAATCCATCCTTGCAAGGCACGCTACACACAAGAGAATGCGAACGCGACGTTTCGATCAGTACTAACCGTTTCGAAAGCTCGCGATCATGTCCATCAATCAACCCTTTTATTCTACCTGTAGCATGCCTTTTTCATGGTAGATTCTCATTTGCTGCTAATTCTTTCAATCTTTCCTTTCTCATCCTCCTCCTTACCTTATGTGTCTCAGCTCTTTCTGGGATACACTGTCGAGTAAGAGGGCTGTCAGCGTCAATTGATTCACTCCTGTGACTGCTTCCTGTCCTTTCTCTCGTTTTGGTGTTTCTATGCACCCCTATGCGGACGCATCCTTGACTTTGTCTTGAAGCTCTTCTGGATCGATGACGATACACAGATATCGGACTGGGGCCAGGGTCCTCGGATCAGCAGCGCAGGTACCGTAAGCCGGGCTGCGGCACGCCAAAGGATTCGATGCTTACCTACCCCAGGGTTTTGTAACCGAATAACCTTAATCCCACGTGGAGACGAAGGATCATAGCTATACCTCTTACTTTATACCAATGTGGTGGATGACAACATTCCTGCTCGTTTTGACATATTCTGAGGAGCAGTCGTGACTCTTTTATCCTCCAGCCATGAGAAGAGAATAAAGCTGGCCCACTAGCCGCCTGGCCTGCTTATCCAAGGGTACAGCCGAAGTTGTACGCAGGATGAGCACTTATCTTGCAAAGGCAAGCCAGGATGTTTCAGGCAATTGCTGGTGACCGCCTGCATATTGTACGCCCATGGACGCTGACTGTTTCCAGGCCTTGTCCGCGCAATACGCACCCGAGTGGGCGTATTGTTGCTTATTAATACGGTTGACGATCTCCAGATCTTGATGCTGTGCCAGGCCAAATGGCTCTCGGCTGCTCCGCGATAGTGCTAGACTGGCCCCTTTCTCCCGCGCGTGTCTCGCCGTAGGACGCTACCTCTACTCAATCCCGGAACAAGGACAAGTTTCTCAAGCTACCCACCTGCCCACTATCCACCCGGCTTAGTTAGCAACACATTAGCTTTCTGAGACAGGATTTCTAATACATCATAGGCAAGGAAGGTAGCTCGGGGCCTTCCTGCCCGCCGAAAATGCCACTTCTAGCTAGTTAGAGAGCTTGCTAAATAGATTGCGGGGAGTTAGGGTAGCTAGATACGTATGCAATGGTCGTAGGGTAGCCGCAAAGTTGCTTCCCCTCTCCTGCGTGCTACAAAATAGACTCCGGCGTTACACTTACACTCTTTTCTACCTTGTTTTCTATATATCTTGAGTGCTCCCACATGACTGCCTCCCTCCCCAGAGCGAGTCTGCTTCTGAGCTCAAGAAGTATTCGTGTTACTCCCGCCTCTGCCGACTCGCTCCTGCCCCTGACTCAGGTCGCCGGATTCGGTCACAAGACATACCGAGCTCCCATTTCATCATATAGAGCAAGAGTTGCTCCTCGCAGATACCAATTGAAAGCCAATTACAGTACTCCAGCTGGAGACGGCATGGGCGAACCAACTGGACTAATCGCCAAGTCCGGCATCGAGCTGCTGACCTTCGGTGCGGTTCCTTGCGGCTCTATATTCGCGGATGAAGACGAGCCTGGCTAATACCTCCCTACAGGCACGCCGAACGGCTACAAGGCCAGCATCCTGCTCGAGGAGCTCAAGGAAGCGTAAGCCGAAGTCCAATTGCATCCATTCCTGCTCGCAAAAGCTGGGACAAATGCCCTACAACATACACACGAGGCAGGCGAGGCTAATCTAGCTGGTGCCCGACAGGTATGGGACGGAGTACACATGGCAGGCGATCAACATCATGAAGAATACGCAGAAGGAGCCCTGGTACACAGCCATCTGTCCAAACGGCCGTATTCCGGCCATCGTCGACCATGACCGCGGCGACTTCGCCGTCTTCGAGGGCCTCGCCATCCTCAGCTACCTGACCAAGCACTACGACCCGGACCACAAGCTGAGCTTCCCCTACGAGTCGGACGACCACAGCGTCGCAGAGCAATGGATGGCCTGGCAGCACGGCGGCCTAGGGCCAATGTGAGTTTTTCCCATCCCTCGATCGGCCAACTTACACCAGCTGCCTGGGCACTGGTCTCTTCTCCCTGGGCGGTCACCGGGCTGACAGCACGGCCACAGGCAAGGCCAGGCCAACCACTTCTACCGCTTCGCCAAGGACCGCATCCCGTACGCAACGCAGCGCTACGTCGGCGAGACGGAGCGCCTCTACGGCGTCCTGGACGCGCGCCTCGCCGAGCGCGACTTCCTCGCGGGGCCTGGCCGCGGCACCTTCAGCGTCGCCGACATCTCGGTGCTGGGCTGGGCCAACATCGCCTACTTCTCCGGCATCACCGCGCTGGCCGCGCAGTTCCCCCACGTCGCCGCCTGGTTCGAGCGCTGCACGGCGCGGCCGGCCGTGCGGCGGGGCTTCGCGATCCCGAGCCCCTCGAGGCTGTCCAACGAGACGTTCGAGAAGCGGCTGGCGGGCGGCGAGGAGGGCCTGCAGGAGCAGGAGGACAAGCTGAAGGCGTTCTTGGAGGAGTCGAAGAAGCAGTATAACTACAAGTATGCGTCTCCATAGAGGAGAGGGGGCTTAGAACGGGAAGTGCTGATGGTTAGTCGAGGTTATAACTGTGCTTCGTGGTGTGAGAGATATAAGGCGGTTTAGCCTCAAACAGAGCCGGCACTGCATGTGTGCCAATTGGTGTTTGGAACTGATTCAAATGAAAGAATTATGCCTAGCTGATAAACGTACACTGCTGCGATACGGACAGACTTGAGGTTGATTTACATATACAAATTTGGACTAGTCCATCCGCACAAGCATCTCTCGCCGAGACTTTCCAACCTCTTTATCGAGAACTCGTGTGTAGCGTTCTTGGAGCCGCCAGGCGAGGAGTGAGAGTGAGAGAGAGATAGAGAGAGAGCGAAGAGTCGTCCCCAATACGACGCGTAAAATCCAATCAAGCTATCCCTGGCAGAATTAACAACAAACTTTGCTGTGCAAGCATTTCGAGTCGGCCGACGACGGACGAGGCCGTGAATGGAACGAAACTCCCTAAGAAACCAATATTCGTGACATTTTTTGACCTGTGACGTGTGAGGAAACCCTACCACCCCTCCTACCCCTACCCCCTTACCCAGAGAACTTCGTTGACGCGTAAAGGGAGGACGATCCGAGATCTATCTGGATCAGGTCAAGAACCGCGCGGGCTCAGGGAGAGGAGATGAGTTACCAATAGCGACGATCGAACTCGCGCGGAGGGTAGGCACCCTCTCGTGGATACCCAGGCTCACGCGGCGGGTAGTCCCGCGGCGGAGGCCGGTCATACGGCCGACCGTTCGTATACGGGTCAGGGGGCGGGTAGTCACGGCGGTAGGGGTCTTCGTAGCGGCCGCGAGGAGGAGGATAGTCATCCAAAGGGCCACGGCGTGGCGGAGAGCGATAGCCTGCAGCGCGATCTTCGTAGTAGTCACGACGAGGGCTTCTATCACGGTAGCCATCCCGATAACCGTCGCGACGAGGGCTATAGCCGCGAGGCGGAGGGCCCCGTCGGTCATATTCGTCACCGCCGCGAGGCGGGTACGGTCGGCGGCCACCTGGCGACCGAGATCGTCCTCTGGCCTCTCGCGGTGGAGGATCAGGCTGAGTCTAGAACTGGTGAGTTGCATGTTAGATGAGACATGATGGGAGTGACCTACGTTTGCAACGCAAGTCACCCGCTGCTCCTTAAAGTCACGGCCGTCGAGGGTGTCGACAGCCTTCTTTAGGTCTGCAGCGGTTTCGAACTCGACAAAGCTACCGTGTTGTTAGTCAGAGACTAGCATGATGGGGTGAAATTAGGGGACAATACGTACCCCTCGCCATTGCTGTTGCGGCCAGTCTCGGAGTAGACCACGTCAAGACCAGATTGACGGGCAAAATCTTTGAGGTCCTATATCCAGAATCCATGTAAGTGGAGGTCCAGGTGCGGTAAACGGTACGTTGTTTATTAGGCCATCCATCCCTAAGCCAGAAGACCAGATTGAAGTTCCCGGAATAGCCAAGAGCGTCAAGAAGGTTCAGGGATCCAACACGGAGATGTCATTTCAGAGGAAGCAATGTTTCATCTGATCACCCCAGATATCAACCATACGACCTGGGACATGGCAAACATGGCATATGGGACAGGAGAGCACAGAAGCGGGCATCCTGGCAGGTTGGGTCGAAGCACAATCCGCAGGATGTCCCCTCAAACCAAAAATGGCCATGTATCATCCAAAGACACCACAGAGGAGGAGGGAAATGGGACAATCCATGCATCCGGCGAGAACAAACGGGAAGAACAGACCTGCCAACTGGTATCACTTGGGAGACCACTGATTTGCATACGATGTTGGGTGCGTCGCGGGCGCGGGGCGGTACGCTCGTGGTTGCCAAAGCCGCCTTCTCGATGTCGCGATCCGCGCGCAAACTGAACGGTCAGACGCTCGCCCATGAACTGGGATCCATCTTGTTGTATGATTAGCCTGGGGAACAAAGGGTGATCAGGGAGATCGGTGGTGTCCGTGGAGGGCTCCAAACGTACGGAAAGCTGTGAGGGGCGACATGGTTAGCTGCAGGATCAGAATGAGAGTCAAGTAGGGGAGCCAGCCAAGGCTGCGAGCCTCGCCCCAGGATGCTTGCTTACCAGGAACAACATCTCGAGCATCCATGGCATCTTTGTACTCGATGAAGCCGAAGCCATTCATGAGCTTGATCTCAGTAATCTCTCCGGTGCCATGGGTTTGGAAGTGGGTTTCGACATCGGCCTTGGTGGCTTTGGAGAGAAGTTAGCACGATAGACTTGGAGCCAGCCACAAGCTGCGCAGACCGAGGCCCCCAATGGACCGTAGCCTCGCCCTTTTTTGTGGGAGGACAAGGGGAGGGGAGAGCTCACCATTCCGGGGGAGGTTGCCCAAATACAGGCGGGTAGAGGACACTTCGGTCATGATTGCTGCTGTGATCCAGGAATCAGGTCAGGCATGAAGTTGCGACGAGGAACGGGCGCGGTATTGAGTTCAGACGGAAGCTCAAGTAGAGACGGGACGGACGACAGGTATGGGCCAAGGCCTAGATCAGGCTGGCTGGCCGGCGGCGGCGCGCGGGCAGGAAATAAGAAAGGCGGCAAAGTCCAGTCCAGAAAGAAGTCCTCCCGAGGGTCCAAAGGAAGAAAAAGGTGGTGAACAAACCGTGCGTGCGTGCGTGCGTGTGAGCGAGGACGGGCGAGAGCTGATGCGGCAGCCTTTTTGCTTATGCAGCCGTCCGTCGATGATAAGGGGGAGATCGATGGAGATGGGAACGAGGGAAGCTGCGCGACTTTATTGAAATCGATCGCAGCATCCAACCAGAAGCTGGCTGAATGAAGGCGGGCTGGCTGGCTGGCTGGCTGGCTGGCTGGCTGGGTTGGGTTGGGCAGCGGTGCGGTGATGGGCGGCGGGTTTGGTGGTGAGGGATTGGGGGAGGAAAGAAGAGGAGTGAGGAGTGAGGAGACGGGATGATGGTGGATGGTGGATGGCTGCCCGTGAGTGGGTGGATGAAATAAGCAAATGGGAGAGCACCCTGGCTGCTGCTGGTGCTTGCTGCTTGCTGCTTGCTGGACGAGACACGCAGACACAAGCTCTTACCTCCCGTAGCATAGCTCGCATAGGTACCTAGCACGCCTACATGTAGGTAGGTAGCTTGCTGTTGGTCGGGTCGGTCGGTGAGAGCGCAGAAAGGCGGAGGCGAGTTGCAGGGGGGTCGGCGCCTTCATCTGACTGGCTACACCTGGCCAGTTCGCTGTTGAGGAAAAGCTGACGGGCTGCTTCAGCGGTGTCTCTAGCTCGGTTAGCTAACGGTAACGGTAACAGTAACAGTAAAATAACTGTGCCTTAGTTGACCTAACACACTGGGGAAAGGATGTCGCCGTCTTTCTCGGGCCGCCCTGCAACTGCCCTAACCCAACTAGCGCAAGTCGGTCGGTGCACGGCCCAGCACCTTAATTCTCTCCTTTTTCTTTTCGTCCCAATTTTCCGTCCCAAGTCCTCGCTTCGGCCAACCTGCGACACTCGCGGCGATCCTGCAGCGCATCAAGTTGCCCAGGCGATCTCCCTCAGGGGTCTTTTCCTGTCTTTTCTGTCTTTTCTGCTCTCTTTTGCGTGTCTCGCATGGCTCTCCACCACCCACATGGCCCCTGGGTCCTAGGCCAGATGCTCGGATCTCGGAACCGCGACGTTGCGCCTCAATGCTTGCTTCATCTTCAACCTGCACTTCACTTGGCTTGACAGCCGGCTGGGCATGACGGGCAGGAAAAGGCCCCAGAGCCCGTAAAGCCCCCAAGAGCCCCTGGATCAATGTGCCAATCTAATACGAGGTCCAGGATGCTACAAAGCGGTTGTCTGCATGGCCCCGAGTCGACACGCAATGTCCAGGTCAGGTCTTAGATCTGCTGTCGAGGTGACACACGACCCATCTGCCCACCTTGTGCATAGTACTGTCTCACAGCCCTGGAACCACATCTCTGGATCTTTTGGGCGGGCACCCCTGCCTCATCCTTGGCAACTAGACTGCTGGACTGATTCTATGCCCTTGTTGCACGGAGTATCTTCCTAGACTTCGTTACGTGTGCACTTGCGTGTCTTGTAAACTCCCTGTGACACGGAAGTATAATTCACTCCAACTCAATTCCACTCGATGCATCATTACACCTGCTTGTTTTATTATCACTGTCAAAAGACTACAAGTCTTAGAACGCCACCAATGTAATGTGCCTGCGTATAATAAAAAAGGTATGGCGAAGAAAGGCCCAACTCCAGTGCTATGCTATTCGAACTTCAACTTCGACCTTCCTCTCTTCCTCCGTCTCCTCTTTGCCTAAGGTAGGCCATTACTGAGCAGCTTAATGCTCGTTGAATAATACATCAATGATCTCGTCCATGAACGTAAACGCGAGGTGTGCACTGCAGCCGGTTGATTAGCCACTTTCAAATTGCGATCGTGATGTCAGGATATGTTCCGAAACTTACTTTAGCCTCGAGTTGTTCAAGGTCGCAAAGATCCGCCTACTAGCCGCCTGTGCATTGAGCCGGCCGACGACACTCCCTGCCAAGTCCGGGACGAGAGTAGCCAGCATCAGGCTGGCCTCGGTCCGCGTCCTGCTCTTCTCCGCCGCGCTGCGCGGCTTCTTGTTCCGCGGCAGCTCGCCTCCGGGCCACATGCCGTCGCGAAGTAGCCCGATGTAGCGCATGACCGCGTCCTCCTGCAGCAGGAGCTTGACGTTGTCGCGCAGCTTGCGCTCGATCGTCCCGCCCAGCAGCTGGTGCAGCACCACCACGACGGCCCGGCCGCGCAGCCAGTTGTTACCGCGGTTGAGCTCGAACACCTCTAGGAAGATGTCGCAGATGGGCTTGACGAACGGCTCCAGCTCCTTGTTCTCGAAGGCGTTGAGCTCGGCCTCGGCTTCAGCGGCCGTCATCGCATCTTCGTTCAGATTGACTGGCATCGTGTTGAGCTGGCTCGTGGCAGCGGCGATCAAGTTCTGGCCCGCGACGGAGAGCTGGTCGAGGACAGGGATGCTGCCCAGTATATCTTCCATGCCGTCTGTCACGGAGTCGTAAAGTCGCGTGATCATATCCTTCTTATCTTCCCGATCCACAAGATCTTGTCCATGCACAATAACACTCTGTGAGAGGAAGGCCCTTAGATCGCGACTGCGGCAGACATCCGGCAGGAGGAGCAATTCGCTCATGTACTTCTCCAGCGCCTGGCGCCTCTTCTTCAGGAACTCGCTCTGTAGCTTCATCACCACCCTGCGGCGAGGGAAGTCCAGATTCCGGACTGAAGGATATCGCGATCGTAGTTTCTGATGAAGTTCATGGAATTCACTGTACCGCCGTGAGACAATCCATGTGGCAGCGGGCATCTTCTCGCCCGCGTTCCGTTGGACTTCGATGACGTAGAGTGCAAACTCCTTGCCATCATCTTCTCGTCCCACCTGGATAGACTTGATCTTGACAGTAGACCGCCCGTAGAGGCTGTTGTCGCTTTCTTGAACAACATACTGCTGGCGTTGTAATTCTTTCCTGCGAATTTCTCGTTGTAAGCTGGCCTTGGACTTGCGGAGGATTCTTAGTTCCGCCATATTGTTTGTCAACTCAGCCTTCCTCAGGAGTGAGTCGACAACCGAATCCTGAGCGACCAGACGATCGATATCATTAGTAAGAACCGTGATTGCCTCCGCCAAGCCTAGATCCCCCGGGGCAGCTTCATGAACATTATCGGCATCGTCGTCGTTCTTGCTGTCATCTACGTCATCGTGGTCGTCAGACAGGTACTTGTCCTCGTCGCCGAATAGATCATCGTCAACGAAAACACCTATGCGGGACGCTGCACTAACGAGACCCAAGGATGAAAGACTAGGCTTCTCCGGCTCTTTGCCCGTTATACTGGGTGCTCCTCGAGATATGTCTAGCGAGCCCCGTTTGGAGTCACCGTCAGAGAAGAGGCTGGAACCAGCGTCTTCATTGCCAAAGAGCGAGGCGTGGAGATCTTCCGCGGTAGGAGGGCGGCTATCTTCTATAATGTTGTTGAGGGCTTCTTCAACGGCTTCTACAACCTTTGTGTCGGGCGGTGGCTGCTCGACATCCTGATCCAGACTCTGTACGGAGTCAGCCAGGCCCTCGTTCTCGATATCGTCGTCATCAAATAGAGGATTTGGAGAAGAGCTGTCGAAAGACCTGCGCCCCTCCATTAATGGATCCATTCCGTTGCCGTTACTCTGATGTGACCGCAGATCAGATGAGGATTCCGCACGACGGTTCGGAAACTTCGTGTTAAGTTTTGATGTCAAACGGGCGACAGGAGCTGGCTTCGCTGTGAACGATTGCGACGCTCTTACCAATGGCGGTGGTGTTGTGCTCGTCGACTGGTTAAAGTTATTGGTAGCTGGAGGTGCTAGACTCCTTGATGCCTCCTCGGCAGCCAGGCATTTGTAGTACAGATCAGTCTTCTTGAAACCATAATAGTGCACAGATTGCATTTCCTCCAGGACTGCACCTTGGGCCCTCAATATCGCCCTCCGTGCTCGATAATATTGTTCTGGAGTTGCGGCTTTTCCAGCATCCAAAAACTCCCGCACCGTACGCTTAGACGATTCGGGTACGTGAAGTTCGGGTTTGGAGAGGTAAGCTTGTTCAATCTGGGCGAGATCTAGCCTATCGGAGTCTGTCCATGGAGGCAATGAAAGCGGAAGCTGATCATCCTGACCTTCATCTTCTAGAGGATTGCGAAATCCATCAACAACGAGCCAGAATTGAACGAGACTGAGCAGCCGTTGCCTGTCCATATACTCCATGAAATATGACAATCCTGAAGCGTCTCGCAGCAAATCAACGAGGGGAGCATTCTCCAGCTTCGAAGATGGGGGTGTTTGTAAAGTAAATGTTGATGGTACTGCCCGGCGATCGCCACCAGCAGCAAGAATTTGCACTCTCTGATCGAGTAGTCTCTTCCCCATCTCTAGGCGTCTGAGATAGACTTGATCTTGCCCCTCCTTTTGAGAGTCACGTTTTAGCTGGCTGGTGACCTCGCTCCTGAATCTCCTAGCATCGGACAAGTTTGGGACCTTTCGTATCATTCTAATAAACTTCTCAAAACGCCGCTCACTATCCCCCGGGGCAAGTCTCGGGAAAGCAATAGGCTTTGATGTTCGGGGCGCGGGTAAGGCATGCTCATCGAGAGCTGCCCTAAGCTTTCTGACTGTTGACCTGTCCTGCAGCACACTCCGGCCATAGTTCTCCATTATCTGGTTCCACGTGTCCGGGTCCGAGAGCATCTGCATGACAGGAAAAAGGACAGCACATGACACAATCTCACGGATGATAGTGGCCACAGCGCTGCTGTTCAGCATATTTTCCGGGAGGACTTTTGGCAAGATTCGAGAAACTATCTTTCGGAGGTAGTCTTGTTGTGTGAGCTTTAGATCGGAATATGCCAAGTTCGCCGCCGGATGTAGCTTCCCATCTCTGTATTTTGAAGCAATTGCCAAATCCAGCTCCTCGGATTCCGTCACCGAGCGATTCAGTTTCTTGCCCCTTACAGATCTCTCGGCTTCATTGAAATCGCGGAAATGCGCGGTCATGATTGGAACCAGGCGGCCTGTGAGCACCTCGGGTAAGTCGACATCGAACAAACGGTCTCGAACATTGACCATTGCCAGCCGTATCGCCTTGTCCACCTCATTTGTGAAAACTGGGTTCTGGCTGATGTTGGAGTACCAGACCCAGACGAAGTCTCGAACAATAAGGCCAAGCAAATCATCGAGAGCTTGATCGATCTTCGGCGACTCTTTGTATAGCGGCACCGGTTTGTAGGCCTGTCGGCTTCGGAGAGCTACTACTTCCGATTTCCAGGCCGTCGAGCCCAAGAAAGCAGCTCCATGTCGTCGCGGAGATCGGTGGATGCGCCGGTAGTTGAGGCCGCGAGAGGTGAGCAAGATGAGCACCAGCAGACCGAGCAGGGTCGCTAGGACGCCTGCTACGAAGGCGTGACCTGCCCATCGGATCGCGGGGAACCAGTTTGTCGCATAGCCCCAGGCGATGAAACTCGCGATTCCGGCGAGAATCACGTCTCTCCCCTTGAGGGCCATAATCTGGTGCATCCAGGATGCGGTGTCAGAGGCGGCATGTTTTGGTCGTGTTTGGTGTGCTTATCGATACGGGGGAAACGTCTGCGCGGTCATTATTAGCACCTAACATTAGCTCTCCAGCTGCCGAAAGGGGCCTGGCACAGTGACGTGGACAGGCTTGGAGCCGCACGTGATGGCATCTAACATAAACCACATTCAACATATAAGAAACTGCCCCAGCGGCGGCGACATGCATGAAGCGATGTGGGAAATACATAGTTGATATCGCATAGAATTTATTGGTATCTCTTTTTTGACGCGTGTATGAATACAAGACAACATGCAGCAGAGTGCAAGTACTCTCATTACCAAGGAGGATCTTCCAGCCGTCTGAAGAGAGCCACGAACTTTTGGCCCTGGTTCCTCGCTACCTTCTTGCCCTCTTCGGTCTCTATCTTCATTATCTGAACACACTCATCCTGCTCCTGTTCCTCTTCAGAGACTCTCTCGAACGAGGGATGGGCCTCAAAATGGGACACCATCCACTCATGCAAGTCTTGCACATCGGTAATAGTATATACTATCCCGCCCGGCCGTAGAACAAATGCATATTCCGAGTTCAGCTGTGTGGACACAATACGCGCCTTGTGCTTTCTGGCTTTGAAGTGCGGGTCGGGGAAGCAGATGAAGATCTTCGACAGCTGCGCCTTGTGGAAGAAGTTGGGCAGGAACTTCATCGTATTCGCCCGTAGACAGGAGATGTTCTGGTACATCTTCTGGTCTTTGCTCTGCGCCCTCAGCGCTTTGATCTTGTTCTGCACGAACTCAGTGACCTGAGATCTGATCTCGAGACCGAGAATCAACGTATCTGGCATGGCCGGCGCAAGTGCCACGAGCAGGCCCCCGAAACCGCAGCCGATATCTGCCACTTCCACATCCTTGCGAAGTCTCTTAGGCAATGAAGGAGGCCGGACTTGGTCATCTCCTATGGACATGGCAACATCCCCAGGCTGAGCTTCCCTGCTGTCTTCAACATAGGCTGGGTAGAGAGGAGCCCAGTCCATATGATCTGGAGTCGTAGGACTGCAATAACGTCAGCAATTTGAGGTCATAGACAAGGAGGGCGATTTACTATGTCAATTTGTGATCTGAAAAGGGATTTGCATGTGCTCTCTGGCGGTAGAACTTTTTCTTGGGCATCTCCGCCCCATCTCCATCGCGCAGCGTAGCACGATACTCATAGCGCTTCTGACGCTTGTTAGAGACCCCCATGTTGAATGTGCACGCAGTCGACGACAGGCAAGGTCCTTATTTTGAGTTAAATCCCGAAAGGTCTGTGCAGGCAAAGCTGCTGGATCGTGTATCTCAAGGGATCTGCCGGTGTCTGATATCGGGCTTTGGTTCCGCACAGGCGCGGAGGGTGAAGTTCGGTACGGGTACAGCACTTTTTTTGTGTCTTGCGGATGATCGACGCTAGCGGGATGCCCATCAGCACCAGGGGACCTTCAATGGAGCCCGCCCTACTGTTCTGTACGGTGTGTACCATACCCCGCTATCGGCAGGCTACATGGCGACATTTTCATTCATAACCCCACGTTCAACAGCTTCATATTCAACTGACTCAGCGATCTCTTCAGATTGAACAACTCAATTCATACAAGACTGATTTAAGCAATGGCTCCTGCACAGCAAGTGTATATTGCCGTGATTGGTATGTGTTCCCCCATACAACCTGCTCCATTGAGAAGATTTAAGCTAATATATGACAACCAGGCGCTGGAGGGGTAGGAAAGTGCTTCCTCTCCCAGCTCGAGTGGCTCGCCGCACGACGACCCTCGCCCCGTCTGACGCTCTGCTACATCTCCACGTCGTCCAAGTCGCTCTACAACGACGACTACTCCCCGATTGACATCTCTGCCGCGGTCTCGCAGCTCCAGAGCAGCAGCAGGGGCGCCCCGCCTCCGTTCTCTAAGATCGCCGACTACCTCGCCGCCGCTCCCTCGAAGGTCGTGCTGGTCGACAACACAAGCTCGCAGGACATTGCCGAAGCCTACCCTCTGTTCCTCAGCCGCGGCATCAACATCGTCACCCCGAACAAGAAGGCGTTCTCTGGCTCCTACAAGCTATGGAAAGAGATCTTCGGCGCGGCTGCCGCCTCGGGGGCCAACATCTTCCACGAGGCCTCATGCGGCGCTGGCCTACCAGTCCTGTCCACGCTGAAGGACCTGGTCGACACTGGCGATGAGGTTACTAAGATCGAGGGTGTGTTCAGCGGGACCATGTCCTTCCTGTTCAACTCGTTCGCGCCGACAGAGGGGTCTGGCGGCAAGTGGTCCGACGAGGTCAAGAAGGCAAAGCAGCTGGGCTACACCGAGCCCGACCCGCGGGACGACCTAAACGGTCTGGACGTCGCCCGCAAGCTGACCATCCTGGCAAGAATGTCCGGACTGGAAGTGGAGTCTCCCACCTCTTTCCCGGTCCAGAGCCTGATCCCCAACGAGCTCGAGTCCGTTTCAAGCGGCGACGAGTTCCTCGAGAAGCTGCCCGGTTTCGACGCGGAGATGGAGGAGGTCAAGGCATCGGCCGAGAAGGAGGGCAAGGTGGTGCGTTTCGTCGGCAGCATCGACGTGGCGAGCAAGGCAGTCAAGGTCGGGCTGGAGAAGTTTGACCGGTCGCACCCGATCGCGGCGCTCAAGGGCAGTGATAACATTATCAGCTTCTACACTAAGCGGTATGGAAGCAACCCCCTGATCGTACAAGGCGCTGGCGCCGGCGGCGACGTGACGGCGATGGGCGTCACGAGCGATCTCCTCAAGGTTCTGTCCCGGATCGCGTAGCCGTAGCATTTATACCCTCCGGACACTTCATAGTGTCCACCTAAAAGACAAAAGCAGTTCCATTCCTAACTTCTACGTCCCCTTTTTCTAATTGGTGGTGCTTCCCTAAAACTCCGATGTCCCAAATACATGTGCTCGTCAAATAGGGCTTCGAGCCTCGGCTTCGTCTAAGTCGTTACGGGATGGCTTAAGGACTCTCGACGTTGGCTCCGTCGAAGAGGCTTCGGTTGTGTCAGCCGCCAAAGCCACAGGAAAAAGTCGAAAACTATCAACGACGCGATGGGCAAAAATGACGCGAGGCCGAGGGTGAGCTGGATAGGTTGTCAGTTGTGTAATTGCAAGCGCGATGCGCGGGTCTCTGAGGTTGGGGGTGGACTGACGAAGATCCATGAAATTATGCGGACGATATGCGCGTAGTCATCCGATACGACATGGAGGTCCATGATCCGCGACTGCGCGAAGGTAACGATTTCGTGAAGATGCGCCATCGTAAAAGGCACGTAGACACGCATTATCAGTGTGTTGGACAGCTTCTCTTCCATCCAAGGTGAAGTGAGTGAGGCAGGGCAGGCTGGCAGAATGGCCGGACTGAGAAGTAGCTAGCTTGGGGTTTTGTAATTCTCGTATAAGGCGTGTGTTCAGCAGTCGACAAAGTCAGGCGTTTCGGTTTCGCTATAGCTCAGGGGCACTCGGATCATGATGCAGTTGGCCGCTGTAGTCGTCCATAACAAAATAACGTGGCATGCCTCTGCTGCTGCTGTCACGCCGGGTATCTCGGAGCAAGGGAGGGAGAGGAAGACACCCCAGCTTCCAATAAAGACTGGCTTGCTTGGGGGGGAAATGAGCGAGATCAAGATGCTGGCACACTGATCATTGATTACAGTACACCACGGAACGATGGCATGCTTTTCTTCCCAAGAATGACGAATGCCTGCTTGCCAGACCTTGCCCGTCAATCAGCTCGACAGGCCTTGACAGCCCTAGCCAAGTCAAGCCCGGCTCCTTCCCCCTGATCAAACTTGGAACATGTCCACTAACGGGCGGACCATCGTGCCGTGATTCGCTATCGCTAGCCTGGCCCAGCAGGGTTACGGTTTTCCATGCTCGGCGGGCACTTGCCGTCTGACACCGCTAAAATTCACAAGCCTACTGTAACACGCCTATCGCTGCTGATAAGGCAACACCACGACAGGCCTCCATCAATCACATGCTCACGAGTACCCGACAGTGCAACTCCTCTTGAATCTCTAAGATTGTGGATCTGAAGAGGCGTATCTACCTGACTCGGAGACCCTCGACTACAAGCAAGGCAGCCAACATGCCACAAGACCCCAATCTCTACGGGCAGCGCCCGGCCAAGCGACAGAAGAAGGAGATGGCCCTCTCCACCTCGCTCGACTTCAAATCGCAGCTCACCTCCCTGATCTCGAAACCCTCCACCTCTTCCTCCTCCTCGGCAACAGGAGCGATCTCAGCCGGCAAGCCCCGGCCCTCAAAGTCCAAACAGGACATCTTCTCCGGCGTCAAGGCCAAGCGCAGCAGCAAAGACCCCTCCTCCTCGAGCCGCAGGCATCAGCAGTCCGACAATGACAACCGCCTCGTGCTCAAGGACCCCCGCGGCACAGAGGAGGACAAGGCCGAGCAGGCCCGCGCGCGGCGCAAGATGGAGGCCAAGGCGCGGCTCTACGCTGCCATGCAGCGCGGCGACTATGTGCCCGCGGAGGGCGAGGCTGCGCCCCTAGTAGACTTCGACCGCAAGTGGGCAGAGAAGCACCCGGACGGGACGGGCGGCGGGGGCGTCTCGAGCTCTGACGACGGCTCAGACGAGGAAGAAGAGGACAACATCGACACGGAGATCATCGAGTACGAGGACGAGTTCGGGCGCCTGCGGCGGGGGACCCGCGCCGAGAAGGCGCGCATGGAGCGGCGGCTCCGCGCGCGCGACGTCGGCGCCGCCGAGCTGGACCGCATGTCTGCGCGGCCCAAGGCGCCCGACGGCCTCATCTACGGCGACGCGGTGCAGGCGGCGGCGTTCGTGGCCGCTGACGAGGACCGCATGGAGGAACTGGCGCGCCGGCGCGATCGCAGCGCCACGCCGCCCGAGGCCAAGCACTACGAGGCCGACCGCGAGATCCGCACAAAGGGCGTCGGCTTCTACCAGTTCAGCAAGGACGAGGCCACACGGGAGGAGGAGATGCGCAGCCTCGAGGCGGAGCGGCAGAACACGGAGCGCGAGAGGCGAGAGCGAGAGGAAAAGAAGGAGGCTAGGAAACGGGAGATTGAGGCTCGGCGGGCAGAGATCGAGGCCAGGAGGAAAGAGATTGGTGAGAAGAGGGCGAAGAAGATGGCGGATAGCTTCCTGGACGGGCTGGCTGTCGATTTAAGTGGTGATAAGGATAATGGGGGTGCAGGATAGTTGATTAGATGTTCTCAAATCGAACACCTGTGCCACACACGATTTATATTGACTTGTGTATCTAGTCACGGTATCAAAGTATTAATACGGTATGGTGTTGTATCTCATTCATATTCTGCCCTACAGCATACATACAAATGTGGAGTTGCCGTCGCCCCTGTGGAGGCCAGGTTTATTACATGTTCCTAAATACAGAACTGCTTCTACATGCCGAACCAAGTAAACCCATGCCAGATCTTTTCAGTGCCCAATATCCAATACCCAAGACTCCTCTGAAAACACCGACTATGTACGATGAAGTTAGATATCATTCGCTGCCTTGTTCAAGGTCATATATCCCAACGCCCAATGCCAGAAAGAAGAACGCCAATCATACACATGAATCTCTCATATGTCAAGGTTGATAGTAGTTGTAGTTCATCACACCCCGCTCAAGGCAGATTCGACAAGTGTCTTTAAATCAAGTAGATGACCACATGCATCCACAATTACTCATGTCCGCACCGTCCCGAGGAAGTATGGAACGGTCGTTGCTCCAGTTACGTCTTGCTAACCTGAAGTCCGTCACCGGACCAGGTTCGGTCTCGGCGATCTCAAACTCAATGGGATTGTCGTCTTCGTCCAGCACAGGCCTTATCTGGCCATTCTGGAGGATCTCAACCTGGCGGCAGACTGGAGTACGCGAGAAGCTGATGCGACGTTCCTCGACCTTCACAACCTTCGGGTATGCAGGTGGCGGTGGAACCCAACCATCCGGGAATCCCGAAGTTGGCATCGGTGAATCTGTGGGAGGAGGCCCCGATGGTGGTGGCCATGTAGGAGTATATGACATTGTCGGTGTTGATGTCAACGAAGAGGTTATAGTGGAAGAGCCTCCTGAAGGCTTGATATTTGAGAAGCTGGTATTTTGCATGGCGTAAATGAACACCTCGATAAATGTGTCAGGCCAAGAGCAAATCCAGGGCTTGTCTCCCTGTTGCGCAACGCCTTTTCGCTTGAAATCGCCTGGCCCCGGAAACCCCGGCCCTCCAAAGCCACGCTTCTTATCGGAAGAGCTCGTTTGCGATGCCTGGGGAGCTGATAAGACACTTTCGGGTAGGACGACCGTTTTGTTGTATGGCAACATCCTGAACCAAGCTGGGCCTCTACCCGGTTCGAAGGTGTCGTTTACAAGCTCCATGGGCATTGCTGTCGGGATAAGGGGTGGTTGAGCGCCGTAAGAGTATACGTTGTTACTCACGGTGAGTGATTGGTTCGAGTTAATACTAATGTCGTAATTGCTGGGCTTCCCTAGTTGCGGAGCGTTTTTTGTGATAGATATCGTCATCCCAGAGCCATAGCCGCCGAAGATGAGAGAGCAGCTCCAGGCCATGGATTCGGTAGTATCGTTAAAGCATAGAGCAGGAGACTTGTTGAGGCCTAGGGGAAGACTGAAGGTACCAGTTGGTAGGTCTGGTAGATTAGTCGGTGTCGGAATTGGTGTTGCGTCATATGTGACCGTGACTGTCGGTGCCGTTTCAGGCTGACTCCTAACAAAGTGTGAGTATTCTTTGAAGTAGTGAAGGTGTTTACGATAAACTACTTACTGGTCGGCCCCACGGTGATCTGGCTTCTTGTGCTTTCCGAAAAACGACCCGATGACAGCACCAAGAATAATACCCATTAGTAACAGGGCAGTGACTGTGAGGCAAATGGCCCAGTATGGCACAACACCAAAAGCCTTCTTCCCAGCCCGTTTCTGCCACGATCTTTTCTCGGATATACCTTCTGCAGCAGCCATGTTGATATCGTGATGGCTGGCATTGGAGCTAAAACTCCGTAGTGAGTTCCGTGACTGTGGAGAGTTTAGATCATCTGCAGAGTCGAATTCCGGGTTCCTAGGGGCTAGTCCTATGCCTCCAGCGCCAGGTATCGTCTGAAGAGCGACCACAGGAGTTTGTTCGGGGACCTCAGCATCCCTAACTTTGCGCGCATACGTTTCATCCGGATATCGAGTGTATGGAGGTAATTGCTCGGTGTGACCATCAGGGCCGATGATGTCAGCTATTTCTTCTCCTTCTGCACCAATTCGTCGTTGATAGCTATCCGGTACTCCGGAGAAGCCGATGGGAATATTGCTGGCAGGAGCGCTACTAGATTCTGCAATCGGATTTTGAGGATACATCGCATAAGGATGTGTTGGGCCATTTGGGCCCGAGTATGAAGTCTCCGGAGGTGGTGGAGCCGTAGAGGAGGTAGCCACGCTCAGTGACCGAGCCACACGGATATTTTGAGGATACATCTGGTAAGGATGAGATGGCCCGGACGGTCCATCGTATGGCCGTTCATTGTGCACAACCGGTGAATCGGTAGACACACTAGAGACACGAGACAGCCCGATAGCATTGTTCGTGTGGCCTAGGGGGCCGTCATGTCTCACGGAAAAAGAGTCATGATGAGTCCGAGGCTTCGCGATGCTTGATCGGTTGGCCGAGACTGGTCTCGGAGGAGTGGGTGGGCCATCAATCGAAGGCGGTGTTAATGTTGAAGAACTGGCAGATGACTGCTGTGCTAGTGGTGGCATCGGTGTTTCCATGTGGTGTGGTCGAAAGCCATCCGCGATCCCCAACGCCTGCAAGTTGAAATCGTCGTCCTCGCCGCCCTGCATCGATACCCGCATAGACTGCCTCATCGAAGCCCTCCGCTCGAACTCGGACGCCTTGGATTGTGAAGGATCCATTGTGGATGTTCTATTGCCGTTCCAGCCGCGCGTTTGCGGACGTCGGATTGAATTATCGAATGTCAATGATGGCGCTCTTGCGGCAGCATCAATCCGTCGGAAGACGAAGTTGAGCCCGCAAGGTCATCAAATAATCCCCTTTTTCCCGCACCAGAATATCGTGTTTCTCTTCGCAGATGGCGTCTTTCGCCGTTCCTGGGAATCCGGGCTGATGATTCCTTGACGTGGCTGATTGAAATGTTCGTGTCGTGTCGTGTGGTGATTTTGGAGGTTGCGGAAGTTGAAGTGTCAGGTTGGCCAGCGACGACGAGTGGGGAGAGAGGGATGGGAACACTGTCAGTAGCGCAGAGTTAGGTAGGTAGGTAGGTAGGTACGAGACGGAATGTTGGCCCCTTCCTAGATCAGTCCAGTCTGGGCTAGCCGAAGCGGACTAAGCACACACCTCACCTGGGGGATCCATCCACCCATGTACTATGCAGTATGGATGGGCGGGTCCTCCTCTCACAGGTTAACGTTAGCAGAGTTCGAGAAAAGAGGGACGAGGACAGTCAGAGAGTGAGAGAGGCCCGGCAGGAGTCCGGCAGCACCAGCGCAACTCAGGAACGACACAGACCGGGCTGGGGTTTCGGACAAGGATGGGGGCTCCCCAGGCGCGTCTCTGGTTGGTGGCTTGCAGGATTTGGGCCATACCCCCTTGAAAAATTGACCCTGGGGTGGAGACTCTCCTACCCTACGGTGGCGTGCGCTTATCAGCCCCTACGGCACAGTTTCTCTTTTCTTTGCCAAATCACTTCAATTCTTTCTTGCCTGTGTCGTTCCTTCCTTTCTGGTGAGTACCGTAGTCTTATCTAGGTACTTAGTATTGCCGTAGTATCGTGTGGTTCTTCCAAACAGTTTGCAAAGAATAAGGTATCGTGCCTTTTCATGTATACTTGCGACTTTCCATCTGTCCAAATAGCCAGTCCACGATATCCCAAGTACCTGCAAACTTGAGTCGCGCACCTGGTCTCAACTACCGCTCACAGAATATCTGAAGAGACTGGAAACCCGATTATTCGGCAAACCGCCCCAAAGCAGCCCAGCCTGTACTGTACAGTTTGTTTGACTACCTAATGCACAGGAGTTTTACCTAGCTTTTGACTCCAGCTGGAGTGGTGCCAGTGCTTCTGAGTGGACTCTGCTCCGGAGCCAGGCGAGCCACAAGCTGAGAAGGTTATTCTTAGGGCCTTTCACAATGGGGCCTAAAGACTCTAAAACGTCCCAGTGCTGTGGGGGCTTCGGAACGCCGCCCCAGGCGTAACACGAGCTCGGAACTCCCTAGATACCCTAGGCTAACCAACTCACTACTGTGTGGAGTTCCTAGTGAGTAAAAGCAATCGCAAAAGACACCCGCTAAGGGTTAGGGGAAGCCACCGGATCTCACGTCATGAGCACCTGTATAGCCTCCACCGCCTAATTCATCACTGACCGGACTGTTCAGGTCTTGGTAATAATAAGAGGAGGGCAAAGCCACAGCATTTATTCACGGACAGGACTCATCACCACCTGGACAGGTGCAGCTTGGCTTGTCAGCGAGAAACACTATCGCTGCGAAAGCAAGCCATCGGTGGTGGTTGAGTCTCGGAGTATCTCCTGTCGCAGCCGTTCCATTTAGAGTTTAACCACCGGCGTCGATCTATCGGGGGCAATATCTAATGCACCGCAGATTCGCCAGCGCTTTGAGCCTATTTCCCACACTGAGAGTAACCCTCGCGCGCATCAACGGGAAGTCGACAGACCAATACTGAACAGCCCGGCCAATTGATTTGCAAGCTTAGGAGAGGGGGGCTCGGGGGGCCAATCTGGAAATCTGGTTACAACCGTCAGATTGAGAGCCTGCAAAATTGAGAGGCAAGCTGCAGAACGAAGGGATGCATTCTGGAGAATGAATGATTGAATGAGATGGGTTATTGAATGGAGCGAATCCACCCTTCCGAAATAGCGCAGCTGAAGTTGCTGAACAGCCACGGTTTTCCCCGGATAGCTCTGTTTAAGATTGAACTTGTCGCCTCGCAATTAAGCATGCTGCAAAAGCATAAATCGTAATATCGCATCACTGCTGATTGCCTGCTAGAACGGTAGGGATGGCATTCACACACACCCCCTCCCCCCAGTCCAGCTCGTGCTATGTAGTAGCGGGAGAGTTTCTAGTCTGGACTGCTTCCGATCGTGCTCAATGGACGCACACGCCGGCCGCTCGTTTTCCAAACGCCAGCGGCCAGATTCTGGCACGTAGATTTGTTTCTGTAGCAGAATAGTGGATATCAGGAGGGCATGCTCGCGCTTCAGAACGTCCGACACAAGACGAGTGCTTGTTGAAGACTGGTTTCATGGGCCCAGGAGAGCGCCTTGGCAAAATCCACACCACGCACACCGAGCGTCGAGCGATGCGCAAATGCCGAGCCAGCGGACGGAAGATGGAGCGATCTCGAACAAGACTAGCATGGCAACAGGGGCCCGCGCGATCTGGCCTTGATGAGCTTGATTGAAAACGGTGGAGCATCGTGAAAGTGGGTGACCAATGCCTAGGTAGGCAGTCACTGGGCATGGGTTCGGGGTAAAGGCGAACGGGTCAATCTCATCATCATAAATCACAAGCAAGGCCGGCCCCGTTGCTTCTTCACATTGCAACAGAGTAGCACAGAATCAGGAGAGACCGCTTCTACAGTAGTATTGAAAAGGGCTTCATATCTGCGTCAGCCTATGATATGACAACTAAATTAGATGACTTTGTCTCCAGCGCGGTTGTTGTCTGCGGATAGAGACCCATGTAGAGTGTTCTTACCGCCTGATCTTGCTTTTGTGTCCTACAAATCACACGAAGCGAGGACTCGCCATATCTCCCGTTCTGGCGTCTTTCCGCTGCCGTGAGACGTTCTCCCGCAGCTTCTCTCGCGTAGATCCTGATCTGCCAATTGGATGTGATCTCGGTTGCCTATTCTTCCAAGCCATCGAGTCATCTCATCTTTCAAGGTGTCTTGCTCAGGCTCGCACAGGGAAGAACTCAGACCTCAGAGGTGGAAATTGCAACCCTGGACAGCATAATTGTCCGAGAAGTCTAATGCCGGACTGAACCAAGAGGGTCAAGCATCAGTCCCTTGTAAGGGATCAAAACACGTCACATCTTGATACACATCGGCTGGGTGCGCATCAACAGCCAAGACTCTATTCAGTCCATCCTAACCCAGTCCACCAATCCGAGCCCTCTCCGAGTTGAGCCTCCTGGCCGTAGGATAGCCAGGTTAAACCGCGAGCCACAGTGACGGTTGAGTTTCATAATGTGGCTCACAGCTTCAGTGTCCAAGAATCGAACTTTGCAGGCTGCTCTCTATTGACAGGCATGGAATCATGATCTGCCTCGCCCACATTCCGTCCTGGAAAGTCTATTTTGGTATACACAGAGCATAACATATCGGCTTGACATGTTCGCTGGTCAAATGCTGACCATTCATGCCGTCAAACAGAGCCAACGGTGACTTCCACTCGTGGCGTTGATTCCAGAGTCTACGGAAACGGGTTCAACGGCCAATGACGTTGAACCTGAGGACACTTGACAGAGGTGCAGGATGAGCAAGCAGCCACTTGCATCACATAGAGATGTTTATATGCTCTCAAGACCCTGGAGGCGTTACCAAGACGCTCAAGCGCTCCGATGCATAGAATATTCTAAGACATCTCGGGTTACGCTCCCACGTCTTCCAATCGTAGCCTTTTTCACGAGGCTGCGTGCGTGCGTAGAGGTCTAGACGCGTCCTTCAAGCAGCTCAGCTGTATGACTTGCTTCTCTTGCGGGGAAGAGTTGTGAATCTAGATTGCATCTCGCCATCGAACTCGCGAGTTTGCCGCTCGCACTATCGTCTAGGCTATCATGGGGAGCCTCTCAGAGATAATTGCGAAGACGAACAGGAGATAACTCCCCGCGTCTTGAAACAAACGGCAGCCAAATGATCTCACCGAGATGCAAGCATCCGCGTGGATCGCGAAGTTCGACAACGTTTAGTCGTTGGTCTCAGACCGTCTGCAGTCTAGCTCAACTAAATTATTACCTACTGCAGAGGAACAACTGCTTGTCTACCAAGCTACTGCTGTGGCCGGCTGCACAGTCAGCAATGCAGGCATCTTGTCTACCTGTAGCTGTAGTGAAGGGCCAACTGACCCGGATCGATTGGACGCCGTCTATCCTGCTGTCCTCCGCCCCATCGAGGCTTTCGACCCCTCCGAGAGGCCCTCAGAGACGCCAGATGGCCCTAGAGCAGCAGATGTAACCCCTCCAGCACAGGCCGGATCTTCGCTGGAATCGCTGTCCTGGACTCCTGGATTCCTAGTGTTGAGTCTATGGCTGCGTGCAGCCTCACTTCTGCACACAAATAAACCATGTGCAGTTTCAAAGTCAGGCCATATTAACTAGGCCCGTCCAGCTGGTCCCCCCCTTCTCTACGTGTGCTATGTCTCTGGCACGTTTTCCTTGGCTCTTCACCTTGTGCGACGCGCTTTGGCTGAAAAAGAAAAGCCAGAAAATGCCTCTTTTTCGGGAACTGAGTTGCACAAACAACAACCGTCTTGGTGGACCATCCCACGAGGCCACTCTCGAGATGAAGCCATCATCTGTGTCTTCCCGGGGAGCTCGGCGGGCTCGTCCCGGCGACGCAATCACGCACGCAGCGGAGAGAGACTTGGAAACAATGCCGTCATCCTACAGCAAATATCGATTACACTGCTGTGCCTATCTGTCTCTCCATCACACCTGCTTGTTGACTTGAGTTGACAGAAGCAAGTCAAGCAGTGACCCTTATCATCAGCAGCAGCAAGTCCCCGTATCTGCTCCCTGTGCGCCTCTCTTCAACGACAGGATTCCAGGGTCAAAGATATGATAGCTCGTGCAGATTGCGCTGATCACGGGCTGAAAAGGGTAGTGCTTAGGTGCAGCCTGAGCTCATTGCGCATCGGCCCCCCGCGAGGAAGGGGTTTGGCTCAGAATGTCCGGCCAGGACAGGGCGAGTCGCTTTGGTGAGTTATGACCAGTCCCGAGCGCCGCGCAGTGCTCAGGGAGGGTCAACGCCGTGCCTGGTAGGCTGGCTGCGGGGCAAGTTTCGTTGGCCTTGCTCGCCTCCTTTTCACTGTCGACTCTGCAGCAGTGCTGCAGTAGCGAGCAGCAAGACGCAGCAGTAGCAGCTGCGGGCAAGGGAAAGTGGCTTGTCGTCCAGTGCTGCTCACGGCCTTTGACTTTTCTGCAAGCCCGTTCGCTGTCCTCTTCTCTGATGTGATTGATCAATGGCTTCTGCCTGGGCAAAAGGTCGCCCAGTCCGCCCGCCCGCCGTCTGAAGGGGGCATGAGGGCATGTTGTGAGGCTCTTGGAACCTATCGTTGACCGGCTGGTACCCAGTCAGCACAAGCCATAGGCATCTGGGCACCCAGAGGAGGCAAGCGTCGTGCAATCATCGGCGAGTATCTGCAAGTATCTCCTCCCTGTGCCTGATCTTGTTACTGCCGTGGCCTGCGCCCCGTCCCACTCGACGATGCAAGCCCCATGGCCGCCCGGCTTCCGCGAGCAAGGCTCGTCGTTGGATGTACTCCATGTACTGTACCTCACTCATTCGCTTGCTATTGTGTCCCCCGTATGTCTGCATGGCTTCGCATGCCCACTCACGCACGAAGGAGGATCCCCATGAAGAGTCACTCAGAGCCTGGCTGGCTGACTTACATGACAACAGACAGACACAGGCAGCCCGGGCAAAGGCAGAGATATATCAGAGTCTTACGCCCCGCTGTTTGCCCCATTACCCCATCTTCCTTTGTCAAACACTTTCACTTCTCGGATCATCGTCCATCTGCCTGCTCTTGGACAAGGGACAAGCCTCCCCTACCCTGTCGGTGACCATAGCTTCACCGGCTCTGACTTGAGCCCAGACATCACCGTCCAGGATCACACACCTTGGCTACCGTACTTCTGCCTACTTGCTCGCCCTCACTACCACACCATATCCGTCACGTCCTGTCGATCTTCTCACCTCCTCGCCTCACATTCTTCCTACTTTCTTCGCCTTTTCGCCTCATTCCGGACCTCTCTAGACAGGAGTTCCTTGACATTGTTCACACCCTCACAGAAAACCCAATATCAATATAATAGCAACCCGTGACTAGCAAGATGGTGTCCTCATCCAGATCTTCTTCCGCCGGTTCAACCAGGTCTAACAGGTCGGTGACCGTAAATTCAGAGGACTTCGCCCTGCCCAAAACCAAGGCAGTCGAGGCTCTTATCTACCTTTCCGGTGGACGGCCTAGCCGTCACCGCAACCTGCGAAAATGCAGAGTTATCACTGAGTGGGAGGATGACGGCGGTTACGCCGGAAGCAGCCGGGGCTCCACCGCGAGCACCATGCGGCGCAAGGAGGTCGTGCAGTGGTTCTTCGTCGGCGACAGCTACGAGCCGTGGCTGGTCGAGGTCGACGACGACGACAGGAGCACGTCCTCGCGGTCCACCAAGAGATCACACAAGTCGCGCGGCGGCAGCCGCGAGAAGAGACCGCCCCCGCCCGTCGCGGCGAGGGATCCGGTCTGGGGCAACCAGCCCCAGCATCAGCAGCACCACGGCGGTCCCCACGGCGGCCACGGGCCCCCGCCGCCTCCCCATCACCCGCACCACATGCACATGGAGGAGGAGATCATCGAGGACGACGACGACGATGACAGCTCCTACATCAGCGACAATGAGTACGGCTACTCCATGCCCCCGCCCCCGCCCATGGGGCCTCCCATGGGGATGGGCATGCCCCCGATGATGAACCACGGCCCTCCCATGAACCACATGGGCGGTGTGCCGCCGATGCCTCCTCCACCCAGGACTCCCGCACCGGACAACGGCGGCGGCGGAGACATGCCGGCATTCTTCAAACTGAACTAGAGCGGCTCTGCTCTCCTCAGGATTGGATCGATTTGGATTTGGATTTGGATTGGATGGGATCGGATTCCCTTGTATTAATCGACGCACGTCTGGCTATCTGCGTCTTTACGGTACCTACCGACAACTTACCACTTGGCGTTCAGTGTGTGGGGTTTTACTGTTTTTCTCTCTATCTTGGGCAGCAAAAACAAACAAACAAAACAAGACGACGAAACACACACACAATCCAGGAGGAACCACTGTACTCCTTAATGTATTATGGCATGTTATGATTTGAATGTGTCTCACGAAATGAAGAAAAGACGAAACGAAGTGTTCTGTTCGTCCTCAACTTTTAGCGCAAGTTTTTGGGTATCCCAAATAAACAAATGATGTTCCGATAAACAAAATTATTCTTTGCAATCCGCTCCTTTGGTGCTATGTGTCTTCCTTCCCATGTCGTTCAGTAGACAATTGGTTATAAGTGTGACATGTCACGGGCAAGGCTCCGTCTCGGTGCGTTGGGCTTACCCTAGCAACGACTCTCGAGCCAAGTGGAGAGTTGTGAGTAGGCAGGTAGACATGCCCAACTGACTGCGGATCCATCAGAAAGTATGGAAGGCAACGAGTGATAGCAAAAGTTGCACATTAGGCACGCCGAATCACCGGATATTGGGCCATCCTCTCACAACCGTGCGGTATTGGAACAGAGGACAGCAAGGACCATACACGTTACAGGCATGTCACTCCAGCAACTATCGACTAAACAAGGCCATCAAACAAGTATCTTGTATTCGCAAACGAGTCTATGCTCTATTATAAGAGGCGCCACCATGAGGCCAAAGCTCCATTGTATATACATGATCTGGGCGGCAAAAGCTCCAGTCAGGCAAGCCTTTTCCCCCGTCAACATTATTAGAGAGCTGCTACTTTCGGTGTCTATCATGCGGCTGCCCCTTCCCCGGAAATGGCCCCCTTTTTTCCTCTCTTCAGAAGGACAGAAGGAGAGAGAAAGCAGTTGTGTCCTCATGCAAGATAAATGCACCGACTACAATGCGAGCCATGTCGTGTATATATGCACGTTTAGAACAGATCCTAGTAAGGGAACACACAGATATGCGCCGCCTCTATCCACGGTAAGGGGAGATTAGCGATTAGGTTTTCGTCCCGTGCAAGAAAAGTCTCTGTTTCTTATGCCTTGATGGAGTACTCTCTCCTGAACATGTCGTCGACGTTCTCGAGGTAGTACGTGTTGGGGGCGATGGTGGAGGCATCACCCTCGGGCTTATAGTTCTTCTGCAGATGCGCCTTGTGGCGGAGATCGCACATCTGTGAATATCCATTAGTGTGTATTCTCTCGGAGCAGGAAGAATCGGTGTACTTACTGCATCGTAGGTCTCGGGAGGGACAGCCCGGCGAGCATTGAGTCTGTTGGGGATGTCGAGGGTGGTGGAGATCTTCTCAGTGCTGCCGACGACCTTGAAGGAGCAGAAGCTGGATGCCAGGCCAGAGCCGTAGCTGAAGAGACCTATGCGCTTGCCCTGGAGAGTCTCGCTGGGGACATGAGCGAACACACTGGCCAGGCAGCCCCACACGCTACCGCAGTACATGTTGCCGCACATGGTGGGAACCTGGATGGACGGGCTGACACGCTCCTGGAAGCGCTTCTTGGTCAGGGCCATGAAGGTCTTCTCGATAGCCTTGTCGGCTAGAGATTTCTCGTAGTCCATGTCACGGATGTCAGCGGGGACCTCGGCGAAGGCAGGGTTCTCGGGGTCGGCAAGGTAGTCAAGGTAGAGCAGACGAGCGTAGGACTTGGCGACCTGCTTGCAGTTCGGGGCGTGGAAGGTCACGTAGTCGAAGCGGTCGAGGGGAGTCTTGGTAGGAAGACCCTCAGCAGCACCGTTCCCGTTGGCGTGGCCATTGGCACCGCCCTGCAGCAGCTTCTCACGCTTGCCGTATGCCCGATAAGAGGCATCGAGGGCCTTGGTGTAGCAGCGGTTGGAGTAGTGGCCGTCAACGACGGGGTATTCGGAGGTCAGATCCGGCTTATAGAAGTCATAGGCGTGTTGCATGTAGGTGCCACGCAGGCCGGGCTCAATGACGATGGGGGCGTCAGGGCCGATCAGCATAGCGACGGCACCGGCACCACCAGTGGGGCGCGCATTGCCCTTGGCATACAGGGCAATATCTCCAGCGACGACAAGGCCGTCCCGTCCGTCCCAGCCAGAGGACTCGATCCAATTGACAGTGTTGAAGACGGCATTGGTACCACCATAGCAGGCATTGACAGTGTCGACACCCTCGATGTTGGTGTTGTCGCCGAACAGCTGCATGAGCACCGACTTGACGGACTTGGACTTGTCCAGAAGGGTCTCGGTACCGACCTCGAGACGGCCAATGGAGTTGGTGTCGATCTCGTACTTCTTGAGCAGGTTGGAAGTGACGGTGAGGGCGAAGGAGTAGATGTCTGCAGAGCACGCGCACAACAGTTAGCTTGAAGGCCCGCCAGATGATCAAGTTGGCGGCGATGCTGACCTTCACGATCATCGCAGAAGCTCATTCTGGTCTGGCCCAGACCAATTGTGTACTTTCCGGTGCTGGCACCGTCGAATTTCTCGAGTTCGGACTGCTCGACATACTGCGGTGGGAGGTGTTAGCATGCGCGGACGCCAAGACCGATGTCGGCAGAGAAAACGGCCCGTAGAGCACGAGTACGAACCTGGCTGGGAAAGTAAATCTCAATGGCCTTGATGCCAATGTTCTGGGGACGAGAAGCCATCTTGAACGCGTGAATTCGACTCGAGGGCGGTAACGGGAGGGTAGGGGGCGAGTTGCACGAGGAAGGGAAATTTGGCTGGCGGGCAGTAGTGGTGGTGGAGGTGGTGGGATGGATTTCTGTAGAGGGGCCAAACCCAAAGATGTTAGTCCCACGTTTTTTGATCGTCTTTCACCGCCGTTTTCTTAGATCTCCCCCCTCTAGGCCTCTAGGGTCGGTCAGTCCCCTTTTTAACAGGGACCCAATTTCCCAACACTAACCAGAAATGATGAGGACAGCCCGTGGAATTGACGCACCGTTTGCAAGGAGCGGATCTAGTCTGCTTGTTACCCGGCCAATTCTGCTCTAACAAGCTACAGTACCGCACAATAGCATGTAGTGTGACGACGACGACGAAGACAAAGAATGGAGATAGCAGGTTGGCGGGATGGGCTGATGGCAACAATGACAACACGAAGTCGAAGGGTGACAGAGAGAGCCAGCAGTAACGTTAAGAGGAGGGCAGAGAGGGCTCTTCAAATACTTTTTGTCATTGAGGCAATATCAGATCTACAGACAGAGCAAAATCGGACAGGGACCTGGCTTGAGGTTCCTTTCCCTCTTCTCCACCGTTCCCGGTCCAGGATGTTGGCAGCCATCGGTGACCGGCAAGGAGGGTTCGGTCGTCCGATTATTACCTCCTCTAGTGAGCATCACGGTTTCACCCTTATGCAGCTTGGGAGCATATGTGCCCTACGGTCCATACCTTACCTACCTAGGTACCTTACCTTAACAACGCAGCAGTCCCTGGCTCCGGCGCCTGCCTGTAAAATGAACGAATGCCCACATTTGATGCCACCGCCGATGGCGAATCTACAAGAGGGCTAGTCAGTGGCCGTAGCGCAGCACCCGTTCCCCACGCAGCACATGTGTTTCGTTTCGTTTAGTTGTGCGGCGTCTACTTATCGATTATCTGCTACCCATGTTATCGTTGGGTGCCCTGGTAGGGTAAAGTAGGAAGCTCAGAAGGATCCTTGCTTATCGTGGCTCTCACACACAGAACCATGACCATCTTTGCCTTCTTTTAGTATTTGCTGAGAATGGGAGCGGCTCTGTCGAGAATAGTACCCAGGTAAGCTTAGAGGTAACTTCGTTGGCTTATATTCCCGGTTCTTCATGAGAGGAAGGGGGTGGATGATTCTTCACCTTCGGCCTCACGAACGATGGTTGTGAGACGACGAATTCACACTTGTGGTGCGCCAAGCTCCTTGCGAAAAAGCTCTTCAAACTCACAACATGGCGGGCCATCTCCGTCGCTCATTCGCCAGCCGTGACCTGGCAGCTGCAGGAATCATTCTCCCGGGCCGCCCACCACGGCTGCACAACAACGTTAGCAGCAGAGCGGCACAGACAACGGTGATACGTAGGCGGGCGTGGCGGAGCGGCGTGGAGCGATGTCGTAACGGCCCTCACGCACCAATGAGAGCCGCCTAGGAGGCCTGGTTTCAGCAGCACATGGGGGCACACGACAGAGAAACACCATGCTTCAGAATGCTGACTGCCTGCAGGACCAGATATTGAGATCTGCTCTACGATGTTAGCGGGTGTTAGTGCCATCCCCAACCGTCTTGTCAGATGGGATGAGCGGCCTCTGCGGTGGCTTAGACGATGATGTTGACAGCCCTCCACCAGTGACACTCACGATCTTGTGGATGCGAGCTGCAGCCTTGCGAGATATGGTTAAGTTCATGGTTATGTATTGTTTTCTTGGTTAATCTGTTGAGGTATCGTGTACAACCGCTATGCAAATGCCATATGCCAAATCCGTACCCAGGACAAGTGTCTTCAAATGTACTAATACAACGCAATGCTAGATATCACAAAGGGAGAAGCCAACCTCACTGTAGCCAGGCCGAAACGCCCTGCCAGTCTATCAATGTTTTGATCGTGCGAGAATGAAGTCATCGTCATCACGGGGTGCCATATCCGGAATCGGTGCCGGTCCGGGGTCGGTCTCCGTCAGCAACCTTCTTCACCTGGTCGACGGCGCCCACCGGTTCTGCTTTCTCAACCGTGTCGGCAATTGAGTCCTCCGGCTTAGACTCTGTCTTCGAGGTATCATCCTTCTCGACCTCTGAATCGGATGAATCCTCGGAAGAAGAGTCAGTATCAGAGGCCTTTCCACTCTTGCGAGCCTTCTCCTTGCGCTTCTGCTTCTTCTTGGCCTCCTTGCGTTTCTTCTTCTCTTCCTCGTCCTTCAGCTGCTTCTCCTCTTCGGCTTTCTTCTTGGCCTCCTCCTCCTTCTTATTTTCCTCCTCTTCTTTCTTGCGTTTTTCCTCGGCCTCTTTCAATTCTTTTTCTTTCTTCTCTCGTCTTGTGGAAATTATCCAATCTTGGGCACCGGCCACAGCCGCGTCAGGATCGCGCTTGTTCTTCATCAAGTATCCCTGGAGCTCAGCCGGGCTGAACTCGTGGCTAGGAATCTTGGCCGCAAACTCTTCGGCGAGCCGGTCCACCTTGGCGAGGATCTCCTGCTTCTGGGCCTGCTCAGCAGCAACCTGCTTCTTGACCTCCTCAGGGTCAACGAGAGCCTTCTCGTCATCTTTAGAGGCAATCTTCGGGCGGTCGTCGCCCTCGAGAGGCGCGAAGATGGCGCGGAAAATAGATGCGATCATGCCGCCGTCTGCGAGGTCGAACTTGACGATCATGTCCACACGACCAGGGCGGATCAGGGCCTTGTCGAGCTTCTCCAGGTGGTTGGTGGTCATGATGAGCACACGGCCCTCCTGAGAGGCGACACCGTCGAGGATGTTGAGCAGGCCGGAGAGCGACAGTCGTCCAGTGGGGAGGGGAACGGCGGGGGTCTGACCAGGCGTGACCTGGCCGGGCACCATGTCGGAACCGCCCGCCTCCTGGGTCTTGTTCTCCTCACGAGTGTGAGTCAGACCGGCAGTGTCGATATCTTCGAGCAGGACGACGCAGCGGCGAGGAAGCTCAGCAAAGAGAGCGGCGAGATTCTCCTCGTTGGCGGTGACAGAGCTGAGGCTGACGATGTAGATTCTCATCTTGAAAAAGCCAGCCAGAGCCAAACTTAGTGAGGACTTGCCAGTTCCAGGAGGGCCGTAAAGAAGGTAGCCTCGGCGGTAGGGGATACCTCGGTTCGAGTACCACCGTCGGGTGGCAGGATTGAGATAATCCGTAACATCATCGATCAGGTCGTTCTTGACCTTCTCATTAAGAATGACAGTTGAAAAGGGACGAGATGTCCTGGACATGCAACGTTGCCAAGTAGGCTCCGTGCTTCCAGCCTTAGTGGTGCCGCGGTAAATAAGAGTCTTGTGCTCGTCCTTCTTCATGTACGCAGCGCGAGCCTCCAGCAGAAGCTCCTTGAGGACCCAGGGGTTGCGGCCGAAGCAAGAGACTGAGACCTCCTCTCGCTCGCTGACGACCAGGAACGCAGCCTGCTCCCGGTTCTGGGAACGGCGGAAGATCAGGAGCCGTCCCTTGTACCAGAAGTAATGGCTTCCAAACGTGGGTGTGTACTGAAGAGCCTTCTTCTTAGCCCGACGCTCAGTCCCGTCCATGTCTTCGGCGCCATCATCCTCGTCGTCATCGTAGTCCCAGCGCCAGAGGAACCAGGATCGCGAATTCAGGTTAGTGTTGACCACGAATCGGCGCGACTTTTGCGCAAAGCGCTGGGCAGCCACCCAGGCCATGATCATGTTGTAGATCTCATCGTCGGTTCGGATGTCGACCGTCGACATGAAGTGGGACTCGAGCTGGCCCCAGAAGTATTCGCTGAAGTAGCGCCATGCCACGATCAAGCCGCCGAGGAGCAGCAGCATGGGAATGTAGACGTTGAGATCGATCTTGAGGTACTTGACGACCGCGCCGGATATCACAGAAAATCCCGGGAAGAAGAAATCCAGGAGTTGCAGTTGAGGGGGCTGCGCTGCTTGGAAATCTGCGCCGGTAATTTGAGTTCCCGCGGCAGGACTACAGGAGGCAGGGTCGGCCATATTGACGCCCTGGATCCCTTGGAAAAGAGAATAGAAGAGAAGTAAACTCATGTAAGGGCGACGAGGGCCAGTACTGCTTGGCGTTGATAGAGTCGTCGTGATAGGGAAAACTCCTTGAGAAGTCACGTCCACTTTGGCGGATGTTCTCTTCGTTATGTATGATTGTGAAGTGAAGTGAAGTGAGACACAGAAGGGGAGAGAGAGTCACCACTTGATGGAAACATTGGAACCTCTTATACGCTTTCAAAGAAGACTCAGACCGTCTCGGGCGCCCCAGGCAGCACAGCATACTTCTGCTGCACCATGGAGTCGCCTTGGGGCTGTTCATGGGTGGTGGCCTCACGACTGCTTCCCGCACCGCTGCACTGCTGCTGCACCCAAGAAGCAATTTGGCTAAGCTAGCTAGACCAGACTAGACAACCTACATACCTTAGCTACGCTACATTGTGCTTTAGGGTTGCGGCATGTCAGCATGTACGGTAGGTAGGACTACCGCGGCTCTGCTTGGTTGGCTTACGGGGCCTCTTAGCGTGTTAGTCACCGTCACCGCACAACCCCGTCGATGGAGCTTAGCGTCGCTTGCCTGAGCCACCAAACGGTAAATCGCTTGCTGTTTAGACAAAGCGGCTCTTCACGGCCTCAGTCCGGGGTGGGTTCCCAGACTCACCAGACTTGCCTTGATGTTGCCTTGATGATGCCGTTCAGTGGGATGGACCCGCTGAAGTGCTGAAGACTCTTCACATGGGGCATGTCTCTTGTCTCTGACTGGAGAGTCTGACTGGCTGCGCAGACCCTAAGTTAAGGGATTAGGAAGAAAGACTTATTAGGCACCAATACCTTGGATAAGCGCACATGTCCAAATCGAGTATTCAATCTGCCAGTTTCTCGTCCTAGACTAGAGGCAGATGGAGATGGATTGCTCCAGATGGAGAAATGCAAACACTAGACGGTAAGAGTTGAGGCAGAATTACCGCCTGGTTGCCTCTTGAATTCGACTACAGTCCCAAGATGTGTATGCCCTCCCCTACTACCTATCAGCCTACGTAGTGGAGGACTTAGCTGTTGGTGTGTGCATATCAGCATCTAAGAGTTCTGCAGTGTGAATGCAGGTTATCGCCTCACCGAGCACATGTCCAACAATATCAAGCAGAGATTGGTCCGCCTATAGTATATCCCCTCCACGATCCCAACACTAACGCAGTAGACGGTGCGACCACACCCGCCATCCAGAGCGGCTCGTAACTTTTGAGATCTGTGAAAACCTTCCGAAAGACCTGGGGACCAGCCATCCAGGGGAGAGTCGGCTTGTCCTACTTGTTCTTCCCGAACATTTTCATGCAGAGTGCGCTGGCCACAGCCGACCCAGAGACCTGGCCAATGGAGTGGTGTAGTGCCACACGGCTCCCTCTTCAGGCTCTTCACATGTCGTCACGAGCTGTGATAACACAGGCGGGTCACTGTGGCTGGTGGTGAGGGTCAGTGAATGTGCAGGCCCAAAACGTGGGGAAATGGGCCCCCCTTCACAGCCACCCTGCAACGGGCTTGCCGGCATGACCAACACTTGCCCTTGAATCCGCTTGCTACGGCACTTCAACATCATAGAGAGATTCCTGTGCGCCAAGATGTCTTAACCTCTTGACCGATGACTCAAATTTACCCACAAGTAAAGTCTCCAGCATACTGTTCCTGCGCTAGGAATGAGGAGCGTGAGAGTTGCCAGCATGCACCAACCTAGCTTCTCGCAATCGAGACGACCAACGTCCGGCGGTGATCTTATGGATCTAACCTTCCTGGTTAAGCACGGATATGAATGGTAGCTCAATTCATCTTAATTAAATCTTCAATGATCTATCTTGGTGCTAACGAAGACATGCCAGAGTGTTCAACCTTTACCTATGTTTATCGCTCGAGATTCTCAATATTTGATCAACTCGAATGAAGTCAAGTGTTTCAAGAACTTGCGACCGAAGCCTGGATTTCTTGAATCATCTACTTTCACCCTCGAAAGCCTTTCCAGAAGGCTTCTGAGATAACACTACTCAATTACTATTTTCATTAGTACCCTAGGTACAGAACATTCCATTCACAGCAGCAATTCAACGACCTTATCGAAGTTAAATTACGGCTCGCCTGATGCATCATAAGTCGACAGATCAATCTGGAACACCTCTTGCTCTTCAAATGTAGAATTGCTTATAGATGCTCGGATGCCAGCCTGATTGCAATTGTATTCAGCAAACTCTTTGTCTACAGGCCAGCCACCTAGTATTCTGAGGATGTCGAGTTCAGTTATTGTAGAAGCATGCTCAAGCTGTTCTAAGTGGGCCCATTGAGGAGATCCTTCACTCCATAGGCAACACCAGAGCCGGTTGTCCTTAATAGGCTTGATGTTCTTCGCTGACACCGGAAGTGCAGGCAGCTCAAGCCACATACCGCAGAGTAAGAGGCACTCATGGTGCTCCCCGGAACCTGGACCTCGCAAGACAATTCTAACGAAGCCTGCCCAAAGGTTGTATGGAACGAAAAAGAGTTTATTCACAGGATCCCAGCACCCGCTTGGTTTCACAGATAATATAGATATCGGGTCAAGCAAATCATCCCAGCGAAGTATTAAGGCCCCTTGATACTGCCTTTCAATCGCTGTCAACATTGCCGGAGCTAGGTATCGTGGAATGTAATAATTCTTGGCATGAACGTAGTTTTGATAGTGGATGTTCCATGGCATCGGTATAGGGTCCGGTACCAAGGAGTGAGGGTCGACACGCACGAAAACATTTCCCGGAGTTTTGATAAGCAAAATGCCGTGAGCCCCATCGTCAGAAGAGATGTCGCCGTCGAAAGAAACGCATTCGTCGGAAGAGATGTGCCAGCAGTCTAATTTGAACAAGTACCCAGGTGATTTATCTAACAACCAGGAATGATCAAAGAGCACTCCTTTATTCGTCAGGGTCAAATGAGCTCCATGAATAGTTCTCCTCCACAACATGCTTCGACAATGTTGATACTCGTCAGGGGAGTACGCAAAAATGCCACGATATTTCTGGCTCCTATTGTTGTTTTTCCACGCGAAAATAGAGAGATCATCATTGCTTTTAACAATCTCCTCTTGGAGTCGGGAAAAGGCATGTTTTCCTTCACCATAGAGCATTGGCATATAGACGTCGAAAATCCCAAGCAAGCAATATGCGATGTCTTCGACTCGCGTCGTCTTCCTTGTTGCAGCCCACGACATTCTCTGCGCGAGACACACTTCGGCGATAGGCTTTCTATGGCTGAGAATTGCTTCACCGACGCCCGTAATCTCACTAAGTTCTGAGAGTAGAGAACTCTTGTCCCCCCGACGCTGCCATATTTTATCAAAAAACACAACTTCAAATGGGGCGATAAGCTCCTGCAGTGTCCACCCTCTTGTAAACCAACGACATGGCCGAAGTTGTTCGAGGGGAACGCCTTCTAGCACAGATCCTTGATCGTTTGACTGCGGAAGGTCTGTCAAGAACACGAAGCACACTGCAGCCTTTTTGTACCATTGGAACATCGAGTTGATTGCCTCGGTGAGCTCGGCGCTTGACTTCTTGTCGATACAGCAAGTATCCACCCAGCAATAATTCAGTCCTCGCTGCTTGGCAAGTTTGCAGGTCATGGAAATTTTAGCAAACCCATTCTTCCGTCTGGCGTTTTCGAGGTCTTGGAACTCCTGAAAGGAAACTTCTTCATCTTCCCAGGTATGGGATAATATCGCGTAAGGAGTCCGTGAGATATCTATGATATCTTCGAGCTTGAACGTCGTACAATTGATTAGCCACATGTTGGCTGAAACAATTTATATGAGACTAAATGCATCTAAGTGTGTGTATCAATGACTGGGTTGTAAGGGATTGAAAGGATGGTTACCGGCTTCATTCCACCACGAGCCTTGCGAAGGGTTCGTTTTCTAGCATGCATCGTAACGCAAACCCCTCCACATATCTTGCCTAATATTTTAGTCTCGAAACACAAAACAATCGTTTCTTATTGGCCTTGGAGAAGAGTCACATGAACTGCGAGGAACATTAGTTGCATTGATTTGTTAGTCAACTGCGGCTGAGCAACATTATCAAAACTACTAACATGATGCCAGCCACTAGACTAGACTATGAAAAGCAAGGTGTAAAAAAGAGTTGGCATATCCTCCTCCGCCAGGGTAAAAAAAGTCAGCCGAACAAGGGCATAATTACCTCCTCAACGAAGGATTACTACTTTCTAGAAGTTGATAGACCTATAGTAATAAACATAAGCAACAATTAGCGCGCATTGTCAGCGATTATTCAGAGAGTTTTCTGTCATGATATTGAGCAACATAGGATAATGGTCACGAGTGTTTGCTAGCAGTCCTCATTTAAACTATCAATAACTCGCGTAGCATCGCTCATATTCCAGAATTTTATCTTGAATAGAGAAATATTTCGCACAGTAGCTTTCCGTCAAGCAGTCGGGTAGGTAGAGCCGAGGTTGTACTCGTGAATATTTGTGAAATATCCCATCACCCACAAGCCACAGGATACCAAACAAGCTTATCGCATATCCACAAATCATACTCAATGAAAATGATTAACTACCAGCCGGCTTCCATTTACGATGTACTTTATGACGGAGGATAAAACGTCACTTTCAACCTCCTGCTGCCGTCTGGGCCAGTCTCAATCTCCCAACTCTTCACCGGGCCAACACTTGGCCCAATCATGGCCTCAATGAGGTCTCTCGTGATAAGATGCGGGGATTCAGGAGCTGGGAGCACTTGTACTATGCTGGTATTCCCAATATCATTTTGACTTTGAGAGCGACATTTTCCATCGCCACTACAGGCAGAATGAATGTCTTGACCACAGCAGTTGCATCGAGTCCATAGGCAACCACCACTAGTATCGCAGTGTGCGCATGAAGGCATGTCTGTTTATCGTATAGATCTGGTGTTGTGTTGCCCCGTTTACTCTGAAAAGTGCGAGGAGAGAATGGGGTTGAAGTTGAACAGAACTAATTCATTCCAAGTTCATTCATTCGAATGTAAAATGATGCGGCGAGATATAGGTGGAAATGGTGTCTCTCAAAGTCCGGAACTATTTCATGACTTAAATAGTTCAAATGTTCTCATATATCTGGATCACAGCCACTTACGTATCATGATAACTTTTCATTGAGAGAGGTAGCAGGGCGGAGAAATGATTTGATGACCGCGCACAAAATATCGTTATGGAATTGGGTGGTAAACTGCCTAGAGGCTGAGTGTCAGCATATGTTAGGCAAGCATTTGTCCCATCACTAGAGCGCGTGGGAGCACTCGTAACGGGAAACCAAGAAGAGCCCCCACATAAGGGCCACCACCTCTTCTAGGTTGTTGAACGCTTACTCGCCCATCATCGTTGGGCCAGGGTGACGTGGCAACGCAAGTGCATATCATCTTCGGTGAACGAGAAATCAACACTAGAAATCACTTTCATGGTAACAACGTGTACAGAGGCTGCAGGAGGCGCTGCCTTGGAACACATCAACCAGCAAGCCACAGACACTTTCGCCTGCACGATTGCGGTTGCGGCGGCAATCGAGAGCAGCACAGAACAACTTAGCCATCGTGCTGAATTAACATCAGGCTCGACAGCCTGTCGAAACCAGTACGCAACAAAGTCGATCCCATCACATCCAAACATGATCAATCACACAGCCCATTATTCACTCACATTCCCCTATCGTTCCCGACAATCTGGGACGACAATATTACCAGCTGGGTTGCCAGCGTGTTTACCGCACTACTCTTGCAACGAAGGTTCAACAACACTTAAGTCCAATATAGCCTTCAGCGTAGTTACAATAGTGCCTGTAATAAGAAATAAGACGTAGGATATGTACAGCATACATCTGGACTACATAAGGACGGTTAAGCCCGTTTGGTTTGTTGCATTTGAGAGCACTTGACGGGCAAGGCCGTATAAATGAAAAAGACGGAGCTTACGAAGCCGAAACAGACAAATTGAGCGGTCCTTCAATCCAAAACAATCTAGGACATACGTGCAAGTCAAGAGGAAAAGCACTTTGTTGCCAGCGACATTCCGCAAAAAGTGTCTAAGGCGTTTTCGATCCGCGTAAATGACGGGCATATAAAATGTTCACAGTCACTCCAATGTTCGCGGCTCTCAATCAATCATGGCACAACATTTGTCGAGCTGAATGTAAAGCCGTAAGCATACCTTTATCAGGCTCCAGTGACTTAGCATATAAACCCCTGATGAAAATAGCGCTCCCTGAGCAGTCAGCGCAATTGTATGGTAACAAGAGTTGAGACTCCATACGCCAAAAAGTTCTTGGCCTTGTTAGAATGCCTACTAGGCGTAACCTTGGCCGATTCGCAAGAGTTGTGTGAGACCATCTCAATTTGGTTTGCTTGCAGCAGTCTCCTTATGCATTCTGAGTCTATCCGGAATACCCTGTGACCTCTTTTGGACGGAAATCTCAAGTATGCCATGTCTATCCCCAGCGAGTCCGTGAATATCGAGGTGACAATGTCATACCAGTCTCCCTTACCACCGGACGCACGTCATTTTTCAGTACGGGCTGTTATGTGGTCCTCAAAAGCCGTCAGTGTGCCCAGCCGCACAACTTCAACCATCACTTTGGCATGCTCTTTGGGCTCCAACTCGAGAAGATTATCGGGAACTGCACCACAAGCAAGCTGCAGGTCACAGCGCCGGATCTACAACTGGACATTTAATCAGCATTGATGGGGGTTTTTTTTTTTCATTCGATAGGTTCATGGTCAGGAATTTCTACCTTTATGCTCCCAAGTGCGAATTCCAGTGAACTCTTACAAGCCAGTCACCATTGCTCTTGGCGCAGATTTCTTCAATAAGCACCTTGTCGATTTGTCTCCGCATATGAGCGAGTAAATCAATGCACCCGATAGGGCCAGGAGGTGATAGAAGCATCTGTTAACTAGTTTGGTGAGATTTTATGTTTTAATTTGTTTGTAGCGAGACATCTTCTTACCTCAAGTCGGCTACAGTATCTCATCCAGCCTTATTAACTCTGCACCGATCTCTCAAAGAAGTAGATCTTATAGAAATTTATGCAACAAATTGAAGAGGAAGAAGATGTTTTCTACAAAGAGAGATGGTGCGATGTATGATCAAATTGGAGAAGGCGCGGAAAGGGGAAACCATCGCACCACGCCCCCTTAGGTGATTCAGGGGTCAAGGCTAGGGTAACTAATTTAACGCACTAAGCGAAGCTTGCAGATGGTGCGGTTTAACGCTGACGCAGCCCAATTTCTGATGCTTTCAAGGTCTAATCTTCTTCTTTTTTTTCGCACTATGGCGCCAAGCCCTGAAAGGAGACTGAGCTCCGCTCCCCTTGGGCCTCTGATATCGAGATGTGGCCTGACGATCCAGTTGAAGAGGATAGGCTGCGCCAAAGCGCCGAAGACCACCGTACTGAACTTCAAAAGCAAGTCGAGGCCACGGGAACGCTCCATCGAGGACCTCCTGCTGCCTATACCATTCCCCAGGAGCTCTACAAGAAGGCTGTCAAGCATAATGACCAATTGACTGATACAGAGCGTCAACAACTGTTGAGCCGTGGCGATGCTGTAGGCAAGGCTTAGCATGGCCCGAGGCCCTGACACCAGAGGAGTGCTTCATTGCGCTCGCCCGGCCCGCCCCCAGCGTCGTCAGCCAGAACATCCGGCGTGCGACTGGCGGCGCCCTAAGTACCCGGCTGAGCTATATGCCAAGATACGTCAGTTGTGGGAGTTCGGGGACCTAGGTAGCCTGAGCGAGGCGGAGATTGCCTAACTCGCGCGTGATTTCTGGGAGTGGCATAGTGCCGAGCCCGAAGCCTTAGACCGGATATACAGGTTGAAAATATCAGGCTTTGTCCAAGCCGCAGAGCTTCTACATGCACAGGAAGGGCTTCATATTGATTTGTTTTCCGAAGCCATGCTACATATGTCCGTCATCAGAGACTTTGCTGGCCAGCCATTGACTCCGGAACGGCTTCAACTCTCCGTGAGCGCCTTTATAGATGGCCTCGAATCCCTTCAGCAGCTATGGTCCGACGGCGATATCGATAGTGCCACCTACAAACTACGGAGTGCACGCTGCGTCAATGAGAATCGGCGTCTATCTCAGACCCCCCTCATAGAGAGCTCCAGTTCCGCAGGCTTGCCTCTACCCTCGTTTCCAGGACCGATTTCATTACCTAGCCTCCCCTATACTGCTACCGCCTTTCGGGATCCGGGGTCACCTGTGGATACCATCACCTGTGGATACCATCACCTGCGGATACCAACCCATCCACAGTCAGCAATATCTCAAAGCCATCTATACAAAGCATGTCCCAGATGCCCCAGGTACCTTTTCCTCAGAGCTTTCCTTCCAGTTCACAAATCGTAATGAACACAGCATTGCCGCGGGGCACATCTCTTTCCGAACCGAGCATGCCTCCCGCCTCCGGACTTGCCTTCACCCCAAGCGAGTACGTAAAAACTGCTATTATAGCCCAGATTATATTGCAAACCTCTAGGAATTGGAATTACAAACTTGGACTAATAGTAGGTAGGGAATGAACCAAATTTCGTACCCTACAGCGTTACAAATGATCAAGACTGTAGCTTTGAATCTATTTTATCTCAATGACCACTGTGATTCCGCGCTCCTTAACGGCAGCACCTGTTGAGGTTAAAGTATCTACTGCCTTTCATACATCCACGGCCACTGTGGGATCCGGGCATATCACAGGATCGATCAACACGCCACTTTGAGGAAATGGCGTAATAGGGCCCCAGATGTTTCCATTCTCATCGGGGCCAACGCCACGCGTGAGAAATTCCATTTGTGAGAAGTCGTAGGGAACAGGTGGAACACCTGGGACATCTTGCTCGCCCTGGACCCAAACATTGACAGGTTGGACATAGGTCCCCGCGACGATACCGTTTTTGGTGAGACGTGTCTTGGGAATACCATCAATCTCAACAGTCACGCGATACTCTCTTGTGTAGCGTGCCAACATCTCATTACGATACTCAAATTTGTTTTGCGCGTTGCGACCGCCACGAAGACCCATTGCGGCGATAATTCGATCGGTCTGATTGCCAGTGCACGGGTCGACATCGAGCGCATACAAGGATACGGTTGCTCTGGGGTTTGACGTGTAACCCACAAACTGTTAATCACAGTAATCAGTTTTCTAAACTTAAAGCCACTTTCAATCTGCTCACCCTTGATTCTGCAATCTCAGCATTGGGGCTTGGGTTGTCAATACCCAGAAGACCAAGCTCAACACGGACATATGCCAGGTCCCCAAGTGTGTTGATCATGACATTTTGAGCCACGATGCTGAATGCGATCACTTCATTGCCTCGTCGAAAGCCGCTGAATGTGATGAAATCACCAGGGAGAAACGGAGTCATTATGAGTGGGTCCGGGGCAGTGCTGGCAAATATTAGATTATTGTCACGTCGACAATATTCTCATATGGTGACTTACAATGTGCCTGGCCCGTTAAATGGCCTGTTGGTGAGAGGACATAGGGGATCAGTGTCATTTCGAGGAATGCACATGGGGAATCCTGAGAATGACGAGATGCTAGGACTGACATCGTCTGCAGTTAGAAAAGGGGAGCCAGCGTAGCCAACAGAATAGACACCGCTTGGGTCGTTGATACGGACGACAGGGCCATTCTGAATCTTCATGCTACCATCTGCGTAGTCTATAGACTCGATGAAGCCGCTGGCCAGTCCCTCAAAGAATTCATATATCTGAACTTGGGCAACTCTCGGAATACCATTGATGCTATTTCCAATTACCTTATCAATCATGTTAGTATTAAAATTGTCTTGCGGCTTTGCCAAACACGTACTAGAGTCTCAAACCCAATAAATTCAGCCTTACTTGCTACAAAGTCTTTCCAAGGAACCCATGCAGCTGGAAACTGGACAAGAAGGTTCTGAGGAATGTTCATTGTGAAGCCGTTCACGGTGATGGCTCCTCCGGCATTATAGGCATCGCCTGACACCGTAGCATCCTCAAAACGACCTTGAACCCATAAAGGAGCATCCTGGCCAAATACTCCAAGAGGAGCTGCAAGTAGATGCACAACGAGTACAAAAAGAAACATTTTGAAGAAGCCAAATGCCATTGCTAGGTAAAACTTTGATATGAGACAGTTGGAGCCTGATCAAGAAGGTGATTATTGAGAGAGAAGGAGTAAGTTGGACTGAGGACAGTCAAGAATGAAGACCTAGTTCCGAACAGCTGTATTTTATAGTTGACGAAGTCAATATGCCTCTAGGACGCCAAATTTGTGAGTACTATGACCGCGTTGTTGAATACACCGACAGCTCTGCACGACGGTCATGCCTCTAATTAAGGCTCTGGACTTGGCAGGATGCAACGCACTCATTTCTCGGTGTCAAACATAGTTGTATGTTTAGGCCATCTAGTCCTCCGCCAGAGTAATAAATGTTAGTTCAGCAAGGGTATCATTACCTCCTCAACAAGAGATTACTACATTTGCAAAAGTGAATAGACCTATAGTAATAAACACAATATCCGAGAGCTTGATGAGTATCATGACTCTTACCATTGAGTATCTTTGCTATTTAAGAATTAACGTTTATTACCCCGGCGGAGGAGTAGGTCAAGACCAGCTTCAATAGTCTGTATCTAAGTGTACATTGAAGTATCGACATGGTTAGATTCCCGTACTCGCATGCGTGTTGCGGCTTGGCAACAGACTGCCGTCAGGGCTGTTTTGTAGATACCGCGAAAGCCGCTGTTCATCATATTTGCTTCTCCGGTGATTAGACGAAGAAAACTTCGGAACATTACTAGCTAAAAACAACAGGATCGATAGAATGTAAGGCCAACTTTTTAACTGCATCGTTATGTTGCTCCTCGCCACTCTGAGGTGGAGGATTGTGACATTGATGCGACCTGACAATGCAATAAGCACGGGGTTCGCTGCCGTGAAGAAATGTGTGCATACGCCTTGACTCGGTGTGGGACTTCGCCAAGCAAAAAGTCATTGACTCCAGACCTGCCTGCCTGCCGAGCCCAATATGAGCTTTCGAAGAGTTAGTGAATGATGATGCTTTCCTTATCACTGGTAGTCTAGGGAAGCGTATTGTAGTCCCAGAGATGATCGGACTTTCATCTCTAAGTCGAGTAGCGGAGGAACACCTTCGATTAGACCAGAATCAAGAGATATTCAAGGTATAACACTTTCTATTTTCGCCTCTCGCGGAGATATCCTGTAAAGGCCGCCGGCAGCTAAATGTTAGAAAATCTCTGTGAGTCTTCGATGGTGTATTGTAATAAAGGCTCCACGAGGGACCCTCACCGGTGTTCATCGATCCGTCCCACTGCGGTATTTTCCATCAGTCCTTCTCTATGTAGTTTGCAACTAAGTAGGGTCTGAGAATTTTGAGGAGGGTATGGTCATCGGCATTGGTCTGGGCGAGCTACGGGACAATGCCGATGGCCCTCCCTCTTCAACGGTACCTTGAGCGGAGGCCACACCGGCTTGTAAGCCCCAAGCCTGGACATGTGAGCCTTTTGATCCCAGTATTTTACCACTTAGATTTTCACATCCACAAGTATAACTGGCGGATCTCAGTATCAAGGCCTGTCAGGATCGTCTGCAATGCTACAATCAAGGGGGCATAGACTTGTCGACTAAGCTTAGATATTTGGCCGGCGACGACCATCACTCATTTCCGCTTGCTAATCATAGAAACATCACGCTGGTAGGGATTTAACGCTTGGTCGTCCGTGGCGACACCGCCGGCCTAGCGATTTGTTGCAGTGCCAAGAGAAGCCAAGAAGTGACGAAGCAGGATTGCGACCTGAATATTGATCTGGGTCACGGTTTGCAAGCACGCAGACCTCAGCCATAGAATATCAAAAAGTGTTCAAGTTCTCACCTTGCAGCGAGAAGAAGAAGCGTTAAGGAGGGTTGAGTAATGCTTTCCAATACCAGATAGGGGTCTTGCCGTACTTATGTTCTTGGCAGTCTGGGATTCTCCTATTGGGCATACCCAGTCCTTGCATGAGAAATTTCACTCCAGCCATTGTGATTAGTAACAATCTTGGGTCGGTCTGTGCATCCAAATGTTACAATATTCTGCATATTCCCCAGGGTTCTTGGGGGTATGTCGTCGTGGTGGGACGGGAGCCAAGAATCCGGTAGATGCACGATGTAACAGGAACTGTTCTGATTCAGGTCCGAGAGGCAGACTAGAGCAGGATTAGGCGAATAAATTGGATTGTACTCTGCAGAGTGGACAAGGCTCTTCCCGTGTGACTTAGAACCAACCGCTTCATCCTTCCCACTTTTGTCGCTGGGAAGCATACACGAGGCTCTCTGTCTCCAAGTTCTTCACCCATCCCATGGTATACCATGTCACGCGTTTTCCGAGCGAAGGCCGGTAGCCCGGATCTCTCAAAGAACATGCATCATGCATGCAAGAGGCAATGGTGCCTCTACAGGTTTTTAATGACCATGCCATTTCCGGTATAGGGATTATGAACTGCGATCTTGCGATATGTGCTGTCTGTAGGAGTTTTGCCAATAACTGCATTTCTATCCCCAGAGCAACTGCATGCCAAGACTGTAGACCTTGACCATTGCTCAAGGTGGCTTATCACATGCGCAGTGATTGGATTTGATTGAGTTTGTGGTTACCGAATACAGTCTTCATTGCGAGATCTTCCATTGTTGCAGGCTCTGCTGGGAGTTGAGGTATAGTCCTCAAGAATTCTCATGTTAAGCAGCTTATAATACATTCCGAACCAGCAATTTGCATCTATGTCAAGACATGACAGCCTCTCCTAGAGTTGTAATTAAATTTCATTGTGAAGTCAAGAGAGTTTAAGACAATGTTAGCGTAGCAATCCAATAGACAGCAGATTATTTCGGGGTACGCGATCCGAGCTCTACATGTAGAGCTATGTCCATCGTTCGGGTCCACCTGGGTCTCCTATACTTTTCAGTAGTAATCAGAAGCACACGAAGCGCGCACAACGCGAATATCGGACCTTGCAACTCTATCTTCTCGTGATTCAAGCCGTCCATTTCGATATCCCCTCCTATCACTGTAGGCGACCCTCCTTATTGATGTGACCTTCCATTTTCATATGCAATAGCAAAGAAGAGAGATGACGCGATGAAGCCTTACATCGCATTGAAACTGTACTCTTTGACTTCGTCTGTGACTGTGATACAAAGACAGGATCTCGCAGGATTGTATCAACGGACATGTTTCCTAAACCGAGATCGCGTCTCCTGTAGGGGGTCTCTTACACGAAGTGGTTCCCTCATTTGATAGTTACCGATATTTGATTTACGGCGCGTGGCTCGGTGAACCAAAAACAGTTCTTCTAGCGGAACAAGATAAAATGGAAGTGATCAGTCGATGATTGTTCCTTTTTCTCTGCTAACCACCATCCGAGCCCCTGAGCTAGTCCTAAGCTATTGTGTAGGGCTACACTTCAATCAATCTTTGCTAAAATTATACTCGTCAGTTTGAACTTCTCACGATGTTGATCCATCGGCTTAGCTCTCTGTTGGTTAGGGCCCTCCTTCTGCGGAATGCTTTAGCCCAAGATCTTCAGTCCAATATTTCTGCGAACGAAGCAGCAGCTTTGAAGCAAATTGTTGAAGATGTGCCTGAAGATATCTTCACAATTGCAAAGGACTGGCTGAGTCCTGAGTATTCTTTGATCTATAAAGTACCTCTACCGATTCCTCCAGTGAAGCAGCCGTTGAAGTATGTATCTACACGTACTACTCGGCAATATCTCTAATTATTTCATAGAATTATTACCAATCCGGTATCTGGAAAAGACCTCTGGTATTATGAAATGGAGATCAAGCCATTTACCCAAGCTGTTTATCCCAATCTCCGTCCAGCTAATCTTGTGGGTTACGATGGCATGTCTCCTGGTCCTACCATCATTATTCCAAGGGGTACAGAAAGTATTGTGCGCTTCATCAATAATGCGGCCATTGAAAATTCAGTTCATCTGCATGGCTCTTACTCTCGCGCACCCTTCGACGGGTGGGCCGAGGATGTGACCCGGCCAGGCGAGTACAAGGATTACTACTATCCTAATCAGCAAGCTGCTCGCATGCTCTGGTACCATGACCATGCAATGCATTTCGTAAGTCTGTCTTGAGTTCAGTTCCATCAATTTTGTGTGGTGTCTTCTAACAGGAACAGACAGCCGAGAACGCTTACATGGGCCAAGCTGGGGCGTACCTGATTAATGATCCAGCGGAAGATGCCCTTGGTCTTCCAAGCGGCTATGGAGTTCACGATATTCCTCTCGTGTTGTCTTCCAAGCAGTACAATGCAGACGGCACTCTATTTTCCACAGATGGTGAGACTGATAGCCTGTGGGGCGATGTCATCCATGTTGTAAGTAGAGCCTTTCCGAATTCCGTGTTGCGATTCCGACTTGTTCTCAACTACTAATTAATTGACCGAATTCTAGAATGGGCAACCATGGCCATTTCTGAACGTAGAGCCTCGGAAGTATCGCTTTCGATTCCTTAATGCTGCTATATCTCGGTCATTTGCTCTGTATTTTGCATTGACTGAATCTCTGAACGCAAAGTTACCTTTTCAGGTCATTGCATCTGATGCTGGGCTTCTAACTCATCCCGTGCAAGTCTCTGACATGGTACGTCGGCTATACACTGATCTCATAAGCCTAAAATTACCGATTTTACTTTAAATATTATAGCTGATGAAAGTGACTAGTATGTCTCAATGGCAGAACGCTACGAAATTGTCTTCGATTTTTCCCCATATGCTGGAAAAGCGCTTGAACTTCGGAATCTCGACAGGGCCGGCGGTATTGGCGTTGACGATGACTACGGAAACACAGATAAGGTGATGCGCTTCATCGTCGGTCAAGAGCTTCTGGGCGGGCCAGACACTTCTGTGGTGCCTCAGA